TTTTTTTCTTTTTGTCTCCATTAGCTCATCTTTATAAGTCAAGTATCGTAACACATTGGCTTTGAAGATGATTCTCAATGTGGCTCTCTTTCTATTGAAGCTCAAAACATATTGTGAGGTAAATTCAAGACTACAAGGATAATGCAAAGATAAAAAGTTTATTATTGAAACGGCCTAGATTTTACTCAATTTACTTCATAAAAAGAACTTTTTAATTTAATGCAATGTGATACAGTATGAATTTTTGCATATACATGTATATGTATTCATCAAGTTGTTATTATCACAAAATAACTTTTATTATTTGAAATATCGACTTTTATTCAAGGAATTTATTACAGTGCCGTACTTCAACATTGAAAACTTTACAAAACTGAATTATTAATTTCAAAAATTTATTCTCTTAATCGATTTCGTTTGACTTTGATAAAACCTTGAAAAGTTTTGATTTATGATCGCAGTAAATCAAGTGTATAAACCACATCTAATTACCTATTTTATTTTGTCTTAATATTATATTAGAAATCTGTATAACTTCAAAAACAATACGAATTAAAGTCAATTCATGCACACGAAAAACTTTAAAGGCGTAGTGATTTATGGACTATGTTAAAACATATATGAAAAGTAGGTAATAAATCACAAAGAAAAGAATGGTTATGCTTTTCTTGTTCGGCACTGAAAATTAAAAAACTGAAGGAAAAATAAGTGATCATGGCCACTTACTCATTAACGACATGCTATCATAAAACATCACCTCACACTGTTGTGCAGCAAGGACAACTAATAAGACCTTTGCTCTCTATAGTTAATGTTAACGTTTAACAAGTGTGTTTGACAAGAAATGAAAAGACAATTGGTGTTTCTTCCGCGTCTCCTACATTAACCACAAGTAATATTTGTGTTTACTATCCTTTGGCTCATTACTTTGTACATACCTCCGGAAGTTAATTGAACATTATTTATTTATTTTGATGAGTAGAGGGACAGGTGAAAAACGCGATGAATAGTACATTTCTTCTAAATTTTGGAATGTGTTATTTTATTCATAGATTGATTTTTCTAGATTGGAAGAATGTCGTTTTCCTCCTGCAAGTATTTTTTTTCTTTAATTTCTAAGAGACCAATACTGACCATGAGATTTCGTGAACTAACTGTGCTATATAGAGTAATTTCTACAATAAAAACTTCCTGTTTTATCACTATTAAAAATCAACAGCTTATCTAGAGTATGTTATAACTTTTATATAAAATAGTTTCAAGAACGTGCATATACACTGTACTAAATATACAAGACCCTGATGGAGTTTAATATGAAAAAAATCTTCTGATGTGATCATTTCCAGTACAGGAAATTATTCATAAACTATTAAGCTTCAATATCATAAATGTCAAAAACATTTGTGCCATTGCATTTTTTTATTTTCAGAATACTTTTTTATTTTATTTTTAAGCGGATCTTTTATAAATGTTCCTTTGTTATCTTTTGGTGTTTTAAATTACACATGTATAATTAAAAAAGAAAAATAATGAGAGTTTTATGCATGGAACACCAGAATTAAGATATGCAAATCTACAGTAGACTAAAATTAGGTGTGAAGAATAAAAAATAAAGATTAGCTATAGAAAAACTTAAAATTGCATTACAAAAATAGCTAAATGAATAATACAGTGTTCAATTATTATATACTTACACAATGAGCGTCGTTGCAATGGTCCCCAGATACATGGTTGCCGTAATGTTACGGAGGGGAATCGACATCCGATTTTTATGTCAAAACTTCTGATGTGTGTATGGTTAACGAATCGGAACGAACGGCATATAGTTGACGCTTAACTGTCAATCACATTTCCCAGATGGATGAAATCGTTAAGTTCTATCTGCTGAATTTAAAGAAAAATAATCATTGTATATGAAGAATGCATTCCGAATGATAATATTCGATATACAGGTGTATACCACATGTATTAATAAGCTTTCAGACCTTACCCTAGCATTCTTCTGTCAGCGATACACCTTTGTAACTTGGTTTGCCCGATGGGGCTATAGTCGGGTCGCGATTATTAGTGATGTGTCTGGATAATTAATTATCCTACTCTAATGGTCAAAGGGTTTTCTGATAAATTGTTTAAGGTCAACAAGTTTTCATTCATTTCAGTTTGAATGTTATTGAATTATTCGGTATTTTTCTAAAATGTATTTTCAATGTAAACAAAATAAAACGGGCACTTAAAAAGACAGTACATGTAGTTCTAAATTTTACTTATAAATAGTCTCAACATAATAATTAATATATCATGAAAATAATTTACATATATATAACCGTACAATAAAACATTTCTTTGAACATCTAGAATTAACATGAATGAGAACATGGATATTAACTAAGAATTAATCAGAAATAAAATTGGCGAAAATAACATTTATGTTTAGGCTTATAGAAAGTACTCTTTACCTTTCTAATTCATCTTTGTGTAAATCGCAACTTCTTGTCTTCAGAAAATTATAAATACTCCATTTCTCAGGATCCACACTCACTCCATCAAATCTGGGTGTAGGTTTTTCTCTTTTCTAATCAAAAGACGCGAATAATAATTTTCAGGACATGGTTTAGCATTGGCTAGCTGTTTCTTTATTTCGGGATTGTCACGCGTCACACGGCCATACATGTAGGAGTGTAAACAATGTTCTACGTCAAAGTGGGCCACAAACTTTTGAATTTGATAATGGTGAGCCCCTCCTGCCTCTTAATTTCAGATTTATACATTTATGTAATGTGTGACAAAATTTAGAGTGATCAGTGTTTTTTACATTTCGCTTTAGCCGTGAACCTCAGGTAACGATGTTTTTGACAAGTGCTGACTTGGGCGAAATAGTATATAATGATGATAAACAGCAATCTACAGCACCAATGGAAACTACATGTAATTCCGTAGTGCAAGAAGCCGAAAAGTGCACTTAGTGCCAAAGGATTTTTCAAGTGTTCTTTCTTAATGTATATGAATATCTTACAAGCTGTGGCATTAACGTCACGTCATTTTAACGTCACGTCAGCCGGAGATGTTTTACGAGATTTATTGCATCAGTGTTTTGATATAATTACTGAAAATGAAATGTCATGAATTTTGTACATTCTACCTCTGTCCAATTTGTCTTACGCTACCCCCCCCCCCAACACACAACTGGCACTTATACCAGTAATGATATAGATAGGCCTACATGCGTACTTCCTTCTAGTTTGGTGCATTCTACATGATTTGACCACAATGTTAATGTGGTGATTTTTTTCTTTTCGAGTCATTACATTGTGGAATCTGGTTACCACATTACAGGGAAAAATATTTTCATTTATTATTATTAATTTGCTCCCACATGTATTCGTATTTATTTCTACAAATCAGAGTGGGGTTTTGAGTTCCTTAATTTATCAATCAAATTATTTTGCCAAAAACCTATTTATTGGAACATGTTTAATGTTGTATTAACACAATATTTACTTTTATATATTTTTTACATACACTGTACAATAAATATTTATCTCCTTTATTTCTTAAGAAAACCATGGTCATTTATCAATCAGTAAAAAGGTCATTTAACATACCACATGTGTATATTTCTTTATTTGTGGTTCTTCCATCGATGAAACATACAATGACGTATATATCAATATATATATACAGTAAAACGAGGTTAATTAATTATGAATGCTTATAGTAAACTGATTTTTACTCTCTGGGGGTATTAGTATGCTAAACATACTGAGAAGCTGATGGATATAACAAAATACATTTCCGTTTACATAAAAGCAAAAACCCCAATCCTTGGCACTTCGTTCTAGGTGTGTTTATTTAACCTGCACGTATTTAATCTTACTTTAAATGATTATTCAATCATTTATGCATTAATGCATCGGTTTATGCAGACCTTTTTCCCCTTGATCAACTGTTTCAAGGACCCCCATTTATCAATTGACGTGCCTTCTCTTTCACTTGTATCTTTTATCCATTTATTAACATAGGATTTATATTCATTACACTCTGAAAGTGAAGTATTAAGTTTCCAGTATCCCCTTCCCCACTCATTATTACTAGTATGTATTGAAAAATTAAATTTTAATATTCTATGATCTGACATTCTGATGCCGTTATTATGAGTACCGGAATTCTATGGAGACAAAGTTGTTTTATTTTCGTCAACAGAGTTCATCTAATAAAAATGAAATCAGTGCGACTCTTTGGAATGTTATTTGCATAACACCATGTGTATCCATTAGGGTTTGCATATTTTTCTTCAATAGAGATCTTTCAATTCCATATTTCTTAGAATTTCTATTAAAACCTTTGAACTTTTATCATAATTAATTAAATTAATTATCAATCAAAATCTCCACATAAAATGATATTACTTACATTGGCTGAATATTTTATGATAAATCTTTTCTTTCTTTTAAAAAAAATTGACCCTGGATATTTCCTTGTTTGGCAGATAAATGTTAATCAAACTATATGTATCATTGTCAACATCAATATTAACCATTAGTTTTCTGCCATCATTGCTCTTATGTATACTTATCATATCTAGATCTAACCCTTTTCTAAATAGAATAGGCACCCTCTGCTAAATGAAGAGTCAGAGAAGCAATGTATAGACTTTCCATTCTAAGCACAATCATACTGAAAAACATTTTTTTCAACTAAATACGTTTCCTGAATTAAAATACAGTTGTAACATCAATTTATGTATCATAAATCCAACTATAAAATTTTGCGTTTATACAGACTTAAATAAAAACAATAAAATGTCTCTCTTTGTTAGAATGGGGTTTAATGTTGCAGCTATCGCAGAAAAAAAATTACATAATCTACTTATGCAGGTTATGTATTTTTTCTGTGAAAAATAATGCTTCAAAATTATTTCCCATACTAATGACCAAAGAAAGAATTTTATAGTTTAAATATACTTTGTGTTCTTTTTGTACAAACACACACAAAAACAGATGTTCAAAGCAAGACACTGATGTAATATCTTTCAGCAGTCAAAATATTTAATAACAACATTTAAACACAATTTTCATTCACCTTACATATATATTCAAGCAGAAAATCAATCATCTTCTTTTTCTTTAAAATACTTGTCTTCTATTCTTTGACAAAAATTTGTGAGATTCTCGAATTCATTAACGTATTCTGCTATATCAACAGGGAGTGGCGTGGTCAGAAGAGAAAAGAGGTGTCCGAAAACCAGGGCATCTAATTCTGTTGGACTGAAATAACAATATCAAGAGCTAAATAAAATTAAAAAACATGAAATGCCAAAATAATTAACTGATTAATTCCAAAATTAAATGATTCAGCAGTGTTTGCAGCAATTCCTTTTGTCCACATAATATTCCACAATTGGTCAAAAAATTACAATTATATTTTATACTATTGCATCATGCACATTATTAATAAATCATCAATACCTGTCTGGTAAAGTTGCATAATCGCATGAAATCATTATTCATTTGGTATTGACAAGTTTTTTGGGGTTTTTTTGCATGTTCTTAGAAACTCATTTTATTTTCAAGTCACATACCTGTCTCCAAAGAAATATTTCTGCTGTTCTAATCTCTCAGACAAGGCTTGGCAACATGACTTGATTTCACCCAGAACCTTTGATAATAAATTCAGTTCAGAAAGTAATCTAGATATCAGTGATAAAAGTTTCATATCCATAATTATTCTTATGTAACAATGATATATCCTTTTTCCAAGCTTCACAGACAAAACAAAAAGAACTATTTTAAGCTGATAAAAATTAAAAGACAATACATAATTTCCTCTTTTGCTGATTAAGTTTAGGCAGTGCTAATGTGAAAAAATGTCTTCATCATATATACACTGTAAGAGCAAGAGCCATCTTAAGCATAAAATGGCCCTATACTTATATCAATTAATTAACAATCACCCTCTTTCCCATTTCATATACTAGTATCAAAATAAAGTAGACACTTGGTGCTTTCATATTCTATAATAAAATTTCATTTTGAGAATCCAGATATTGGAAAACAGGTTTGAGAAATTGAAATGTTCTTGAAATTTGTAGAAAACGTGCGTATTTGACTACCTTCAGCAAAGAATTAAAATATGAGCACAGCCCACGATCCAAAAAATAAAACATGTTTTTTGATCATCAGAAACAGAGCTTTCATTATGTATATGCATATTTTGGATCAGAGGTTGTGCTCTATATGAAATATTGAAAAAATGCTTCAACTTAGGTCATTTCAAAGGAATTTACAGGATATGAGGAAAATGACGCATTTTATGATGTCATAATGCATAGACTAGATGAGAAATTTCGTCACGATTAATAGATACGTGGTCACCAGCACTCCAAGTGATAAATACTGCATTTGCAACCTAAACTGGTCGGTTTGGATTTTACAGAAATTCTCAGGGCCAAATAAGGCCCAAAGTGGCTCTTGCTCTTTTTTAGGTTTTCTTTATTTTCACTAAATACATGCATTATGGGTACAGTGAACCAAAATTTAAATAACAAATGTGGAGAAAATGTAAAAAGCAAAGACTGTTAATTTATCAAAATGCTGCATTTCGATAAATCCATATAATTATGCCTCTTTTTACATGGTAAAAATGTATGTTTGATGGATGCTGATGAATTTTCACAGAGACTTCCTGGTCTTTTACATCAATTTCAATATGGTGTGTAATTTTTTTAATAGTTACATCCTTGTTAAGCAATTAATTCAATCTGTTTTAATCTCTGCATGCGTACAAAAATCCATACTGATGTTGTTGGGGAAAAAATAATTTTCCAGTGGACTTTTTTACATAAACCATTAGAATTATGAAATATACTCACCTCTTCCAAAGATTTGTCTGCCCACCCCACACTCTTCAGATGAGATCTCACTTCACTTTTTTTCAGCATTGGAATCATCCAGTTCAGGGGCCAGGGATGAACTGACCCCACGCGAGTCTGTGTCACCTACAAAAAAATAATAATTTGTACAGGTACTCAACAGTCAACTAGCATCTTTACACCAAGTTTCCATATCAATTTGAAATGAGGATACAAATTTACTACAGTAAAACTTTACTATCTGGAACATTAATACATCTATCTCAAATATGTTAAGTCAAGTTTGAGATAATGAAGTTTGACTGCACTTTAAATGTTGAAATAATTTCTTGTTAAATTAAATTAACAGTACTTGAACAGTGAACTTTAATTGGCACATACATGTATTCACTGTTCCAATATAGAAAAACAATAAATATTCTAATATAAATTTATGAATGTCTGAAAATCCTTAGCTTTCTAAACACTTGTAAATATAGATTCCAAACAGATTACTTTACAATTAGTATTATGGAAATTATCATGTCTTGAAAATTATTTAGAAAATTTTACCAACCTCTATAGCTATAGAATCCGTAAGCCATGCAAGATATTTCTGTGAAATAAAGAAAATAAATAATCCTTTTAAGTACTGGTAATGTGAAACACACATTGTAGGTACTGTGCATATAAAATTTACACATGTACAGGCAATTTACAATATAAATATGGTATATTTTGTATGAATATCAAGTGAGCATCAATGACAAGAAATCAATGAGTTAAGGTCTTTTACTGCCATATTCAATTTCATACTAGCCATTTAAATCATAATAAAAAGATTTTTTATGATTTAAAAGTTTACACATTGAAGTAAACATGTATGCATAAAAGTATTATATAATTATTTAGCATATACGAATTTAAAGAAAATTTATTGTTGAAAAGTTGGCACAGATTTGATTTAGTGCATTTCTAAAGGTCTTATTTATGTACATGTGCAATATACATTTAGCATTGTATTTGAGTTAACAGAAGTTTCTATTCGTCTAAGCTGCTAAAAATAATACACAATCAAATATAATATTTGAAAGCAGGCATGCAAATACATGTATTACGATATTATTCGAATTATAAGAAGGTAAAGAGATAATTTTAAACTAAATGGAAGCAAATTAAGAATGTATTATTTATAAAAAGTTAATATATGAACAAGCAATTATGTTATATACTGTAAATCGCTTTTTATTCGCGAGAACTTTATTTTCGCGTAATTACGCGAGACAGTGAGCACGCGAAAATTTCATTCTCGCGTATAATAGTATTCCTTAAGATTATATAGAGAAATATAAATAATTCGTGAAAATTATGCCTCGCTTATAAAGAGTCAATGACTATCTCGCGAAAATAAGGTGTCGCGAAAATTAAGTGATCTACAGTACTAGTAGCTTTGCAATATAGAGATCTTGCAGAGAAGCATTGATCGTGTCAAATTTTTACAATGGTTCATTATAACTCTTAGGTCAAGTTCAAGTTCAATTTATTCGCCCAAACCAAAATATTGGTACATGGGGTAAATTAATAAGAGAATATGAAAAAAGTACTGAGTAGATACAATAATCCGGTAAACACATTTACATTGCAGAACCTGTAAATATTGTAATGAAAATTTTGTGAAGCATTTTTTATTATTACATGTATTTATGTAAATTTACTAGACTAAGTGAATTGCACTCTTATTAAAATACACAAGCCAAAATCTTAGTCTAGAACCAAACTTTTCTACAGTAAAACTTGTTAATGTGAACAAGGATATAGTGAATTTATGGATATAGCAAATTTTCAAATAAGAAAACTTTTAGAATATTGAACCATCATTAATTTGTAAGCAATTTATACCGAGTATTTGAAACACAGCTCATCTGAAAACTTTTAAACCCAAATGTTAATTTGTACATGTATTTTATACTCCCATAAACACATTTGGTGAGTCATGCTTGCATAAATGAAAAAAAAAAAAAAGTGAATTAATTCACTATTTGTACTTTAAATAATTTGGTTTCAATTTTTTTTGCTTGCTGTATTTGTAATACTGACATGTATGTGGCATGTGACATGTAAATAAACATTTATTTACAACTGTAAAGTTATCTATATTTTCTCTATTATCATTTTCAAACCAACAAATTTTAGAATATTGAGATGGCAAAACAAAAAAAAAATCTTTTTGGATGACCTAATGAATATCTACCTCAGCTTTTCCTAGAATGCTAGACACCATGGCACAGTAAGCTCTCAATTCTGATCTCTCGGTTTCAGACAAATCTTTATTTAAACTAAATCCCTGAAGAAAAATAATACAAGTACATGCAAAATTTTTAAGGCACTATAAGGATTTTGACATTGAAAGAAGTATGCAGATACTGTTCATGTACACAAATTTGCATATTCAAAATTTAATGCAATCACTGGGAATTGAGATGTTACCATATTCATGAATTAGTGCTATACATTTCTGCTCTATTTATTGTATTTATATACGATTTCTTAGTGGTACTCATGAATTAGCGTAGCTGCAGATCTGTAGCTCTCCAAATAATTAATTTGACAAAAAGAGCTACAGTGCTACCCATTGAAAAAAATGTATATTTATTGTGCACAGAAAGTTGCGCTTGTGTATGGATTAATTCTTCCAAATTCTTACCTCAATTGCAAAAAAATTAGATTTCAAAAATTCTGTACTCTTTTATCAAGTACCGTACTTTCATAGATCTACATGAAGTGCTTTGGGCTGAATTATCTTACAAACCAAAATGGCAGTATAAACAGACAAAATTTTCGATGATTTCGATTTCAGGGCCAGGAGAGCTATAAACAACAACAGTATAATGTATGTTTTGTTGTGGAAATAGTGAAAGATTATGTTAGGAATACACGGTTAGTAATATTTTGAGATTAAAGATTTAAAAACATGGAAAAAATAAATCGTAAAACAGCGCACTTTTTTGTGCCCAATAAATATATAGTTTTTTTAATGGGTGGCACTGTAGCTCTGCTGTCTGTCAAATATAATTTTTTTTTTCAGAGAGCTACAGATCTGCAGCTAGAATTAGCAGATCAATGTCTGCATCAAATCTGCTAAAATATGAAGCCTGTTTTTTTTTTAAGTATAGGTTACAGTAAGTGGTAAATATTTCCTAAATTGAAGTTAGAAAATAGTTTAAAACTTAATAAAAAATTAAAGTGTTTAGTATAAATTACCCTCAAGCCAGCAAATGCTACTATTGGATCAAACTCAGCCACAATAAATGCCCCGACTTGAAGAAATGGAACAGAACCTGAAAATAGGAGAAATTCATTCACTTTATATTCATTTTATCAAAAAAAAATGCACAATAGGTCAAGCTTTGTAGTTGATCAAGATCTCAAACATTGGTGTTGCCAAACTTTTTTATATAAAAATTTGGAGAAAGGAGAAAATGTATGTCTGGAAAAAATCAAACCCACCACCCCAGCATCACTAGTCAGTAGTTTATCAAGTTTGCTACCAACAGGTCGGAGAGAATACTCGAAATCGGGTATTATCCGTGAAATCGCGTATAATACTCGATATTAGGGTATCGTTGAATCCGCGAAATCGGGTATTCCGTGCAACTTTCTATAAAAACTAAAAAATAAAGCAATGGCGCATTATGCCGGTAACTGTTACTTGTACATCAGTATCTTGTGGATTTATTTTTATTAAACCTAATTCATACGGTTGTCAAATAAGTTTAAAATCACACTGCTGGGGTAACAAAGAGGACACAATGGCGTTATTATTTTTCAATATAATTTCTAAAAACAAATAACTACACTTGGTTTGTCTTTATTTCCCATTAAAGTATTCCATATACTTAATTTTCTAATTTGTACACTATTCACTAAACGTGAAATTTTAAAGAAATTAAACGACTAACGCCGTGTTATGTATTTTTACTGAAAAATGTATGGCGTCCCTTTCTCGTGAAATATAAATTACTCCTAACAGTTAGAGAGTACAGTATAAGCGAGTCACAATTGTATATCTCTGCCAAAATAGAATACCAACGTTATTATAAAGAAGAAAATAAAATAAGATTAAATAAATACCCACGGGAAAACAGTTTGAAAATAGCTAATTGAAGGTGAGTATCTTTTTTATGTCAATTTAGCATGAAATTTTTATTCAAAGACACCGTAATTTTTTTTGGTTGCATTTTAAATCGATACAAGATATGCTATTTTACCTTTATTTTATGCATTTGTGTGAAAATTGAGAGCGAGAAGTCATATGAACAGGATTTTCTTGTTTTTTTTTGTTTTTTTCGGGGGGGGGGGGGGGGGGGGGGGGAGGGGGTATAAATAAAAGTCAAATGTGTACATCTTTTCATGAGCTCATAATACATTGAATTTCTCAATATAGATCGAGGTACAGTCATATTGAAATATGAATTACATAGTCAAGTTTTGACATTTCTTATAGTTTTTACGTTTATGAACATGTTAATGAACAAACTGAAATAATGGAGTGTTCAATTGCCTTGGAAACTGTTGTCTTACTTTTTGGGATCGGACATTAAAATTTCATAAAAATCGTAGCCACTTCCTTTCTTTATTATACTATTTGATGGACAGGGTAAATTTTACCTCTTTACCTTCTATATTTTTTTTTATATCGCTATCTTATACCTCATTATAATATGCTAATACAACGCACTATCTGATTGGTTCTAGACGATATGTCACAGTTTTCTTTTACTTATTTTATCTATGATACGTATTACTCATGGCAATAACTTTTCCTAATACTCATCTATAATGAAAAAATGTGTTTAAAAAATAAACATGAATTCTAGTTACTTGTAGTCTTATATTGTGTTAGAAAATAACAGGTTGCTTTTTGTTTACCTACAATGTACATGATTTTTATTTGATGAATAAATCTTCCCTACGATTAAAAATATATGACCGAGTTTAACCGACCGTGACATTCAAAGAGAGGTCTCTTGTACACATGTAGAACAGAGTCGAGGTTGTTTTGTCAGAGGTGGTCAAGAAGCCTTTAGGCCCCCCCCCCTTTGAAGACGCCAAGAAATGGTAAAATATTGATGACTTAGCGAAATTAAATGATCAACAGTTATGTTCTCTCATAAGCTGTATTCCTGAAACTATCACTGTCTCTGCTAAAATGTTGAAGACATATTCTGCAAATATGTTTGAATGATAAATAAAAAAGAAAAGATTTTCAAAAAAAGAGAAAGAGGGTTCTTTTAGCCGAAATTTTAGACATTTTTATCATTACATTATTTATACATTCATAAATAAATTTGATTTTATGCACAAGATGAATGTGAAAGTAATTAATGACGCATAATTAGATACGATAGACAATCCCTTGTTTATACATGGCATCATATCTGGTTAGTGAAATGTGTTTCCGTATAATTTGATTTATTTACAAATTGTTCATGTTTGTCGTGTTGATGTGGAATTATTATAAATTCCCAAATTCTGATACTTTACAATTCTGTTGTGTTGGGAATGAACATTAGGAAGATGCATATGCTTTCAACATAAAGAAAAATATAAAGCAAATCGAACGCCTTTTTGTGTGCAGATCATGAAATGTACTGAGCTCCACGGGTATTTGTTGTCCCGAGCGCATTAATCTTGACTCCCAAATTCTTACTCGGCTAGTGATACTTTTCGAAAACATGGGTATCTAGATGAAAGTTAACTCGGCAACATGTGCCATCCCATTGTTTAAGTTTTATTAGGTGATTACACCTCCTATACCCGATTTTGCGGATTCAACGATACCCTAATATCGAGTATAATCCGCGATTTCACGGATAATACCCGATTTTGAGTATTCTCTCCGACCTGACCAAAGTCAATATCCATGACCCAAACCAGAACATTCCTCCCTCTTTAAACTGTATTAAACTGTATTCACAATCAAGGACACGGCACTTGACAGCCAAAGTTTTTCAATGCCCCCGATAGGACTTTCACCTGTAAGTCCAGAGGCCTGTTCAATGGAGCGAACGTTTGCGAGCACTCGCCAAAAGTCCTTTTACCTTCAACAGAAATGTTTGCAAATGCTCGCTCTGTTGAACAGGCCACGGTGTGGTCACCATGGTCATGGCACCCAACTATATGATAGGAAAGGGGGAAGTGTATGGCTGGATTGGGACACCTGAACCACTAGACAGTCATTCATGACTGTTATATCCAGGCCTGCCCTTTACTCCTGACCAAAACCACCATATGTGTTTTTATATACACTACAGTTTGTATGTGTTTTATTAACTACATGATTTTTAATGTGTTTTTTAAACAACATACAGATTTTAGTGTTCTACTACACTTACATGTATTTTACACTACAATGTTAATGTGTTTTAATTTGTTTTTCAAACAATGCAGTATTTATTGTGTTTACCTGTTGGTGACATTTCCTCTGCATTTGTTCGTAATTCTCTTGTAAATGGTGCACTGCACATTTTAAGAAAAGTTCGAACACTTAGGCAGTTGGCATAGTCTGGTAAGATAATTTGCTCAGCTGAAAAGAAAAGGAAGCAAATATACAACTTCTCCTAGTAAGTTACTTTTACCTTTGTATACAATTTATGAAATCATGGAGACAGTTGGCATAGTCTAGTAAGAATTAAAATTTGCTCATATGAAAATAAAAGAAGGCACAATTTTGTACATCTTGTTCAAACAAATTAAACCTTAGTTTAACTTAAAGTTAATTTACAATTTCACATTTACATAATAGTTTAAAAATAATTGTGTCAGTGCAGTAAAAAAAATGAAAATAATATATTGTTACATTAGCCTTTCAAAAATATTTCAATTTATGACTGTTCATCTTTTTTCATAAAAAAGAAATTATTTATTTTCAATGGATTTGTTTCATTACTTAAGGTCAAGATCTAGTAAATGAAGGGTGCCTACAGATTTATCAAATTCAAGAAATGAATTCCTTTAATGATGCTTTATAACTTTAGCTTGGTCAAAAAAGGTATTTCGGGGCATAATTTGTAGAAAAATAAGATGAAAAACCATGTTTTAAACTATCATTTTCAATGAAAAATTAAGAAAATTAGTCATGAATATGGTAGTTTTTTCCATATCACACAAACAAAATGTATCCAGATTGCCTACAGTCTTTCAGAAAATGGTAATTTGTATGTTCTTGGTCTCTTCTTTTAAATAATCTTAAATTTAATATAGGTATCCGGACTACTTTTCATGTGATTTCAAATTGAATTCCAAGAAAATACTTTCTTTTCTACATAATTCTATTAAAGACGTAAAGTACGGGAAAAAGAAAGTTGAAGGTAATTATGACGTCATAATGGATCTAGCACCAAAATGTTAGTCTAAAGACATTTACTAGATCTTGACCTTAACGTTAACTCAGCGAGATGGGTAGAGACTAAAATTTTGGTCTGACGTCTACTTTAGTCTCTACCATCTCGCTGAGATTACACTTTACCTTGGTATGGTTCATATAGTTTGACATTGTTAGGCCACCTTTCTCTTGCTAAAATGAAGAATAAAGCGGTTTTCATTATATAGACTATAATTTTCAATAAAATGTGTTAACTACAATTATTTCTGTTCATTTCTTGAACATCGCATTTAATTAATTATATGCAGCGAGGAAATTCGAACAATCCATGCCTCTACCATGCAGACAATCAAAACTTGTAAATGGAAACACTATTTATCGAATATGTCTGTTTTAAATATACAACTTTCAATTAAAATAAAGTTGAAATGTTTTAAAATTCATCTAAATCACCCCCTAGTTCTGCTTGTACAGCCTCTGCAACTAGCGAGGTCATCTCTGTTTTGTCGGAAGTAAACTCGTTTTACTTTCACTTTCGGTTTGCCTGATGAGCGGCGGAACGGAACAACAACAAGATCAAAAGAAGCGGGTTATTGTGGGATGCACAGGGAGTGTTGCATCTATAAAAATACCTTTTCTAATTCAGGAACTAAACAATCTTAATGACAGGGTAAAATAATTGCTGTTCATGTTGATTATAACTTTTAATTTCTTTGGTTGTACATATTCATGGTTTTGACATAGCCTGATAGACAGGACTAAATAGTACAGTGTATACACATGTACCAGCAGTGCACCAACAACTAGAAAGCACAAGTTTCATGAACAAATGTTTAATTGATTGATATCAATCTATACCTAAGGGTAAAGGCATGTAAGACAAGGAGGGGGGTGTCAGTTAGGAATTAGGTATAAGTATTTTTCAGATACTTAGTATCTCAGTTGATTTAGCATCTGTCTAGACTTGAAAAGTCAAAATAAGATTTCAGTGACCGAATATTTTTTTCTTCCTCTTTTCATATTCTTGGGGTGCTCGAAATTTTGAAATAAAAGAAATTTTGTAAAGTTTTAGAATGTACAATTATCAAAAAAAAAATTGTTGTAACTAGAATACAGTTCAGTTGGTTACTTACTTTTCCAGCACAAATAAATCTAACATTAAGATATTATACAGTTATTGACTGGTATGAGTGCAACATATGATTTGTTGGACCTGAAGGTGAAAATGTTGCCCGAGGCCGCCGGCCAAGGGCAACATTTTCATCTTCAGGTCCAACAAATCATATGTTGCCTGAATTCCAGTCTATAACTGTTTTGTTATACCCTTCACTGCTCACTTAAGATTGATCAATTTTATCAATACAAGCTATACTATCAATTATTTTATATGGAAAATTATGGTTTCTTCAGTAAACATCAAGCTGAGAAAGAACAAAATCAATTATAAATCTATTATATCACAAAAATTATTCACAAAACATACTCTTCCCTTCTACCTTACCTTGCTGTTAGCAGCAACTCTTAATAGCTCTTAACTTCGGCTATTTTCGCGTCACCGATATTGAACGATGATTATTAATTGTGACGTAACAGACGAATGACGTTGCGGTCTAACAATTCTTATGTAAGACCGGTCAATAGTGATATTGTTAGACCGATGTAATAAACATTTGTTTTGTAGGACTTTTTATTAGTAATAAATATATAGAAGGATATTTATAAGGGTATAACAACATTTGGTATTTGATAGGTTGAGGTCAAGGTAGTAGCTACTGATCATGCCCTTCATTTTTTCAACAAAGACTCTCTTCCTGTTCCAGTGTTAACAGACAGTCATGAATGGGAGGTAAGCATTAGATTTATAAAAACTCCAAGATATGCAACAAATACAAACTCTGTCTCATGCAAACTTGTTTTTTTAATACCGCCACTTGAAAAGTGCATGAGTGATGAGGGTGTCCCGGGGGCCTCCTTCCCTACATCCATAACTCTTGGGATACCCATCTGTTATCTGCAACTCCTTTACCTCTTAATAAAATCAAATGAGACTATACAGAACCATTTTCTATATTGCCATTATGCACCATATATTCTTTGCTTTAATTGTACAGATATTTGTCATTCTTTCTTTTGTGTTCTGTACCAAATATTAAAAAAGATTCCACACTTTTGGTCAATTTGACAAGAAAATCTCAGGATATGGTTGTTAGTAATGGCACATTTTATGACATCATATAATTTGCATTGACAAGTGAGAAAGTCACATCTGTTTAAATATGAAGTCATCAAGGATCCAAGTGATATTTGCATATGCTGAACAGATTGGATATTTCCGAAAGCCAGTTCCTGGATGAACCTGGCTCTGTTCATTGTGTAAAAGTTCATTCCTCCTCTCCTACTTTTATTGTAAGCATTATAGAATGACTACGAATTGTCTTTTTCAGATGTGGAAAAGTGTGCAGGATCCAGTTCTTCATATTGAGTTAAGGAGGTGGGCAGACATATTAGTGATTGCCCCAGTGGACTGTAATACACTGGCCAAGATAGCTAATGGACTGTGTGACAACTTACTGGTAAGAGAGAAAAGGACAAAAAGGAATAAAATTATTAAATTCTCAAAAAAAAAAATTAATTCAGTTTTCAACTTTTCATATCAATCTGTTTTCAATATCATGGGAAAAAACAGGCATGAATTAAAATCAGATCACCTTAAAAAAGTTTAGAGATGAGTCTTCAAGTTTTAGGAGCAAGTATTTTCCCAAATAACTATAAGACCTACATGGACCAAACTTGTAAGAATGCAGCATCTATGGATGCACAGTCCCAGATATGCTTAGTATCCTGCATGTGACCAGTATTTAAGTTTTTAGCAGGTTTATCCCAGTGTTTGAAACTCACCGTAAAATTAGCTAGACATGCAGGGCTGACTGCCAGCAAAATTTGACAGCCCTACCAAAGATCCTCTAGCCAGAGAAAATAATTGTCTTTTACAAATTTCTTTTTAGCGATAATTTGAATGGGGCTAGATCACCATACCTTCAATTCCCAATCTATAGGCATACGAACTCAACCCCTTTACCTATTACACTTTGCTTCTGATATACTATAAGATAATCTGAGAAAGATTTTCAAATATATGAATTTTGATTAAAGTGAAATTTTCACACGTCCAGCTGGGCCTTTTGATCGATATGTGTAAAGCCCATGGCAAAATTTGTGCATCTCGGGCGGTCAGGCGCACGCTTATTTCAAACATTGTTTATCCCAATATCAAGTAACAATAAGCTAGATAGGTTATCCTGACCAAAACTGGATCTAGGGATGCACTCTACCAGATTTGTTTCAGATGCTGTGTCTGATCATTATTTTCTGGACAAATGATCAAAATAGAATTTTTATTTGAGTACCAGAACCTCCTTTCGTAAATATACTAGCCTAATCCCGTCCAACATTGCATGAATGATACATGAATGGATGCACACTACTAGAATTACTTTAGATGTTACCTCAGATGTACATTTTCTTCATAATTAACAAGTTTTTTTTATGCCCCCCTCCCCCTTCAAAGAAGGAAGGGCATATTGCTTTGCTGCTGTCTGTCTGTCTGTCAGTCCACCTACAGTTTCCATTCATTTTCTTTGCAGAGTTTGCACTTACTAAAATGAAATTTGGTGTACAGATTCATCATTTTAATCCCTAGGTCATGAACTGTTTTGGGTACAATCAAACAATTTTTGACAGGGTTATGCCCCTTGGACTTAGAAAATTTCCAATTATTGCACGTACTGAAATGAAATTTGGTCCATTCCAAATTAATTATAAGAACTGTAACTATTGATAATATCTATAAGTCCTACCAAGAACTAATTTACATAGATAAAGCATCTAGAGAAACACAATACCAGAACATTTAAATGGTATGAGGCTTTGCCTTACTTAAAAATAACATATCTGAGATAATTTTGTGAATTTCCATTGCCCATGCCTTTAGTAGATCAATCTCTGTTACAGACATGTATAGTGAGAGCCTGGGATCTAAATAAGCCATTGTACTTTGCCCCAGCCATGAATACCTACATGTGGGAACACCCAATCACAGCACAACAGATAGGCACACTAAAGAACTATGGCTATAAAGAAATTCCCTGTATTGAGAAAAAGCTAGCATGTGGAGACACTGGTAAGTGAAAGATACTTTTATTTATTTAATTAATGAGGCATCTTAACGTTGTCTGTTAAATGAAAAAGTTTTTCAACTTTTTTTTTGGGGGGGGGGGTTGTTACATTAAAAATTAGGAGGAATAGATATGCAATTATGGATTTGGTGAGTATTTATTACAATCATTTTATGTGAATACTTGTTTTCCTCTCTATTTATAAAGGTAGAAAAAAGATTTACACCTCCACTCCCACTCCCATCCCACCCTGGAAAAAAATGTAAAAAAAAAAAAAAAAAAAAATGGTTGCAAAGATGACAGAATTTAATCTTTAATGAATTGCTTGAGGCAAAGTACCAGTAAAGTTAAAGATACTCTTTATATTTCAGGATTTGGAGCCATGGCAGAGGTCTCTACAATTGTAGGATGTATAAAAGATGCTTTGGACTTAACATGAAAATTTCCTAATTCATAGTTTTACTAAATTAAATGAATTGTAAGGATTTGGACAGCATTTAAAGTTTCTTTTCTTGAGAATAAGCTTGTTTATAGAAGAAAGTTGACAGTTTTCTTTTTATTTTGTTGGGAAAAAGAATTGAAATGCCAGATGCATTAAAGAAGAAATAAATTGGAATCATCTGATTAGTCATTGTGTTGTGTGCTGCTCCATGATTTTATCGTTTGTCTGTCTTCTGATCTCCACAATATGGCAATAAACACTGAAGCATGTATTCCATTGTGTCTAATAATGCCATTCTACAGTTAATTAAGTCATTTCCACACTCTTCCATATTGATAGTGCACCAAAATTAGAATTAAAATTCACTGTAATGATAAGAGTTATGCCCCTTTTCTTAAATAATGCTTTCCACATTTCAAATGCACATATTTTTGCGAGTTCTAGCTAGTTTTTTTCTCTTAAAATTTCTGTTGTAATTAGTCTGATATTAAACTAAGAACTGACTAGATCAAAGATTTAAGGTTAAATTTCAAAAGAATCATAAAGACTAAATGTTATCATTGCTTAGGTGTGAAGCTTTTTATTGGACAGCTGAGATTTTCTATGATATATACATGTAGTTATTAATATGTATCAAATGTGTGAAATTGAATATCAAAATATATTTACATTTCCAGTCTTTGTCCGAGATAAAATTACAAAAATAGTAAAAAAAAATTTTTTCTACATAAAAATCTCATTGGCGCGATTAAAAAAATCAAAGTACTCAGAAGTACAGAGAGAAGGGCTCATTTACAGAGTAGAATGGATTTCCTATATGAATCACGTTTATATTCTGATGAAAAAAATTATTTTAAAACTATCAATATAAATGATAAGACACTGACAGTGAGTTTTTCAATCCTAATACCACGGTCCGACTTTGTCAGAATCAGAATTAATCTGGTACCGCAGCTGAATGTAAACAAACAGGCCAGTCTGGTTCCCTCTCCTGCTTTACCTCGTATGTGTAGAGAACTACGGTAACACTGATTATCAAAAATCCTTACGCTAATGAACTATGTTCTTTGACTTATGAAGTTTTCAAAGTCATTACTACTAATATTTATTTTATATAGATAAAACTTCGTTTTATTTTTGTTGCTTTATTTAGCGTTTGTATTATCTCAATAGCGGTTGAGAGTAAGAACTATATTTTTGCACGTAACTTTAAAATGGCGACTATGGGGTCAACATCCTGCATTGAACAGGATCACATAAGCCGGCAATTGCTCTCTGAGCAATAAGCCCGGCTAAAAACATGTGCAGGACGGAACAAACAGCTAGACAGAAGCAGGACTTGGAGCATGGATTGGCAGAATCAAAGCATGTAAATATAAGGAATAACTGTCAGATTTTTCAATTTCATGACGATGATCAATCGATTGGCTTGCGTGATAATTTTATGCATAAACGCCTTCGGCGTTTATACAAATTATCACGCAAACACCTTCGGCGTTTATGCAAATTATCATGCAACCCAATCGATTGATCACATCATGAAATCGAAAAATAAGACAGTTATTCCTTGACTCAATGTGCATGTCAAGGGGATTGTAATTTATTACAAAGGGCATTGTAACAGACTTAACGGGGCCAGTTAGAGCCTGACAAAAAATTGCCACATGTACTTTAATAAATCAGATATATATGTACTTTTATTAAAATATAAATATTAAAGGATATGTATTTCATATTTTATTTACAATATCTCGTTAACATTCTTTAACAGTTATTTACAATATTTACAAATATTTATCACATGTACATGAATTTTAAAACTTTCAACATTAATTGTGCCACCTGTTTACAGGTTAGTTTTTCAGATCCAGACATACTGTTGTGTATGCACACACACAAACAATTTTTACAAATGTACAAATAAAATTTGTTGATTAAACTGAATGTTTCATTGATAAAATGAGTATGTTACAGAAAATGAAAAGTTATAATGAAATGTCTAAGCTTGACAATGAAGTCTAATATGTGGTAAAATTTTTGATTGCAACAACATCTGACCCTCTTGGGTTCTGTCCCCTTGGCTGCCAGCTAGGCACATCATCTCCGTAACTTGGAACATAGTAATAATGTCTGCGGATTGTATTGTTTAATTCACAAAGCTTTGTTACTCCGTCCACTATGTAGGCACGAATATCTGTATCCTCGGACTTTATTCTGCCACTCTCCAGTAAATTAGCAAAAGCCTGGGAATAAATATGATTTGTATGAAATGAAGTCTAATTCCTATTTATCAAAAGATGCCTTCTTATGAATTGTTTTCGACTTAAAATGATTTTTTTTAAAAATACACTGTACAAAATTTTATGTATTTGTCTAGATTCAGCACTAACACACTTGAAAATTTTTAAAAGCAAACTCTTATACACAGTTTATTTAAATAACATAATTTACATATATTTTAGGCATGTTTTCTTTAAATCTTTACTCACAATAGTTGCTGGTTCCTCCAGTTTGTTTCCCCAGATAAAGATTTGTTCAAGAGATGTGTTCACTTTCAGGGCATCAGCCAAAGCACACAGACCTTTGTTTCCGATATTGTTATATGATACCACCAGTCTAAGAAAGTTAAACAAGAGTCCCATGGACCACATCGCTCACCTGAGTACCAAGGGTAGGACTAGTATAAAATGTCTTTTTATTGTAAAGTTCAAATCCAAAAGTAGTCCCATGACCAATCATGGATTTGCTATTTTTAGAAAATGATTGAGAAGAAGATTTTTAAAAAATTTTCCTATATATTTCTATGTAAAACTTTGGTCGGCCATTTTGGCCCCGTCCTACCCCCAGGGATCATGATTTAAAAAAACTTGAATCTACACTACCTGAACATGCTTCCATATAAATATGATGAATAATGGCTTTGTCATTCTTGACAAAAAGATTTTTAAAGAATTTTCCTATATATTTCTATGTAAAACTTTGGTCGGCCATTTTGGCCCCGCCCTACCCCCGGGGTCATGATTTGAACAAACTTGAATCTACACTACCTGAGCATGCTTCCATATAAATATGATTAATTATGGCTTTGTCATTCTTGAGAAGAAGATTTTTAAAGAATTTTCCTATATATTTCTATGTAAAACTTTGGTCGGCCATTTTGGCCCCGCCCTACCCCCAGGGGTCATGATTTGAACAAACTTGAATCTACACTACCTGAGCATGCTTCCATATAAATATGATGAATTATGGCTTTGTCATTCTTGAGAAAAAGATTTTTAAAGAATTTTCCTATATATTTCTATGTAAAACTTTGGTCGGCCATTTTGGCCCCGCCCTACCCCCGGGGGTCATGATTTGAACAAACTTGAATCTACACTACCTGAGCATGCTTCCATATAAATATGATGAATTATGGCTTTGTCATTCTGGAGAAAAAGATTTTTAAAGAATTTTCCTATATATTTCTATGTAAAACTTTGGTCGGCCATTTTGGCCCTGCCCTACCCCCGGGGGTCATGATTTGAACAAACTTGAATCTACACTACCTGAGCATGCTTCCATATAAATATGATGAATTATGGCTTGGTCATTCTTGAGAAGAAGATTTTTAAAGAATTTTCCTATATATTTCTATGTAAAACTTTGGTCGGCCATTTTGGCCCCACCCTACCCCCGGGGGTCATGATTTGAACAAACTTGAATCTACACTACCTGAGCATGCTTCCATATAAATATGATGAATTATGGCTTTGTCATTCTTGAGAAAAAGATTTTTAAAGAATTTTCCTATATATTTCTATGTAAAACTTTGGTCGGCCATTTTGGCCCCGCCCTACCCCCGGGGGTCATGATTTGAACAAACTTGAATCTACACTACCTGAGCATGCTTCCATATAAATATGATGAATTATGGCTTTGTCATTCTGGAGAAGAAGATTTTTAAAGAATTTTCCTATATATTTCTATGTAAAACTTTGGTCGGCCATTTTGGCCCTGCCCTACCCCCGGGGGTCATGATTTGAACAAACTTGAATCTACACTACCTGAGCATGCTTCCATATAAATATGATGAATTATGGCTTGGTCATTCTTGAGAAGAAGATTTTTAAAGAATTTTCCTATATATTTCTATGTAAAACTTTGGTCGGCCATTTTGGCCCCGCCCTACCCCCGGGGGTCATGATTTGAACAAACTTGAATCTATACTACCTGAGCATGTTTCCATATAAATATGATGAATTATGGCTTTGTCATTCTTGAGAAGAAGATTTTTAAAGAATTTTCCTATATCTTTCTATGTAAAACTTTGGTCGGCCATTTTGGCCCCGCCCTACCCCCGGGGGTCATGATTTGAACAAACTTGAATCTATACTACCTGAGCATGTTTCCATATAAATATGATGAATTATGGCTTTGTCACACAGAAGAAGATTTTTAAAGAATTTTCCTATATCTTTCTATGTAAAACTTTGGTCGGCCATTTTGGCCCCGCCCTACCCCCGGGGGTCATGATTTGAACAAACTTGAATCTATACTACCTGAGCATGTTTCCATATAAATATGATGAATTATGGCTTTGTCATTCTTGAGAAGAAGATTTTTAAAGAATTTTCCTATATCTTTCTATGTAAAACTTTGGTCGGCCATTTTGGCCCCGCCCTACCCCCGGGGGTCATGATTTGAACAAACTTGAATCTACACTACCTGAGCATGCTTCCATATAAATATGATGAATTATGGCTTTGTCATTCTTGAGAAGAAGATTTTTAAAGAATTTTCCTATATATTTCTATGTAAAACTTTGGTCGGCCATTTTGGCCCCGCCCTACCCCCGGGGGTCATGATTTGAACAAACTTGAATCTACACTACCTGAGCATGCTTCCATATAAATATGATGAATTATGGCCTTGTAATTCTTGAGAAGAAGATTTTTAAAGAATTTTCCTATATATTTCTATGTAAAACTTTGGTCGGCCATTTTGGCCCCGCCCTACCCCCGGGGGTCATGATTTGAACAAACTTGAATCTACACTACCTGAGCATGCTTCCATATAAATATGATGAATTATGGCTTTGTCATTCTTGAGAAGAAGATTTTTAAAGAATTTTCCTATATATTTCTATGTAAAACTTTGGTCGGCCATTTTGGCCCTGCCCTACCCCCGGGGGTCATGATTTGAACAAACTTGAATCTACACTACCTAGGATGTTTCCCCATAAGTTTCATCTTTCCTGGCACAGTGGTTCTTGAGAAGAAGATTTTTAAAATATACCACTAAATTTTCATTAATTCCCAATTATCTCCCCTTGAATAAGGGCGTGGTCCTTCATTTGAACAAACTTGAATCCCCTTCACCCAAGGATACTTTGTGGCAAGTTTGGTTGAAATTGGCCCAGTGGTTCTTGAGAAGAAGTCGAAAATGTGAAAAGTTTACAGACAGACGGACAGACAGACAGACGGACAGACAGACAGACGGACAGACAGACAGACAGACGGACGCCGGACAAAATGTGATCAGAAAAGCTCACTTGAGCCTTCGGCTCAGGTGAGCTAAAAATCAGATATTAAATAAACCAAATGACTGTCAAAAGAGCTTTCATTTTGATTTTTGTGGAGATAAATTGTATGAAATCAAGGATCCAAGAAAGTTAGAAAGTGCATACAAGTTGTACCAGTGAATACTTGCATTGAAACAAATTCCCAAATCTAGCTAACATTAGCAGAATAATATGAGTGCAATATATAATTTTTTTTTTTAAAAAAAAAAACATCACGTGTAAAAATGCTAGCAGTTTTATTTTTTCCTGAAAACATCTCTAAATTCCCACTTGGTCTTGCATGACTTACGTTTTAAGATTTGTGTTGTACGTAGAGAGAGCCTCTGCGATATGACTTAAGTTTTAAGATTGTGTTGTATGTAGAGAGAGGCTCTGCGATATGACTTACGTTTTAAGATTTATGTTGTACGTAGAGAGAGCCTCTGCGATATGACTTACGTTTTAAGATTGTGTTGTACGTAGAGAGAGCCTCTGCGATATGACTTACATTTTAAGATTTGTGTTGTACGTAGAGAGAGTCTTTGCGATATGACTTACATTTTAAGATTTGTGTTGTACATAGAGAGAGCCTCTGTGATATGACTTACGTTTTAAGATTTATGTTGTACGTAGAGAGAGCCTCTGTGATATGACATACGTTTTAAGATTTGTGTTGTACGTAGAGAGAGCCTCTGTGATATGACTTACGTTTTAAGATTTGTGTTGTACGTAGAGAGAGCCTCTGCGATATGACTTACGTTTTAAGATTTGTATTGTATGTAGAGAGAGCCTCTGCGATATGACATGCCCCATCATCCTCCAGTCTGTTGTAACCGAGGTCCAGAATCTCTATCGCCGTGTTCTCCTTCAGGACCTTAGCCAGCTCTAATGCACCATCCCTGGTCACTCTGTTGCTATAAATAGTACTCTAATGCATGAGTTCAAAAAGTTTTTTTTAGGAAAAAGGCCATTTTAATTGTTTTTGTTTTGTTTGGTTAACAATGAGTTTTCAAGAAAAAATACTGTTGCAATGATTGCTTGAGATAAATGGATTAAGCAGATACATGAAATGACAGTGCACTTTAATTACCAGCTTAAGTCCAAGTATTTCAAGCTATTGTTTTGCATTAAATTCTCAGCAAGACGAGTTGCTCCAAAGTCTCTCATATCATACTTCTGTAAGTGAATTTCTTCTAATGTTGTATTCACCTGAGAAAAATAAATATTGCAATAAATCAGTTGAGTCAATCTCAAACATACCAGTATTTAAAAACTTTGAAAGATGAAGTTCCCAGTACATTACTTAATTCACAAAAAAGCAACAAAAAAAAAAAATACATGTAAAATAAGTATACATGAATATATTGATTAGAATCTTACATGTAGCATCTTAGCATAGTGCACAGTTGTCTCCTCTTGATGGGTGAATAAAAGTGGTCTGTTGATATTAAGTGCCTTCAGTGTCTTGTTTTGGTATAGAACTGTTGATAATGCGATGATACTTTCAATGGTCTGCAAAATAATTTAAGATTAAGTTTATTTCTTTTTCAAGAGAATATGAATACAGAGTAAGGGAACTTAATTAGAGTATGGTTTAAAAGTGTGAAATAGATACATTCCATAGAAAGGGGTCTCATACCAAATCACAGTCTGCTACATCCAGGGTCTCTAATGTGTTGTTGACTTGTAAAACCTGAGCAAATGCCATGCCACTTCTATTTCCTATCTTGTTTCCAGTTAATCTCAAAGATTTTAAACTTTGGTTGGTCTGAAAATAGGTACAAGTGTTAAAGATTCTCAAATAAGAAGAAAATTGGAAGAGATTAACTACAATATCCATCCAATTAATCAGTACATGTATATCGGAGTACTTTCAATAAATTTGTTGGGTACTTAAAATGAGTGCATCCTGGCTACACATTTTTAAAAGTACCTGTATACGTATGATAATCAAGCTTTTGTTATAAGTACCCAGTCCTTTTGGGGTATAATATAAGTACTTTCTGACTACATTTTTGATAATTACCTGTAGACTTTTGGCAAGGGCTTCTCCTCCCTCAGGACCAATGTCATTCCCCATCAGATTTATGTCCTTTAGAGTGGCACTCTCCTACAAGGAAACAGGTCATTACATTTCCTTAATAATACTTTTCTGATGGATGTACACAGAATTTAAAAAAAAGTATCTTGATGACAAAAGTTTTCAAAATATATGCATGATAAACTTTTAAGCTTTCAGTGCTTTACCAGAAAAAGAAAATTTCACATAAAGGCTTTGAATGTGCACCTTATTCTTTAGATGAACCACATACCTCAATAAGTTTAGCTATATGTTTGGCTCCTTCATCAGTGATATTGTTGAACCTAAGATCTATGCTGGTGACATATAGGTTGTTCTGTAGAGTTTTGTACAAGGCAATCATGTCATCGTCCACAAGACGTTTGTCTGTCAGTAAGTGATTGTTCCCAGCAAGATAAAGATGCATGTTTTCTTTAAATTCACTGCAGAAACCAATGAAAAGGAAAATCATTTCTGTTTTCAATTAGTCTTATTTTAATGATAACAAAATTTTGATTTATAAATTTCAATGGGAATACAAATCCTGATGAATCCTCATTTATGAGGTATAACATGCTGGTGTGATATTTATTTAAATTCTACTTTTAATAAAACCCTTAATTAATGCATGTAAATTAATAAATTTTTGCATAAATAAATTTAAAAAGATACATATGATCTGAAAAGTTAGTTGATTTGAAAGTTTATTTCTTTAGAAATTAGTAAAAATCTTTCATACCTACCAAATTTTCAACATTATGAATTAAGCCAATTTTATTAATGTGTTATTAAATTGCAAGTCAAAACCACAGACTTTTAGTAATTTTATTAAATTTTCAATAAGAAATCAAATCTATTTGGTTAAATTACATGAATTTATTTTTATTTAAGCTATGTCTAGGTGACATTCAAACTTTTCAACTCACACAGTTCAAGGGATGCTGGGAAAATATTGATTCAATGCAGGGAAAAAACATCCTTAAAGAATCTCATTTCTTGTTAAAAGTGCTCCTGTCAAATAAATCAAGTTTTATCTGAAATCTCATAAGCTTTTATAAACTGAGATTCTTTAAGAATGCTCCAGTTTCTGGAGTATTTCAATCTAACATACATTCAACAAGAGGCCAGGGTAGGGATCATTTTGTATCATTACACAACACTTTGGTACATTTATGACATAGTGTAACAATAAATGATGTTTTCAGATACTTTTCATTTTTTTTTATTTTGGTACAATTATTAATTTAAGAACTGGTAATATACTTCAAAACAGTTACTGACATGGAGTATTAAAAGGAGAGTTTGATTGGAAATTCCTGTACCTGAAACGGCTGTCTCGACCGCTGTCAATTGAGCTATCGACAAAAGAAAGTCTTTACCAAAAACGACAAAACTAAATTGTGAAGGGACATTTAATCAAATACAAAGCTTCAGTAAACAATTTTTAAAGACATTTTCATGTTTTAATTGTGGATGGTTCACATAATAATTATTGACATGCATATATATCAAAGTCAAGTATTATGCCCATTTCATGCTTCTAGATAATGCACAGAGATGTCTACAAGTGTGTGTGCTCAAATTTTTTTTTTCTTTTTTGCTGTAATCATACTGCAGTAATTGTACTGCAAGTTGGCTTCCATGAAAAGAACTGGGGGAAAATGTGTTTGTGAATCTTAAAATTAAATTACTGAGTTTAAAAGAAATATATATTATTATATTGTCATAATTGCTACACTTTAAGAGAATTGTCATAGTCTAACCCACATTAGTTTGTAATTTAGTTAGCTTAAAACCATGCAAGACATTTTTAAAGAATCAATGAACCAAGAAGGAATAAACTAAACATGGAAGGGTAAATGCTAGAACATGCCATCAACAGAAGAAGTATGGATATTAATCAACCATGTCATCTAATAAAACAGATGATCAATATTAAAATTTATCTGTTTCTTTAAAGCATTTAAAAGAAGAGAGATCGATATAAGAGAAAAAAAAACATAATCCATACTTCTTCAAATGATATTTTAATGTAAAGATTCAATAACAACTAGAATGTAAAAAAAAAAAATAACAAGTTTTCCAAGATAGTTACCAACTCAGTGTTTTCATACTTACCCATTCTTTTTCATTCTGTGAGTGTGCAGTAATTCAAAATTGTGACATTATTCAAATCAAAGTGATAATAATTATGAAATAATCAAACAGGATTTTTGCATGTTAAAATTATAAGTCTTTTGGGAGTGAAAGTTTAAAAAATATAGAATGTATGTAAATCTACGGAAAAAAAAATCACCTGTAAAAAATTATAAAGTTAGTAGTTTCAAAAAAGTGATAGAAAAATCATCAAAATTATTTTACTATTTGTTAAACATATGGACATGTTATCAAGTGATGGGTACAGAAAAATATTCTGAGTTTGGTTCAATCCAAGCAAATATTATTCTTAACTTAAGAATAAATTTTACAAATTTAACTCCAAATCAAGATGAAAAAACACGTGCAACAATATACCGTAAAATCTATTTTCAATTTATGTTATCTACTATGATCAAAAACTTACAAGACTGTTTCTTCTTTCTCCTTTTCAAGCATTTTCACGACATATGGATTCGGAGTAACTCCCAGCTCCGTGCACACAGCATCATACCTGTATGCTGTTGAGTGTATGTCAGACATGATGCTTTTTCTGGGCGGAAAAAGAGAAAAGTGTGGTATAGAGAAAATTCTGACTAGAGGAAATTTATTTCAAATGTATTTTCATATTAAGATATTCTTTATTAACTTGAAATTTAATGATAATTAAAGTTGAGACCTATTAAAATGCAGATTTAGAACAGAGTCAATAAATTTGCTTACCAAAAAGAAAAGAATTGAATGTTTCGAGCAAATCTTCAGCGTCAGGTTGCTATGCAATATCTTAAACCTCGTATTTTCTCGCAGGTGGTTTTTAAAGTTTTAGATATATCGTACATATAAAATTCGAGCTTAGTTGCCGATTCTAATTCCTTACAGGAACAGTATAAAGCATATTTTTCTGATTAGATATTTTCAGATTTTATAAAATGTATATTTAGTTTATGTGAAATTATTTCAACAGAAAATTTCAAAGCTGAATTTATTAATACGGATATTTCGCTTTTCCCTTCCTGGTTTGCATTTTAATTTTGACCTTTGACACAACAAGAATCTGAGGAGAAAATTGTGATAAATTATGCTTATTTTGCGTTGAATTACGTCCAGCCAACCTCAGCAGAGAAATAGAAATTGTGAATTTGTAAAAGTGACATAATATTCCCAACTTATACTACAGATTTTTGACACAGGTAAGTAGAAGAACCCGGTGACACCTAAGAAGGTTGTCGTCTGTAATTGAAAGATGACAATATCATCATGTGATGATCCTTTTGTTTACATCTTTCAGAGATGATATTATCATGGTACGCATATTAGCAAAAGTCCTATAATCAAAACATTGCTATTTTTCCAAGTAAAGGTCTTGACACTGGATGCACACCTTCATGTGTTAGATCTACCTCCATGACCCCCCCCCCCCCCCTTTCACGATTAGCAATATGATTTTTACTGGCTGTATATGATAAATATGTATATAATTATATTTTATGATTTAAACTGTCATCAACAACTGCTTTTTTTCTATTTTGATGCTTACTTATATTTCAAGCACATGTTAAAGTGTTTTACAGCTGTTTGATCTCCATGATCACTGTCGAATGGGTGCAATTGTTAAGACACACAGGGTATGTTTATGTCAAATTTCCCTACTGAGAAAAGTAGATAGAATAATATAAAACTGGCGAAAGCTTTTGGCATCATTGATGGTAGCAAAAAGGGAATGAGAATTAATTCATTACTCTTTTTGTATCTCTGCTTTTGCTTTGGGTCATTGTGGAGATTCTATTTCTTGACAAAATATAAACTAGCTTTAGCTATAAATTGAATAAAGTCATCATTTACTCTTTTTGGGAATTAAATGAATGCAATATCAGGCACGTAGCATCAACTTTGAAAGTGGGGGGGCCAGCCACAGAAATTTTTTTTTTTTAACTACCTGAAAAAGTTGACAAGCAAAAAAAAAAAAAAGGAAAATTGCCCAAAGTCGAAAATCCTATTTCGTGGGGGGTGGGGGTGGGGGGTGGTTTGGGGGGTTAGAGGCAAACTTTTTTCACTACCAATTCCTTTCAATATCCATTTTTTATGTTTACAATACTATATTTCTTTCATATTACTTTACTTTAGGTTAAAGTGGAGGGGCCAACCAGCCTTTCAATGAACATTTTCAATAGTGAAAGTATTGTTGGCAAAAAAAAAGACAAAAATTGGGTGGGGTCAGGCCCCCCCTGTTGCTACGTCCCTCAATATGTATTATTATTGTATAGTTAATTTATAAAGTCACTATATAATGTACAACTTCTCAAAATTGAAGCATAAAGCACTGTGTGCAGTGCTATACAGATATTAAATTTGTTAAAATCCGGCTACCGCCACAATAGGGAATTCAAGTTTTACATAGAAATGTATAGAACAAATCTTTAAAAATTTGGCCGGTTGATGTGGAAGCACAGTGTAGATATTAAATTGTTAAAACCGGAGTGCAGGAAAAAATTCAGGAAAATATTTTAATTTTGAAAATTTCGTTGTTTATTTACAAGTTCATTATTATACATTATATGAAATATATATTAAATGATGAAAAATCAATGGGCAGGATATTTTGTGTAGTCTAGAAATTATAAAATAGTCTCTTATGACTTACTGTATATTTCTTTTAAGTTTTTCACGAAGTTTATGAAAGTCGGGTGAAATGTAATTGTAAATCAAAATCTACAGACACCATAATATTAGGAGGCCTACTATATATCAAGCGAATCATGTTTCGCTTGTCAAAGAGCTCATTCAATGTAAAAACAGTAATGCACAATTATTCACGATGTGCTAATTATTAGATTGAACTTTTAATTTTCATGTAAAAAATTACGTCTTCCCCCACAGTGTTATGGCGCCAGTTTGTTGAAATGCGTCCCCCCCCCACCCCGTTGCTTTTCGTCCCTCAATATGTATGATTATATATTCACTATTAATGTAAATCGCGTACATATTTTTTTTGTTATAATGTGGTAAAAGGATCGAGTTAAAACAAAATTTTTTTTTTAAATTGTAATTCAATCATATACTAGTATTTTTTTTTCAACTGGGCTGTGTCACCGCTGCGTTTCACTGAGTTCGTTTCATGGCACTGCTAATGTATTTTAGATTTCACAGATTATAATATAGATGTCACCACGATGGGTGTTAATTGCTTTGAAGTAATTTTTTGTGGCCGGATTTTAGTGAAATAATTATTTCGTTAATTATGAGCAGTTTCAGAATTTTCAGTGTATGGCCGTTCGACAAGTACATACATTGAAAATACCTCATAATACCTAATAATAATTTTATTAGAAAAAATAATTTTCTCCTAAAAAACAACTTTTTTTAATCTGTGCATAAAACATGAATTTGTTAAAATGAATTACATGTGTCAATTTGAATGAATAATGTTTAAACTGAAAATTTTAAAAAATATTTGGTATAAAAAGTCCACTTTCAAGAGTTATCTTTCCTAATTACCCAAGACTCAAAACACTAAGGAACGTTTGACATTACATCTAAATTTCAGAGCAAAGCTTTAAATTGCAGATTATACATTTAAATCAATGAAGCAAATATATAAATTAACACCAACAAAGTAAATAGTGCATAAAGAACTTTTTAATTTCAACAAGGTTGTAAATATCAACCTACATTTTGATTGATAAGTCACTGCATGCATCGCTATGAAATTGACATTATTAAAGATTTGATTGTTTTCTTTTGCATTTAACAATTCTTCTTGGTTTATGACAAATGAATCCGTTACTTTGCTTTCACTGTTTATAACACCGCACGTTTCATCTATTTTTAAAGCGTTTTAATGGTCATATAACCATGAATAATTGGACACAATGGAGGTTTATTTTTTTGTGTAGTACGTCATCAAAAAGTGATGTAATGAGCCTCTTTAAGTTTAATTCATACAACATAAAGGTACTTGTTTCAAGTTTGGAATAAATGAAAAATTATTTTTACATATATTAGAACTCTGAAGTAATCTATGTACATGTGTAAGCTTAACTAAGACTTTTTCCTTGATGAATTTGAAATAGCAATGCCATATAACAGTATCATTTTTATCGGTAATAGATGTACATTGTATTTTAACTAGTACACTATATTTATTACACATACTTTGTCAATACATTAAATCATGAATATTCTTATAAATTAGATGTTAAAAAGCAATAGGTTGAATATCCCATGTTTAATTGTAATTTGACAAATCTATATTTAAATTATTTTGATCTTTTACTTGAAAATGCTTATTTCAAACTAAAAGCTAATCTTTTTGATAAAAATGTTGACTTTTATTTTCCCATTTTGTACTTCTACTTCCATTATTTAGTATCTCTATTGCATGCATATGGTGTTTATGTCTCCTAGATATTTTAATACACATGAACCCAACTTCTGAAATGAGATAGGCTACTGACAAATAAGTCGAAGTTACAAGATACACTAGTACAGTGCATTAATAACTTTTTTTAAAGTCAACAGTTCCCAAATTCTATAGTAGCTAAATGGATAGTAGATAAATGGGAAATGTTTCACAGTTTGCAATTACAACCTTCTGTTATGTTGAATGATGACTGAAGTATTTAATCATGTTAATATAAATTCATGATTTCAACTTTTCATACTCTTATAACCCAAACAAGTTAAAGAGCTTTTTAGCAGGTAAAAACCGGTCACAGGATTTTTTTTTTCTTTCGTGATTTCTGATCTTATATCTGATATTTACACAGTCTCTTTGTTTTCTTGAATTGGATCCGCTGTTTGAACATTTTTACTTCATTATGTTTACTGAATCAAATACCTTAGATAAACCATTTTTGGTTCAGACTAATAAAAATTTTAGAGTTGTATATTTGATTTTAACAAAACCCAGAAAAAATACTCAAATAATATAAGTTGAAGTAAGAACAGATAGAAGGCAAAATGAGATCATTGACCTCCAATATCAAAATTTTAATTTTTTTATTTACCTATCACTGTGTCAGTTTTTCTCCAATTGCCATGCCTTAACTTTTAACAAGATTAAAAATCAAATGACATTTAAAATGTTTGCAGATATGAATATGATTTGATACAGACAATTTTAATGTTTATTGACTGTTCCAACCTTTTCTTGTCTTATTTGGAGTTTTCCTTAGATGAACACATTTTTTTCACACCCTTTTATGGCAAACAAAATTTTCCCTATCTGACGTCTTATATAATATTTGCAACATCTACTGGTAGCCTGAGTCCAAACACCTGCAGTAACACGATCCTATCTGGAGACCCTAATTATAACATGTAGCAAATCAAAGATCAGATAATCAGACCATATTATTACTGATGCTGTTTTCATTTGATCCCACCCACACTAATAAACATAGAGATTTTCCCTTTTTCTCTGCTTGAGAACTGCTCTCCTAACTGTCCTGGTTTTAACATTTGTTCCAGGAAGCATTTGTTTCCAAACAAAATCTGTTATTTAAAAATAATCTTTGTCTGATTCACACAGTTATTGATCTATGAATCATAGTATTTTGTATATTTTTTGGTGTGTATTTGATAACAGTTAAAGACAAAAGGCATATTGATTTAAAGCAAGACATTTCCCTGCAGAAGTCCAATAATGGCATGTTCCAGGCTTAATCGATATGTCCAAGGCTCTCTCTCAACTAAGATGCTGGGATTGCTTGCTTCGGAACAAGAAGATAAATAGAATTTTTATACAAGATCATATTTAGCCAACGGCTTTGTTGTATTAAAAAGTATCAAATTCTAAGGACATTTTTTTTATTCAGTTGCAGTATTCTGAATATATTCTTAGACTAGATATCCACAGTGTTGTATAGAATTATTGGGTCAGAATAGGATGGGGGAGATTGTTGTTTTATGTAATAGCATTTACCCATCCGATATATTTGTTTTGTCAGCATTACTTCCATTACTTGTAAGATGATTTATCTATAGTCTTTGTATCATGAAAGAGATGATTCTGATTTGCTAAGACATTATATCTATACTTGTAAATGCTGCCTTTTGAAAAAAACAGAATATAAAGCTCTAACTTTACAATAGTAATGGCACAAATGTTCATCTCTCTGCAGATATCTTTTCTTGATATTTATCAGCTAAAATGATTTTTATTTACTAGCTCACTTTAGCCTTACACTCAAGTTAGCTTTTTAGAGTGATGTGATTTTTTTTGTGTGAAGTACACTCTATCAAAAAATAAATAACTTTAGTCCTTTGTAGACCAAACTTCCATGCCGGAAATTGAATCTGGTCTACAATTTCTGGAAAACAAGTCCATTCTCATTTAACTATAAGCCTTGAGTGGACCAATTACATGCATAGATGATGCAGCTAAGAAATGGACACTCAAAGACTTGCTTCAGATGGTGTAGCTGACTGACATTTTCCAGATTATTGAATAGTACCGTAAATGTTTGTTGAAGCAAGTCGATCAGTTCCCAAGTGACTGTAACACAAAGTTCTTCTCAGATTAAACTTGCATTTATGCTGTATCTACAAGTGCAAACAAAAATTCATTTGGTGTAAGACTTCTAGAAAAAAATTGTCAAGAGGTCTTTGGTTTCCCCTTTTTGCATTCTACATTACCAGCTGTAAAATAACTATAGAAATAATTTTATACAGTAATGAATAGATTTAGAATGTATTACTAACTATTTTGGATGAAACTGTAGATCACTAAATGACTAAGACAAAAATCTTCATCTGATATTACTTTTATAAATTATGTTGATTGACTTACTAGTAATTATAGTAAGATTTTAAAGTGAAGAAGATTTCTTAATGTACTGCGGTAAGTTATGTAAGTAACTTTATTTTAAATCTAGATGTAAGTTTTTCTGTAAAGCCCTAGAGAAGACAAACCAATGCATAAACAATGACATGTACTTGATAGTACTCTCACGTACAGTGAGTTATTGTGTGCTTCATCACTTTCCATAAATGGTATTCCCTTTGATTTACTAGAATTCCCTTTTATGTGTAATCCCCAGCACACAGAAGGGACACTAACACTCTCTGCTGCCAGATCTATACACTAAATACTGCCACTACAAAGTCCTTCTGTCAGAAAATCATTAAGGCTTCTAACAGCCCAAAGATCAATATTCCATTCCAAACTCAAGAGTGATTCAGAATGCAGTACAGAATTCAAGCTTGGGAGTGAAGCAGTCTTATTATAATATGATAACACATGACGTTATTTTGTATTAGCATTTTATTAAACCGGAATTGTAACATTTTGTTGTAAGTCACAGGAATTTTAGGAAGTTTTTTGTAGAAAATTGACAGAAAAGTGAATGTGTACTGTGTTTGTTGGACTTGATTGCTTCTTCAGCAAATCATTTGACAAAACTTTGTTTTTATTTCAGGGAGAAAATTTAGAAAATGGATTAAAGCGATTAGTAAGCTGTAGCAGAATGGACACTAATTTTACAGACTACCAGGCTGAAAGATTTTAACTTGAGTGAAAGTACCAAATAAGGAGATAAAGCTATTAAAGGTAGGGTACCATAAAGACAGATGGTTTAATTCAATCAATTAACATGTATTGATCAGTACACCCAGGGAGTTGATGACCTTTAAATGAAGTCTGTAAAAATTATGTTGATTTAATTTAGCATTTTATTTTCTTTCTAATTTATCAGAATTTTTTAAAGTTTGTTGCAAGGTTTGTGTTTCTGAGTATCAGATTTGGCTCCCAATATTGATATTTGATTTGTTAATTATTTGTAAAGGAAGGATTGACAATATTGGAAATTCAGTCAGACATGATGTCAGGGAAATGTTTATGCATAGACAGGCAGGCTCCCAGGCTCCGTATTGATTTAGTTCTATTGGAATGTAAGGTGAAGCAATATAGACATCAGGGACCAATCAATATTAATTATTTACCCAGTAAAATTATTTTCTCAAGTATAAGTAGATTATATGTGTTTAAATATATTATGATTATTGAATTCATTTGATAGATACATGTATTAATGAGTAAAAAGGTTATATCCCTTGGCCCAAAACTTGAATTCTTAATGCCATATGGAATAGAATTTGAGGTTGAAGACCTTATTGAGGAAAATAATTGGCTGTTGTTGAAAATGAATAATTCTGCTATTTCACAGTAAATGATAGAAAATGGCATATTGGAAGATATTTAAAAGATATGATTTTCAGATTTGGACATGTTCAGTTGAAACTGACTGGTCAATTTGATAATATAGGAAGTTTTATATAAAAAAAAAATAATTTGATAATTGTATAGATTGAGGTACAAATAGTTGTATTATGAAATTCACAGTCCACCCCATATCATTTAAAATAGGTGTTTTTAATTAATTAGTGTAATATACTACCAGACAAATGAATATACTTCTAAACATACAGACACAGTTATTTATCTTTTGTCTTTTAAGTTCCTGGCTTTTGTCACTCTTTTAAAAGTTCCTGTTTGAAATCAATAAAGTCTACTTAATTCACTCTTAGTGTTTTTTTTCTATATAGGGATATTTTAACATCTTTAACAACTGTGTTGTTTCAGTCACATTCCATATCTTTCCTGTGTCAAGATTCACATTCAAAGTTTCCTACCAATGAGTTTGTACCATAAAACAATGAGTCATTATGTTTTATCAATGCTAATAACTTAGCATGAGATCAGAAAATATATTTGAAATATTCTTGTTTAGTTATAAAGGTATATTGAATCAGTGATCATGGTGATCAGTTTGTTCATTGGTTTCCTGTTTTGTTCACTTTGAATTCAAGCTTCCTTTTGAGCTCTATATCAAGGTGTCTTTTGTCCATCTGTCTTTCTTTCTGTCAATTTCTTTCTCTATTCCTCCCACAGTGTTGTTCAAATTTCAGTAAAACTTGGCATACAAGTAGATTAAATCAAGATGCATAATTTTTAGCACTTTTAAAATTCCAATTAATGCTCTGTGTGCCATGTTTACTTAAAAAAAAATGGAGAAAACCTTCAAAGCTGAATATAAGAAGCCATATTCAATGAAGAAATCTAATCTTTATCTCAAATGATAAAAAAGGTAGGGGGTTTCTGATCAGAAGAGAATTAACGATGTAGTGAGATTGTCATAGTTAGGGCATTGGTCTAGAAAATTTCACAGACCCAGACAGTAACAGGAAAAAGAAATTTCACTCTGATTCCACTCATTTGATGTATAAGGTAATTAACCATTTTTAAAAATGCCAAGGTTTGGATCTTTGATATCTAATTGAATGTGTCTTTTAATTTCGATTGTTCTTGTGCAAGTAAATTATCCTTTTTTTTTCTTTTTTTTTTGCTTTGAGAATTTGATAGAAGGAGAGTATTGGTTGATCACTGGGTATTAACTGGTGAAACAATTACATATCGATCTTTGTAATCGAGGTTCAGTTGATGTTAATATGGACAATTATGACAAAGGGCGTATGGAATGTAAAACTAAGCAAATTTACAATGGCATGTTCATGTTTGAAATGTCTTTTTGAATTAATCTCCTAATGGATAAAAATTCTCTATCTTTGTTATTCAAAGCAATCTACAGTATATTGCAGGTCTTTATTTAAGTACATGTACACTTTTTAAATTATTGTTCAAATGCAAGGTTTCACGAAAACACTAGCTTGTTATTAAAAGTGCAATACAGAATTGAATAACTGCATGATTACATATTTTGCATCCATTAATATACTTGTTCATTTCAGCATACTGAAAATCATTTTTATTCACAAGGACTCTATTTTTACTTAGTATGAATAAAAAAGAGAAGATAATTTATATTAATGTTTTATAATGAACTGCAGAAACAGTGTCACTTGATCATGGAACCATTTTGGTCCTCGGGTCTCTTTAATCATGTTTTCTTATTATTTCTTTTCAAAGAGTTGTAAGGTTTAATTGATATAACATTGGAGATATAATATTTATTTGTTCATTTACATATATAATAAACTTTCATGTTTTATTTTCCAGCATTATGTCTTCTGTGAAGGTAGCAGTGAGGGTGCGGCCCTTCAACAGCCGCGAAATGAACCTCAACTCCGAGCTTATCATAAACATGAAGGACAAAACAACAAGTAAGTCAAGCCGGAGTCGGTTGTATAGGAGATCTACATCATTGTCATTTACTTCAGATTGTATCTCCAGAGCAAAAGAAAGCACACTGGGAAAATAACGATTATACATGTACCAATACATGCATTGCTGCAATTTTTTATTGCAAAACACATGGGCAGTCTACTCATATTAAGGCACCTGCTATTGCAGTGTTTATCTAAGAACACAAGAAAAGGTTAAGGTACCATTCAGTAGAAACTGAGTCTATTATTTACAGTGTTTGTCACAAAAATTTACTAAGCCTGCTGGAAAAATGCAAAGTGGAAAAAGAAAGAAAAAAACAGAGAGATCTTGTATTAATTGAAGTGCATGTATTTTAATTATAATGATATTGATGTACATGTATAACAATCTACCCCAATAAGACATGCTGTAATAAGATGTAATATAAAACCTGTTTGCTGCATTACATTCCTAATAAGTACATGTACATTTGCTACATCTAATCTGCCTGGTGGCAGTACAGTTATATAGCAGCCACACACATTGATCTGTGATGTTTGCTTGTTCTTCTGCAGTACAAACCTGTTTTTTATGAGCATTTTAATAAAACTTGAGAAATTTACATGTTTCAAATTTTGTGCCATTTTCAGTTCCATTATTTATATAATTGAGTGCTTAATTGAATTCTTTTAAGTATTAATCTTCTTTATAATATTCCATAAATTAAATAAAATCTTTAATTTTTTTATGTTGATTTTTTTTTTTTTGTAGTAATAATATACTAGTATTCAAAACTACAGAGAATCAAAATTACTTAACTATAATCATGAATTCATTATAAGTATGTGTAGGTTATTCCCCGTTAAGCAGATTTTACTGTATTTGTACTATTTTATTCTATTTTCAGCCATTACCAATCCCAAAGCAGGCCCCAAAGATGTCAAAATTCGCAACTTTAACTTTGACCACTCATATTGGTCACACACTAATGTAAGATTATGCAGTTTTTAAGATGTACTTTTTCAAGATCCATAATACTTACCGGTAATTTTAAAAAAAATATTAATGAAATACTTGTAGTTCAAGCATAGACATTAGATTTCTAAAGAGGTATTTCACCCGGAGGTTTATTTTTATAAGTGCTTTGTTTTTCTGTGATTCACGGTCAGTTTCTCTTTTAACAGACAGAAGATCCAAACTTTGCGACCCAGAAGCAGGTGTATGAGGAGATAGGGGTGGAGATGCTGGACCACACATTTGAGGGATACAATGTCTGTATATTCGCCTATGGACAAACAGGGTCAGGAAAAAGTTACACAATGATGGGCAAGAGTGAGCCAGGACAGCAGGGGATCATTCCTCAGGTAAGCTGCTGGGGAACTTGTTTTAATATCATATCTTACCATTTTATATATATATGTATGTAAAAAGGATTCTTTCTATAATTTAACAAAAAAACTTTTTTTTTAATAAAAAAAAAAACCTACATTCATCATTACCAGTACTACCAAATGCATCATGTGTAAACTTAGATTGATTGATATTTGTTTCATTAAGATGAAATGAACTGAAATGGTTATATGATCTTTTTCTTTCATTAACGTAAGTGCATTTAGACTAAATATTGTTCTATATGCATTCATATTGATTGTAATTCAACCATATTCATTTTATGATACTTTAGATACAATCAATATTTTGATCAATGTGATTCTTAAACCCAAATGTTGAATTGTTATCAATTTCTGCATTTATTTCAGCTTTGTGAGGATTTGTTTGAACGAATAAAAGCAGCAAAGTGTGATGATGTGCAGTTCTCTGTGGAAGTAAGCAATGTTTTCCTGACAAATAATTTTCAACTTTATAATTAACACATTAATTGCTTTTCCAGTTCATAGTGTATTTCTTATTTTAAATTGTCAAAAGTTTGAGGAAATTTTTCCTTTAAGATACTGTCATTGCTTCCTGCAAAATTATCAGAACCTTAGAAAAAAGTATCCCTTATATGTCAAATAGAATGAGGAAAGGAAAAGAAATTACACCTACTTGACATAAACTTTTTGTAGGTGAGTTACATGGAAATTTATTGTGAGAGAGTGCGAGATCTCCTTAATCCTGGACACAACAAAGCTTTACGTGTGAGGGAGCACCCCTTATTGGGCCCCTATGTGGAGGATTTATCAAAGCTAGCTGTGCAGTCATTTGATGACATCAATAACCTCATAGATGAAGGCAATAAAGCTAGGTATGTTTATTTTCTTATGGGAAGTCAATTTCACGAATTGATATACTGTATACAGGGAAATTTTCGCCCCCATTTTATTTTCGTCCCTTTCGCCCTTACCTCATTAGGGCAAATTTAAAACGGGGCGAATTAAAAAAAATTCAGTTTAATTTCTTAAACAAAACTACGATTGGGCGAATTTAAAATGGGGCAAATTTGTTTTAGAGTGTGAAAGGGCGAAAATAACACGGGGCGAAAATAACCCTGTATACAGTAATTATAAAGATCTTGTAAAAGTTGTTTAATAACTCTTACATTTTTGTTTGCAGAACTGTAGCTGCTACAAATATGAATGAGACAAGTAGCAGATCTCATGCAGTTTTCACCATTATTTTCACACAGCGTCGCAGAGATGATACTACCAATATGGTTGGAGAAAAAGTAAGTGAATACAAATAATGCTCAAGGGCAAATCATTCACAATATTACTGAAATTTGATTTCAAGATTTTAATCTCTTTGACTGTAGATTAATTATATTTTGATTCATTCATACTGCCTTGAAAGAATCCATTGAAAGATGCAAAATGTATAAAATTTTGTGTAACTTTACAGGTTAGTAAAGTGAGTTTAGTAGATTTGGCAGGACTGATTTTGATGAAACTTCACCCGAAACAAATATCAAAAAAAAATTTCGCTAGTGTCTCGGTTGCTATGGCAACAGCCGGAAAAATTTGAAAAATCAACTTTAAATCTTGGAGCAAAAGGCACTCGTTTAGAATATATCTCTAAGTAAGTGGTAACCAAGGGTACATTTGGAATACAAAAATGCTGAAGGAGCAAACATTAACAAGTCACTGACAACCCTCGGAAAAGTCATCTCAGCTCTCGCTGAATTGGTCAGTTTGTTGTTTAATGTCGTATTTCAATAAATGAATTCTTTGTTTTATATGAAAAGGATGAGATAATAGACTTTGGAAACCCATTAAGCTAAAACATGTAAATGAATATTATTCATTATTTGAACCATGTTATAAATGTATGCTTATGAATTTTGTCCCTTTTGTGTACAGAGTGCAATGGACCTTAAAGTAAGTGGCCAGTGTTGTAGAAATACACAAGAGTCTCCAAGAATTTGGTGTTGTCTAGATTTGAACAAATGTTTTAATGTCAGTAATAGAGTTCTGTGCTTATGTACAATGTCTTGGGGCTTTTCCTGATTTGTGAATAAAATGCATGGATAGAAGAGAGTTAAAAATGCTTGAATAATCAAGTTTTAGTCATTGTAAAGACACATTAGATTAAGTCTGATATGTTCGGATGTAAATACACTCTGATGATTAAATTGCATATATATGGTCTACATTTCAAACAAAAACTAGTCAAAAAAAATTTTTTGAATCCTTGAATATGCTTTAGGTTTTATACATTAGAGGGACAATTGTGTAATAATAATACATTTAATTTAGGCCAACAAAAAGAAGAAGAAAGCTGATTTTATACCATACAGAGATTCAGTGTTGACTTGGCTACTCAGGGAAAACTTAGGTATGCAGGCTTTCTTTGTGAATTTTAGAAATCATGCATAAATCTGCCATTATTCTAGAGATTAGAAGTACATAAAGGCAAAATTATTTCTAATTTACAGGAGGAAATTCCAAAACTTGCATGATAGCTGCTTTGTCACCAGCTGATGTTAATTATGATGAAACTCTGAGCACTCTGAGGTAATTCTTACATGTATATAACTGAGTAAAGCAACTTGACAGCTCAAAGCATTGCACATTCTGGATTTTTAGCCTAGAAAGTTTGATAAAATGAAAGAAAAAGAAACAAATGGTTAGAATCTACAATATGATGATATTGTTTTACTTTATTTGCCATTAGGTATGCAGACAGAGCTAAGCAGATTATGTGTAAAGCTGTTGTCAATGAAGATCCAAATGCTAAACTGATCCGAGAACTTAAAGAAGAAGTCTCCAAACTGAGGGAAATCCTACTGACAGAGGGCATTCAGATTGGAGAAGGTACTGTTTTTCTAATTATTGAAGGGAGGGGGGAGAAGGTATTGACTATTTAAGGAGGAAGAAGGGAGGGATTGGTTTGAAATTTTTGTCTAACCTTTCAAAAACTGGGAAAAGTAACTTATTATATAGGCTGTTAGTCATTTTAATTCCACAGAGCTAAAAATTCATGTTTGTTACAATGGTACAAATTGCAAAGGCTTTAGTTTAATATTTTCGGTGTGTGTCTTATTCACTGTGGGTTTAACTTCATGGAAAATGCTAAATCATGGAATCATATAATTCAAACCATCATGTAAATTTCCTGATTTTTAGTGAGCACCTATATACATTACAAATAAATGTCTTGATATGAAATTGTAGTGACAATATATTGTTTACTCCTATGAACTTTGTATTACTATAGGACTTGAAGGACTTCCAGACCCTAAGGTAATTACAAGATCCAGGAAAGATTCCTTGACAATGGATGACGGAGAGAATGCCATAGAACGTCTTCAGATGTCAGAAAAACTCATTGCAGAACTTAATGAATCATGGGAAGAAAAGCTTCGAAGAACAGAGGCTATTAGAAAAGAAAGGTGATAAAATTGTTCATTGATAATAGAGTCAAACATTAGATATTTGGAATTTTGTCTCTTCCCATTTGAATATATAGTTTGTTATGAAAAATAATTTAGAAAAGTTAGATTTTAGCATTTCTATTTTAATATTTCTGTAGCTCTTTAACCCATATGATTAGATTCTCTCAAAAATTATTTTCTAGGGAGGCAACATTAGCAGAAATGGGTGTGGCTCTGAAGGAAGATGGAGGAACCATTGGTGTCTTCTCTCCAAAGAAGGTACATTTTTACTGTGTTTTAATTTGAATTATTTGATCTAAAGATGACACCAAGTAAATGCACAAATGAAGATTGAAGAACACTTCAAAGATAATACAAATCTATGGGTTTTCTTTGCCCAATATTGACTGTTATCTGTTATTTTTTTGTATAGTCACCTCATTTGGTTAACTTAAATGAAGACCCACTGATGTCAGAGTGTCTGATCTACTACATCAAAGAAGGAGCTACAAGGTTTGGAGTAGAAACTGTCAATATTTATCCATATATTTACAATAGTAACAAAATATTTGATGGAACAGACTTTTTCAAAATGCACTACATGTAATCCATGTTATACACGTGTACTTAGAACTGGATAACTTCAGCTCAAATTTTCTGGAGTTTTGAACTTTATGGAATTATGTAATTGATGTTAAAATGTAGGGTTGGACTGAAGGATGCAGCACAGAACAATGACATTCAGCTCAGTGGATCAAACATTGCGGAGGAACACTGTATCTTCCACAACATTGATGGTCAGTCAATTTTTCCAGCAAGAGGAGTTTTATCTTTATCCATCAATTAAGCTACTAAGAAAAACTGCTGAAAATCAGCCTAATATTTTTTCATTGTGGTTTTTTTTTCTGTAGGGAAAGTGACGTTGCTTCCCATTCAGAATGCTGTTGTGTATGTTAATGGAAAACAGGTCACTGAGGAAATGGAGCTGAAAACAGGAGCTCGCGTCATTATAGGCAAACATCATGTCTTCAGATTCAATCATCCAGACCAAGGTAGGATTAGAGTTCTAACTGCGATCAGCTGATAGAAGCATTGGGTAGTTTTTTATATTTTTAATACTGAAGACAAAATTTCAAAATGCAGACAGTTTAATTTGACAGTAATCCAACTCTACAAACAATATTATTTAATTGTTTCATTCATTGTTTATTGTGAGTGATCTATTATAAGAAAATCTTCTTAAATCACTACTGAGTAAAGCAGGGTTAGATATTTTTGATAGTGTATTCTACATTGACTTGAAATTGATGAATGATATATTTCCATATTACATGAATTATAAATTAGATTATCTCTTCCATGTGTATTATGAGTAGGATTTCCTATGTTACTCCTGAAATGAATCTTGAAAATAGAAAAAGATACACTGGGCATGCTTCCAACTTGTAATATTTTCTTTGGGCAAAAGCCATTAGCTTCGAATCACTAAAACACCATACTTTTTTCCCTACTTAATTGTCCATTGTATTAATGCCTGGATATCTATTGCTTTCCAATTTCTTGCCTCTCTGAAAACCCTAACCAATGTTTTCTTTGCAGCGCGTCAGAGCAGAGCACATCTCATTGACTTTGATCAGATTGAGTCCATAGGATGTAAGTCCACCCGAGTGTGTGTATTTCTAATGTTGTGGATGCTTTTGCATAAACTAACCTGCATGATTTACACAAGACAAATTTGATTTTTAGTGACCAAAAGTAATAATGTTTATCATTTATTCATATTCAGTATTGGTACATCTTCTATGAAGGGATTTTTATTAATGAGGATTTGCTAGAGCATTAACTTATTCTAGTGATTAATATTACTGCTTAAATGCTAACATCATCTTAAGCATTACATATATATCTACTATTCCAAGCTTGATATTTTATAAATGTGCAATATGTGAATTGAATGTGTTACAGCGTAAATATTTTTACCCTAAAAGTTAATAAAACTCTGCTTTGCATGATACCTTTAAGAATAAAATATAATACTGTATTTCACTGGTTTATCCCACATACTTTTTCTTTTTATGAATTTGATGCAATGTTACTTCATTTGACACAAATTCTTGATTTCCACTTTATATAGACTAAGAGCATGAGATTTCCTGCCCAGCTCTAGTTGATTTATTGCTTTGATTTAGTTTTGTTTGAGTGGCTTTTTTCATTGTCTAATTTAGCAACTGAACAAGAAGATCTGAAGTCAGAGCCTGAGCAAGAAGGTAGCCTTAGTAACATTTAACATTATTCATGTAGCTAAAGCAATATTTCAAGCATTGTTACAAAGTAAGCAGCATATTAATGCAGCAGTGTTTCCCAGTGTTTTTCTTGAGATGATATCATTTAATATAAGTGAAAATCTGTTTCTTTTTTTAAATATGTCCTACAGGCAGGTAGGCTTTAATAGTATGTTTCATGATCATATCAATATTCATTTCCTCATAAGATAAACTCAGGAAACTCAGGTGTTAAAGTAAATACAAGAGCTTGTTTCCCCATATGGTATGTTGAAGTGTCCTGCTTTTGATTGTAGCCGAGCCTGTAGACTGGACATTTGCACAGCTGGAGTTATTGGAGTCACAAGGAATAGATTTAAGGAGAGACATGGAAGCCAGGTTTGTATTTAAATGATAATACACGTAGAATGAAATTTCTCATGATTGTTGATAAACAGTCTTCATATGCTTAGTATATCTACTAGTATATATCTCCAGATATTTACTGCTGATTATTTTACAGACTTCAGGGGTTAGAAGAACAGTACAAAAAGGAAAAGGAAGAGGCTGATCAGTTGTTTGAGCAACAGAGAAAGGTATGGACTATTTTATTCCTATCTTCCTGAAAATTTGTAATCTTCTATACAAAAGAAGGATGAAAAGCTTTAATATTTTTAAATGATTAAGTAAATTTTGAGGTTAGTTTGCTCTTTATTAAAGGATTATGAGACTAGAATACAAAACCTTCAAGAGGAAGTCATGAGGCATTCAATGATGTCAAGTTTTGCTGCCACGGAGAATGAAACAATTGAAGAGGAGGAAGAAGGTACATATAAACAGAAAAATGTCAAAAATTCTTACCAAGACAAACCTCTTTAATGTTGTTCAGAAACTGAATGAAAGTCACTTCTTTATGTATGCATACATATTTATATTTTTCTGGGTAGAGTGCACATGGACTGAGAAGGAGAAGCAGGTGGCTGCCTGGGCTTTTAGGAAGTGGAAGTATCACCAGTTTACATCCCTCCGAGATGATCTGTGGGGCAATGCCATCTTCCTCAAGGAAGCTAATGCAATAAGTGTTGAACTCAATAAAAAGGTAACTTATGTCAGATCAATATTAATGTTTCAGCTTGTGAAATCTATTACTTCCTAAAGCCACCTTTGTGTATGACTTATGGTATCCTTTCTGTTTGCAAAGTTGTTAGGGTGTTCATGTCATTGTTGTATTTTGTAGTAGAAATACATCAGTTTTTGTTCTTGGTCTCTTTTCTAGGTACAGTTCCAGTTTGTACTGCTGACTGACACTCTCTACTCCCCCCTCCCCCCTGAACTCTTCCACCCCGGGGAGAGGGACGATGACCGCCCCTTCCCCAGGACTGTGGTGGCAGTGGAGGTCCAGGATACTAAGAATGGGGCCACACACTACTGGAGTCTGGAGAAACTGAGGTAGGAAATCTAGGTGTTTTATTTTGTATGTGATTAGTATTGCTTGCACTAGTAAGATTTCAGATATAGGAAAGCACTTTGACATAAAAACTAATTCATTATCTATATTACAAGTTTATTTAAATCTATTACTAAGACAAGAACCTAATAATCAATTTATGTTAACATGTACTTACTCAAGCACTTTTTCTGCAAAAAAAATAATTCTTAGATGTTCACACATTTTAAGACAACTCTTTGAAATTATTGATAATTCATACAACGGAATCTTGCAAATCATTTTGGCAAAGTTGGAAATTTTATATAGATTTCAAATACTGTTAGTATTAAAGTTAAGTGTTTCTTATCTAGTAAATATAATTTTCATTTTATAATGATCATGGCATTGTCGTGTGTAGTAAAAATTGCATGGGCAGATTCAGAGTTTACCCATAGTGAGACAGTTACTGGTACATGAAAAATGATAAATTACAGTTTTAAACAGGCTTTTTTTCTGGATCTGACCATGAAGTAGCATGTATAGATTTATAAAATACAGACATTGTTTTATGAAACTGGGCTTAGTCTAATGCCTCAAATATTCTGCATGAGTTCCAACTTTGTCAAAAAAGGAGATGCAAAATTGTAGGCTATTGGAATTACTGTTCCATAATTTATAGTGAAAAATTGTTAAAATCTCTAAATGCTTTCTTTTTTTCTCTAATATCCAATGCTTAGTACTATATTTTGTGCTGTATAAGGGGGATAACTCTTTTTTGACTGCTGAGTTTGATTTTAGACACAGATTGGAGCTCATGCGAGATATTTACAATGAGGATCTGTCACCCGGCACCCCAGAGGCCAAACAGAATTTCTTCCAATGTTTCACAGGCTGTGGGCCGTCACAAAACTACTTTAACTTCATTAATCTCATTCCCTCCAGGTCAGCCCCTGGATGTTGTAGCTACTCAGGCTGCATTTTTCAGTTCCTCTGCATCCATTCTTCTAGCTCTCACAATAACTCATGTTATTTTGGTCTCATTTCTTTTTTTTCATTTCAGCTTTTACCAATTTTACATGTATATAGGCTGTTTTTGGTTTAGTTTCCAAGATTTGAGTATTTTTTTGACATTTATTTTGTGGTTTTCTTTCTCTTTGATGTTTTTATGATTTATTTCTTTATTGCATTTTCAGGTTCTCAAATGTATAGATTTTTTTCTATTTATATATACTTGTAATGGTATTTGGAAATGAATTCACAACAAATGATAGATACTTCTGAAATGGATAATATTATTCAAAACTTTCAATACATGTATAAAGAAACTCTAACATTTTAATGCAATTCAACATTCTAAAAATGGTATGCCTGTTTTTTTAAGTAGACAATCCAGAACCCCTTTGTTGTGTTTGTTCCCTGTATGTTTATTTGTTTAATATATACTGTAACAGCATGGGTGGTTTATTTTACAGACAAAGACTGGAGTTGATGAGACAGATGTATCACAACGAGGCAGAGTTATCTCCCACTTCACCAGAACCAAACATTGACACGATGAGTGGAGGCGATCCATTCTACGACAGATTCCCTTGGTTTAGGCTTGTGGGAAGGTAAGTCATTGTCAAAAAGATCAAAATTAAATTTATATGAAGAAACTGAAGGCATTATACTGATGTTTTGTTGGGGCTCTAGTTGAAAATTTGAATGATATCTTTACAAATACCAATTAATTTTAACCCATGTTTTCTTCTTTTGTAGAGCCTTTGTTTACCTGAGTAACCTGTACTATCCTGTGCCTCTGGTGCACAGAGTCACAATTGTGAGTGAAAAGGGAGAGGTCAAAGGGTTTCTTAGAGTTGCCGTTCAGGCAATCACAGGTAAGCATTAGAATAGAGGTGGTCTTCTGGCTAGATCATGTTAGCTTTTAAGTTTAGGGTACTATAAAATGACAAATATGTTAGAAATAAAAGAAAACATTGTTCAGATATTTGTGTGTATATACATGTATGTATGTACATTTTGTTCATGTTTTTGTATATTTATGAAATGCTTTATCTATAGAAAAAGAAGAAACTCCTGACTACACACCAGGAATCAGGCAGTCAGGAAATGCCAAAATTTCTTTCAATGACAATGACTACTTCAAAAAGGTAAGGATTGGTTTTTTTACAACATACATGTATATTTGTTGGGCTGTACCTAGCAAACTTTGATAGAAGAAGAATTTTTAATATGTATGTATTAAGTTAACCTCTCTTTTTATTTTAAATAAGAAACAGCAGTACAGTGACCTCTCATCACAGACAGCGCCATCTACAGAAAACCTCAGATATGTAGAAGGTGAAGGTCCAAGTCCAGATAACTCTATCAATACTTCTGGTGAGTGGTCTTCCTTTATCAATTTTATTTTGTTCTGTTTGCATTCAAAATAACTTTACAAGTCGACTCTGTTTCATTTATTCTATGACAGAGCCGTACATCTGTGAGCAGAAAATGAAGTCAGTGGACCTGTTCCCAGATATTGATGAGAAAGAGCTGCCCGGACACCTTAAGGTCGACTCTCAGTTCCAGTTCAGGGTCACTATCCTAGAGGCTTCTGGGATAGCCTCAGAATATGCTGACATCTTCTGCCAGTTCAAGTAGGCTTTTTGTTTGTTTTCTTTAGAATAAAGGCTTTCAGAGATATGAATAAGTCAGTGATCATGCAACTTTTTCCGTTATGGAATTTCTACAATTTATGATTGTAAAAGTTTGTCCCTTTCCAATAACCTGTGTATGTTTTTTTTTTTTTCGCAGCTTCCTACACAGACATGATGAAGCTTTTTCAACAGAACCTCTTAAGAATGGTGGGAAGAGTCATCCTTTAGGGTTTTATCATGTACAGAATGTAAGAAATTTTTCATAAATAATGATTTTGTTACATCAATAACTGTGATAAAGATCCTGTGATTCTTCTATTTTAAATTTTATGTAACAAATCTTGCTTGTAATGGATTCAATCATTTACATGCAAGTTTTTGCTTCACACATACAGTATACATAAAATTAAATATGATTTCCAGTTCACAGTCTCTGTGACAAAGTCCTTCATAGACTACATAAAAACACAGCCTCTTGTGTTTGAAGTCTTTGGCCACTACCAACAGCATCCATTACATGAACAGGCCAGAGAAATTCCTTAGTAAGTGTTTAAATCTGCAGTTTGTTCCATTAAAGTCATTCCACCATGGTATTTGAAGAGGGATCTTAATTTTGTCGTTTCATGTTGTAGTAATGTCAGACCAAGGCCCAAATGTAATTTTCCTCCCATGATTCCAGTATCTAAGCCAGTTCCTTCACCAAAGTACGGAGTTCTGAGTCCACCAAGGTATGTACATTTGATACTTTTGTCTTTGTAACTTTTTATCATATGAATAAAAATTCATGTTCATATCCATACATATTGAATGTATTATCAACATCTACAATACAAAATTGTACATATAAAATTATAGATAAGAAATACTGTTTAAGCCTCCACAAGAATTGGATATCTGTACTTTGCTCTGAGTTTGTGTTTGCTTGTGAATTTTTTTTTGAACCCAAGTCTAAAACATGTAAATTTATGTTTTCTCGCAATTCAATTTAAGTTATAAAAAAAGCTTTCTCTTGTGTTCATTTCTTTGTGTTGTGTGCTACAGAGTTAAAAAGTCACACAAAAAAGATTTGTTAATTGAAGTCAAGAAAGCAAACCAGGAAGGGTAAGATTCTGCAACTGACTACTGATTTAGCTAGAGTGGGACGGACAAAGCTTTAACAACTGAATAACCAGCTTTTACTTTATATGCTTGAGTTACAATGACTTGCCTCACAGTATCTTAAATGCATTGAGGAAAAAGAAACAATTTTGAAATATACAGATTGCTTTATTGTTTTTAGTTACATGATGTACTTAAGACTCAAGCATATAAAAAAGGTTTATTTTCTTAATAGAAGCTTATCAACATTTAACATGGGGTTACTTGCTTTAACCTTTAGCTTTGTTTTTCTTCTAACAGGTTGTTCATTTAATCAACACAGAACCATTAAGCTATTCTCGATTTTAAAACAATTTTACCTGACTAACTGAACTAACACTGCAGACCCAATGTAACCATCCTGCATTATTATAGCCCATTATCTCTAACCGCATTATAAATTTCACTTCAAATACCATTGATTAAAATTTAATCTTACACTCTTCTTGTGTATGACTGAAGGTTTATCCTTTGTTTACATGCCTTTCTTAATATGGACATTAGGAAGATATTCAAGTATTGGTAGGTTATATGCAAGATTTGCTGCTTATATACAAGAGGCTTTTCAGAATTGATATTTTTTTCATAGCTAGATTTTTTTATCAGCTATTGCCTGTGCTTCATACCATTATAAAACATTTGTAATAAGCCTTTTCTTTTGCTGGATGATTTGTTTAAAACAGGTCACTCACAAGTAAGACAAGGATTTACATAAATCATTTGCTCTTCTGATGTTTTCTTTGCTTCAGTAATGAAATTTGTAATAGGAAAGGCATGTAAACTATTTACACAACAATAAAAACCATAAATGTATTAAAGAGAAGTGCTTAGATAAGTAATATTTTCATAATATGTATACTATGTACATTATTTAGTAAGCTTAAAAAATTTCTTATATCTTCATAATCTTGTGCATTAGTGCAAGATTGATTGTCTATTTCATCTATGAGCAACACACAAGGTTGTTTTTCTGATTAACGTAACCATATTAATTCTGCTAACTTGTGCTTGAGCGGGTTTGCATGCACCGGGTTGTACACGGTTCCCTTTGTTTGGTTTAGGTTTTACGATTCTGGTCGCAGTCTGGAGTCGCCTCTCTCTCCGGGTTCGAAGTAGGTATTGCAGCTAAAGGTGACCTTTGGTGTTGTATCTTCTTAAATCTTCCTCAGAACTTTACCTTTAGTTGTCAAGCTTTATAGCACCAGCTGTTTACTTCATTTACTTTAGCAAAACTGTGCCCAATTACATTCAATATTAGATAACTTTTATTTTAAATGTTTGAATTTGAAATATTTTAATGTATTAAAAGTTGTAATTTTAAAAGATAATAATGAAATATGGTATTCTTATTGAAAATTCATTAGTCTTTTAAATTGCCTAGTACTCTGTAGTCATTTGAAACTGTAAGATTTAGAGTCACCCATATTTCTAGTACTTTGGTAGGTGTAATACTGTTTTCCCAATTTTGCTATCATTGTGCTTTTAATACACTGTAATATCACAAGGAATACTTTACCACATAGTATTATCATTATTCAACATCATTATTTTACACTGTCATAGCATATGCACCAGAAGCTGCTTTTGAATTTTTATATTTTTTTTATGACAATGCTCTTGATTATACTTTTATGGTAATCAAATGTAATGTATTCTAAGTTATATTTTTTTTTAAATGTTGTTTGTAGGAAAATTATGAGTATAAACTTTTTTACTAAGTCACCATTATGATGCATTAATCTGTACCTTTCTTTTGTTTTCAGCTGTAGTCACATACATTCCAGATTTGACCTACTGGTTTGGTTTGAGATATGTGAGCTTGCACCCAATGGAGAGTAAGTATTGGTACAGTGTATCCCTAAAGATGATTTATATATGGTTCAAAGGAACTGATAATAAATATATCAGTATAACATGCATGTACTTGTCCAGGCCTGTACTTGGACCTGTATGAGTCAGAGTGTGGTGCTATGTGTTTTTGTACTGAATACTTTGAATGTGATACTATAATTCTGAAGATACATTGTACTTTGAATGATATATTTTCTAGAGATACTTTGTGGTTTTGTGTAGGTACGTTCCTTGTGTTGTAAGCCACGCTGATGACCAGCCTTGTACAGGACTGTTTATGCTTCACCAGGGAATACAGAGAAGGATTGCTATCACTATAATGCAGGAACAGAGTCCAGAAATCGACCTCATCTGGAAGGATGTCAAGGAACTTGTTGTAGGTAGGTATTTATAGAACCAGGAGTATTGACAGGTATAGTACATGTAGACGAGCACATAAAAATTTTAATGGCAACCAGTCAAAATGTTTTCTATATAAGTTAATCTTTATTAAGATTTTTATTCAGCATGAGCAGACAGTGAGAAATTTTTTTTTAATTTTTTTTTTCCAATTTTATGAAAATTTTTATGTATGATCTACAGGTCGTATTCGTACCACGCCAGAATACCATGAAGTAGACAACGAGACCTCTGTGCTGTCACTGAATCTTTTCCCAGCCTCCTACATACAGTATCCAGGAGATGACAGGTAATATACAAACCTGGAGTAAAATTATAGAATTATATCACCTGATCGGTTTTGATTTATTGAGAGGAGGGGGCTTCGAGCATATGATTTTCTCTTGGGGAATTTTAACTGCACTTACATTATATAAATTATACATGCACATGTATATTATTTTCTTCTCTTTCAGAATCTACTTTCGCTTTGAGGCTGCATGGGATAGCTCTCTCCACAACTCACATTTACTGAACAAAGTCACTGCCTCTGGGGACAGAATTTACATGACTCTCTCAGCCTATATTGAGGTTTGAAAACATTGCCATCATCTTTTGTTCTCTTCAAGATTCATTGCTTACCTTTGTTGCAGTTTATGCTAGTTATTAAGATTGTTCATATATATTTTCAATTTATTTTTCAGGTGGAAAACTGTCAGCAACCTGCTTGCATTACCAAAGATTTAAGTATTGTTATCCATTCAAGAGACACAAAAATAACTAACTCCAGGTACAAATTTAAAAACAAACAAACAAACAAAAAGCATCTACACAAAGAAATAAGAACTAATAAATATTTCATTTAAACAAGCTAAAGTCAAGCTTTTATAAGAATCTATGATTTCTTTTAAATTAGGACTTTCAGGAGTTTATTTGGAGGTAGCAAGTCTCTGGACGCTAACCGTGTGAGCGGTATTTACGAGTTGTTCCTGCGGCGGGCCTCAGAATCAGGTAGTCCAGGTATCTGTTGTCCCACGTATCACCTGTGTTTGTGACGTGTACTGCACTTCCCCCACCTCCATGTAATCTCTAAGCAGCAGGAAGACAAGTCCAAATTACTACCTGAAAAAATTTCAAATTCTTCCACATTTGAAGATCTCCTTAAATTATAAGTCTTGTGTATTTATAATTGTTCTAGTGTTTTAGTTACTTAGTGTACATTATAAAACTACCTGATACATGTTCAAAATGTAGATACTTAATATATACCCAGTATATGCACCATTCCCAACATGTCATTAGTCAGTGCACAAATTTTTACATGTACTGTACAAGTGTGTGATTATTTCAGTATACATTGAATGTGCATGAGTTCACAGTCAGTATAATCAGAACTGATAATATTTCTTGCACAAGCACAATTTTTGAATTTTGATTCAAAGAACAACTCTGTATTAAAATTTCTTATTTACAGTGTACACAGTATCTCATGAAATAACAATTTCTTTGCAAATTAAATTAAGGCTCGTGTAGAAATGGTATAAATGTATTCTGAATCCCTTACAGGTGCCCAGAGAAGACAGAGGCGGGTGCTGGATACGTCCTCTACCTACGTGAGGGGGGAGGAGAACCTCAATGGATGGAGGCCCCGGGGGGACTCACTTATATTTGACCATCAGTGGGAGCTGGAGAAACTCACCAGGCTAGAACTGGTCAGTTGATTGCATCATGTGATGAATTAATAGAAAATTAAAAGATAGTTCTTTAATTGTTTTAGAGGATTTTCATAGTATAAAACCTTATCAATTGGTTGGTTCATGTCTTATTTAGATACATTGTATTTACAGTAAAACTTATCTAATCTGGGCTCTGCTGGTTCCCAAAAAATTGGCCAGATAAGTCAACATTCTGGATTAGAAAACATTATAAACAACTGAATTTGATAAAAAGGATTTAAATTTAACATCGTATAAGGCAAGATTTTGGATTACACAACATGCGGATTAGACAAGTTTCACTGTATATTGTTGTTTATAAATGTTTGAGACTTTGACATTACATATACTGTACATGTAAAGCAAATGTTATTAAATTTTTGCTATGCTAGGTGGAGAAATCTCGTCATGTGTTGCTTCTGAGAGAGAAACTTGCTGAACAGAACAAGACAAATGAACTCAGTAAACTAGACAAAGAAGCCTCAAATAAGTCCGTAAAAGCCAAACATGATCAGGAGAAAGAGGAAATCCTAAATAAAACAGAGAATTCCGAAGAAAAATCCATAGAGAAGTGGGAGAAGGATGACGCTACAGAGAAGTATGAGAGACAAGGACAGGGTGTCTACAACTTTACAACGGATGGAAGCCGAGAGCAGGAATTGACAGCTAAATGTCTGAGGCTCATTCTGCAAGGGAAATTACTGCTGACTCCTACTTCTCTTAAGGTTTGTGAATTTCCTGCTGGTTGTTGAAACTTGAAGTAAGATTTTTTTTAAGATTAAACTTGTTTTAGTTCCAAGGTTTTACTGCAGGGATAGTTCTGGTAGATATAGTTATGTGAATCATGAAGGGGGGGGGGGGTGTTGGAGGTTAAAGTCACCAATACTTTCCCTCAAGGCAAAACCATTTCCTGGCATATACATGTATATCTTTTGAAAAAAAAATCTTGATAGCTAAGAATTTTATATTTTTATGTCACCTGAGTCATAAAGGAGACCAATGTTATATGTTCCTGACTAAAACATTATTCTGTGTACATTTATTTTTTTTTATGATAAACACAAAAATCCATACACCAAGAAAAAAAAATGAAACTATGGTTTCTGTTTTTTACAAATCACCCTATCTTTCATTTCTGTATTTCATCTGTATACATGGAATAAGTTAAAATCCTATAATCTTTTGATAATATTTTAGCCCTCCTCCGTGATGACTGAGTCCCTTCTCAGTAACACCACCACAGACAGTGAGGAGAACTTGACACCTAGTGACCAGTCTATGATTACAAGTATTGCCAGCTCCTCAGCATCAGATTTATGCAGGTCGGCAAAAGACATTTCTTTTGATTCTGAAGTTTAATTTGTTAATATGTATATTACATGTCTATTGTGGAGTGAAATACCTATCAGTGATAAAATCTGTTACGATATGTCCACCCAATGAAGTCTTTGCAGGATTTACAGTTAAGTGCAAAACCCCCATGTTAACTTGATTTTATGCCATTTAATAAAAACACACTAGTTTTACATGCATGAGGAAGGTAAAGGTTCTAATACATATACAAGTTTAAATACCGGTACTTCTTACACCTTTTTAAAAGTGGAAGGGTTTATGAACTCTCTTTCTCTCTCATTTTTGTTTTCTTTAAAAAATTTAAAGTTTCACATTTATGATCATTTTGATAAAGTCATGAAATGAAGTCAATCAAATTTGATCAGATATTTTATTTAATTTACTCTGCATTTAGTTATTTATTATTTTCCACAGACATGCGAACCCCCCTCCTCCCAGTATCCAGGTATCCAAGTCATGCGACAGTCTGACTACCAGCACTAACTCCGAGCTCAGTGACCGAAAGTTCTCCCTCCCAATCAACCCCCCCGAATCAAATGCTGACGACGACAATTACATTCCCCTGGTGGACGAGGTGAGGGTCAGCCCTGTCGTGTCCAGGAAAGGATACCTCAACTTCCTGGAGGAGAAACACACTGGATGGGTCAAGAAATATGTGGTATGTAGATGCATGTCTTTCATTAGTCAGTATTAGTGTAAACATTGCCTTGAAAACTAGATTCAATCAGTTATCTCTGTGTTAAAGAATGAATTTATGCCCTGTTCACACGACCAGTTTAATTTGCAGTAAATTAATGCAAAGTAAACTAATGTGAATCAAACTAATGCGAATTTAATTGTGTTCTAACGACAACTAATGCGAAGTAAACTAATGCGAATTGAAATTCTACTTCTACGGCCTGGCGTCAGTAAGGCTATTATGACATCATTTGCAAATCACATCACCTTATGCAGGAGCAGATGCATTTGACATAATGTTACAGTGTCTGTACACACATTTTAGTGATTAACACAATTTTCCTTAGTTTTTCACTCAAAAATAGCCCAAATACTTTAAGCCGACCACGAACATGTGGATTTGACCTTCTTTTGCCATTACGCATGCCTCAAAATTTAATTCAAGTTAGCTTCGCTTAGCGTTCACACGGAGCTAATGCGAAGTAATTTAATGCGCAGTAACTAATTCGAATTAAACTAATTCGCATTAAATTCTCCTTGTTAACACTTAGCGAAGCTAACTCGCAGTAACTTTACGTTTAATTCGAATTAAACTCTCCGTGTGAACAGGGCATTAAAGTTATCAACAATCCTTGAAATATGTAGAAAGGTAATCTTTAATATTACATGACTAAATAAACTATATAAACAAGTCAGTAAGAAAGGCTACCATATATCCTTAGGTTGTACGGAGACCCTATATATACATCTATAATTCTGAGAAGGACCCAGTTGAGCGAGCCATCATTAACCTGGCGACAGCTCAGATTGAATACAGTGAAGATCAGCAGTCACTGCTAAAGGTAGGAAGTGGAGATTTCTATCTCTTGTAGCCATAACACTAAATAAGTACAGGGTATCGGTGTACATATACCAGAGGGGTTATTATCAATATTTCTTCAAGAATGGTTTTATTTTGTAACTGCAGGTCAGGAACACTTTCTCTGTGCTGACAAAACACCGAGGATTCCTGATGCAGACCCTGGATGATAAAGATTTCCATGACTGGCTGTATGCTCTAAATCCTCTCCTGGCAGGACAAATTAGGTAGGTTTATTGTTAGAGGAAATCTGCAGGAATGTATCTCAGAGTGGCTAAATGCATGGGTAATTCAATGACTTTGAAACAACTATATTTATAAAATGTATATTGTCAAAAAATTAAAATTTCGTCATTTAAAGAAAAATCATTCTATTAAACAAAATCCTTTAGGTGCTAGCTAGGCCATAAATTATGAGGTCGTGAATTAAAACAAAGTATGCATGTACAAAAGTTTTTAATTGTGACAGCCATTCTGGAACTGATATCCATGAAAATATAAAGAACATTGTCTATTCTAAACAAGGTTATAAATTATGATAATACATGTACATGTATCATAATATTGGGGTGGGGTTGTGTTCTTTATACATGTATCTATTATTTTAGACTTAATCTTTGTATATTTTTGTTTAGATCCACCTTGTCTAGGAGGAAACTGCCAATGAATATATAAAAAAAGAGAAAGAATGAAAGTACATTCAGCATATGCTTTAATAGGCATTCGTCTCACTCACCAAATAATAAAAAGATAGAATTTACAGACTGAAGGATTAGATCTGAAAGGAGCAGACAACTCATGACTTTTTTGTTGTGTTTACCCTGTTACATTTGTGTATGTATGGGGAGACAGTCTTAATTTAGATCTTCTGATGTATTATTCCTCCCAGAAGGCTACAAAATGGAGAGATTTGTTAATTAGTGTTTACAGCACTGTTGTGATATGAACAAGGATATTTGTTATTTATTGAAAGTATTTTTTGTTGTCGATGGTGTTACATGTACATGTATTTCATTCTTTATCTATATACATGTATAGGTATATTGTTATCATTGTAATATCATTCATATTAGACCTTCACTTTCCAGCAGGAAAGACATCTCATGACACTGGTAAAATTAATTTGTAAGAGGAGAAACACAAAAGTAATATTTAGCTGACTCTAAACAAGTAAAAATTACAATTAAGTCTGGAAAAATGGAAATAATGGTATAATTTATGACTTTTTGGGGTATTATATACATCACTATATGTTTTGTAGAGTTTATATTGAAATATCTGTTTTGAAAAATATGAATTTGATATTTATCAAAATTTATCTCTCAGTCTAGTATTGACATTTTTATGTACATTGTGCCAAGATGTAAGTCTATCAGTAATACTGATAATTTATAGTTTCGCAATACAAGAACAACATTTCTAGTCATCTCAAATCGTTATGTGTTCATTCATTTTAAAACACACTTGCATGTGTCATAGTACGATTAAAAAAAATCAGCCATTTTGCATATTCTCCTCTATATTATCATTGATTCTCACCGAGATGCAGGTTGTAGTTTAGCTATATGTTGTTGGTAATGTAAGCATACCAAGTTCATAAATAGTAAATGTATCAAGTAAGAATATGTCTACTTAGCTGAATGTTGGACTCATGTCACTAGACTTGTCTACATCAACAAGAGAAAGAAATTTTACAAACTGAGCAGGTGCTGTATATAAATTTCTGTAAAAATCATGCATCAAAGCATATGTGAAATATTTATAAAAATTATTTTAATTCAAAGTTTCGTGTATATAATCTAGTAGTACATAGCTTGCTTCACACTAGATTATAGAGTCCAAACAATTTTCTGCAATTTCTCTTCAAGATATGGTTGCTAATGTTTAATAAGAAAGAATTTTAGATTAATCTGTTTAGTATGAAATGGAGAATTTATCACTTTGATTTTGCATTGCTTTGAGGAATTTTTTAATGTGAATTGGAGAGAAATCTAATCTAATTCTTTAGGGATGAAAGAGGGATTTTTCACTTCTACTTCATGTAAGTGACAATCTGTAGTTAGGACTCACTTTTTCGACCCCTTGAATTACAAGTATTGTACATGTAGTACTAATGTATTAAATCTGAATTAAAATTTACGAATTTCACATCATTTGACTTTTTTGAATTTTCGCAAAAAAATTAATGCTCCAGTAAACAATAAAATATTTATTCTATAGCTTTCTTACAAAATAAGTTCCATTAATTGTCTGTTGATGACAAAGGAAAACAACATTGCTATATCTATTAAATAATTCCTCAACGTGATATCTTGTGAAGTTAGTCGCGACTTACTAAAAGTAAAACCGCAACCGTATCAAAATTTAAAATACGAAAATTTTTATCACAACTGTTGTGTTTTTATATAAATTGAAATAGTATATTAAATATTTTTTATTGTCTTATGTTTATTTAAATGTAAAACGAGTGAAATAATCCGGGAAACAGAAATATAATTTAAGACATATATACATTGAATTACCGGTATACACAGTGGCTTCTAACAGAATTTTAATTGTCTGACAGATAAAGGGATTTACACTGTGTACGCAAAGGTGTTTAACACCTGTGTTCACTGTTGGTTTAAATGCCTGCGGGGCATGATTAAGAAACCCACGTGCCATTATAGGGTATTAGTGTTACACATCATTGAACAAACAATGTCGTGAAATTCATGTTGAAAGTCAAATTGTGAGTGTACTCTCAATTAAAATTTATAAATTAAACTTATCAAGTGTTAATATGATTTCAATTCTTTACTGTTGCTTGATATATACATTCAATGGTCATTTGCGTGTTTTAGCAAATCCCTGGAGAAGAAAAATATTAATTGTCGTACACTGTAATGTTTGAGTAAAATTTATTAGGAATGTGTCCAAGTTGATCTGAAATCGGAATTACTATTCTTTGGTCTCGGGTATCTCCCGATTTATAGCTGTAAAATAATAACGTATTTACGTATTTACGCCTCTGATTTAACATGTGAAACTACGGAGACATTGAACAGGCAAGTTTTTAACTACATTGTTTTACAAAACAGTATTTAATTGCTGTACTCATTAAAATACCTGTTTATTTTCTTGATACGTTCATGTCACGGAATAACCCCGATTTTTATTTACCTGTTCTGATACGTTGTATCTGCGTTAAAATCTTAAGAAAACGGGAAACAAAGCCTCGTCCTATATAGTAAGTTCGACCTATCTTAGGATTTTTCAAAATTTAAGGCTGAAAATGAGCCTTTCGACCTATATACCCCATCGACCTATAATCCCGAAATTACGGTAGATAGTCATTCATATCAAGTGATAGTTGTGACTTTGTTGATTTTTTTGTTCATTTTGTTTTTATATACATTTAATTTATACCCCATATATTTGTGCAATATTTACCTGTCAGGTACATTTATATTTATTTTTATACTTGTTTTTGATTTGAATGGGCAAATGAAAAAAGATATGTACAGAGTTAAACTTGTTTGATAGAGCACTGTTCTGTAAAACCATTCAGATTTCATTGCAGCAGGTGTTTTAATCACTGACGAGAAATATATGTATTTTTCTGGAGATGTCACTTATGGTTATAAGTAAAGTGAACATAAAAGATGCACTGGGTATTGATAATACATGTACATATATGAGTATGTAAAATTTAACTCTGCTGCAATGAAAGCTAAATGTTTTACACTTTACTTGCTGTCATTGTAAGAGGTCTGGTACTCCTACAGAGTAAATTTAGGCATGTGTAAGAATAGACGAACAAGCTGAAAGGTTTGTAGTGAAAATTACATTCCAATGTACAGATTTGTTTAATGAATCCACTTTAAAAAAGTATAGTTTTCCAAAGTAGAGTTCTTTTTGTAAGCATGCAGACAGAGAATTCCAATCTTGAACAAATTTAGTATCATTGAAATCCTTTGCTATTTCCATTATTTTGATACCTAAATAATGCTTTTCATTCATATAATTTTCATTATGTTGATATGACTTTATTGATTTTCGAAGGGAAACCATGGAAGTTTTCTATTGGGGAACTGTTGACAAGAATAATATTGGGTCTGATGGTCTAAGTAGTACATTTAAGAAGACATGAGTCAGAACTGTTGGTGTTTATTGAATAACCCATGAATAGTTGAGCAGTAATCATGAATCAGTGCATGTACGACTTTAAAATATCTAAGTACATGGTCTGTACCCTGCTCATTTAGACTTTTATTGTCATCTAATGCATTGTTGAGTTTATTTAGGCTGAGTATAGTTTGGGTTGCTGTGATGTTTGATAATGTTGATCATTGGTTGAAATGTATAAGAAATTCTTGTATTGCTTAGTTTTAGTGTTTATTGCTCACCGAGTGGACAGACAGGAATGTATGCTGAGAAAGTCCAGGGTTAAAAATTTCTCTTTGTAACCTTTTTTTATAAGGAGGCTAATTTAGTGGGGAAGTTTGAAGCTTATGTCAGAGATTAAGAGATGTCAAAGATAGGTTTTCTTTAGCCACTGCTCTGATTCAATGAACTAACTTTCTTGGTCACAGTAGGTTCAAGGTTTGATTATAAAGTTTCTTGCACAAAAAAATGGTTGTAATAGTTGTTGGATACACTTATGAGTATGAGTTTGGACAATCATTCTACTCTGAAATGGTATTTTTGTCATTTGAGGTTAGTTAGTGTTAACTGTGTATGTTTCTGGACCGAATACAATTAATGCTCTACAATTTCTGTTAATTGGCTGTTCAGTGTTGATATATATAAATCTACAAACTTTCATTTTTGCTTGTTTATTCCATGCAGTTGTCAATCATTTCTCTCATGCAGATCATGGGAATATTTATCAGCATGTGAGTGCGAACATGCATTTTCATAAACAAATTTCATATATTTCTGTATGAACATAATCCTTTTTACCAAGCAAAAAAGCTAAGTCAGTGTTCAATAGAAACTAGCCCACCTATATTTTTAGTGGTATAATTAGTAATCCACTCATGTCATATATAATTTGTAAGCCAATGGACTTAATTTGTTACAAACTAAGTATATTGATGTAGATGTTCAACACTTGGTGCATTTTTAAGAAATCAATTATGTTATTTTTTATGAATCTTTTTTTTTTTTTAGATATCTTGATGTGTTGAAGTAAATACATTAAATAAACATTCCTTTCTATACCTAACAAAGCCTAAACATTTTTTTTTCATATGGGTAAATTGCTTCAAACTGTTTTACTTGATATTCGATAAATGCATCTATATACAAAAACATGCTAAATAAAGAAGTACAGGTAAAAGGGTTTTTTTTTTGGGGGGGGGAGGGGGGGGGGCTTTGCTATTTGTCTCTAAGGTGACATTTGAGAGGTTAATATAAGGTATTATCACATTGCAAAAAAATTAAAATACCTACATATACAATAGTGTTAATTATTAAAACTACAAAGGATATTTGGAGGGGGGGATACAATTATGTTTTGAAATTTGTATTTTGTCATTTTTCATCTAAATACATTTCAGATCTGATGTTTTAAAATGAATTTTGGGATATTTGAAATATTTGAATTCTATTCAAAATTTTATTCAAAGTTAATGGTATAAATAGTTGCCTCCCCCATATTTTTTGTCTTCAATAAATTTCATTCTCTTCTAATGTAAAATTAAAGTAAAATGCTTATATTAACTCAAAACATGTTGTGATCTTCAACTAACTCTGTCAACATTATTAAGATCAATGTCTGGACATCTTGTAAATTTTCTTTTATGTATCAAACTAAAACAATGTTTGCAAATGAAATGGAACTCTGTGGAATATGCTTTGATTTGTTATGCTTATTGCAGTAATAAACTACTGATAAATTCACTCAGTAATTGATTCTTTTTTCCTTTCTTCCCATTGATGTGGAATCAATCTTTGTTAATAAATTTTGGGTTGGGTTACAGTCAATTGGTACCAATATATTTGGTAAACTATAGGGCCTATATTGTAATTTCATTTCATTTGTGCATTCACTAAGATATTGACAGTAGTGAAGGAAAAACTTCAAAGAGTACTGTGCAACAATATATTCAAGAAGTGGTGTGAATCAGAAGTGGATACTGAAAAATTCCAAAGAACTTTGGATAATTTTAAATCACAGGATTTTACCAAAACCAACAGCTTAAAAACGTACAACTTTTCAACTTTATATACAACCATTCTCCATGATAAATTAAAGTCCAGGCTTTTTGATATCATTGACAGCTGCTTTTTCAATAAAATGGAACTCGTAAATTTACTTACTTGGTCATTGGTCATTTGCAAAATTATTTTGTTAAAACACATTCTGATTGCACACACAAGTACAGTGAATTTGACATCAAAAAGATGCTTGAGTTTCTGATTGACAATATCTATGTGGTTTTGGAGACCAGGTCTTCCAACAGTCTATTGGAATTCCCATGGGTACCACTTGCACTCCGTTAATAGAAGACCTATTTTTTATTCATATGAAGCAGACTTTGTGCAAAATCTTATGCATGAAAAGAAGAAAACACTTGCTATAGACTTCAGCTTAACATTTGTGGCGCGCCAAGCAAAAACCTCCCTTAACGAAGAATTTTGACATTTTCAGTTTTTTATTGATTCTTGTAGAGTTTTTCTTTCTCTTTTCTTTTGATGTATAACATGACATATATTTCTGTGTATAAATGTATAAAATATCGCATGACAAAGACGGAATATTTACTTTGACGGACAGTGTAGGCGTGCGTAACTGCATGAATTTTCATAACGTAAAAGCGTTAAATAACAAGGGACTATATAATAATTTGATGATATTTGTATTTTCAAACTCATGATTTGATTCCCTTAAAAATATCAATAATTAAGATTTTTCATCGTAATTATAAAAAATAAACATTCTAATTATATCTTTGAAAAAAGAAAAAAGGGGGGGGGGCACCGAAATGAATGACAAGGGAAAAAAAAACAAAACTCAAATAAATAATCTTCTATTCCTCTAAAAAATGTTCCAATGTATGGCTTTTTTTAATGCATGAAAATGGCAGAAATCTACAATATACATCATTGCAACAGTAAAAGGAAATAAGCAACATTTAGATGAAAATATCCTATTGTGGTAGTACAATCTATACATGCACAAAGGCTATTCTATATGTATTTACCACAGGCACTTGTTTCTGTAATAAATTTTTGACCCATAGTATAATAACACAAGGTATCTAACTCCAAATTGTGACACGATAGCGGTGTTTTTCTTTGAAGTTAACTGTTCTGTATTAGCAATACAGAACGACACTTTGGTGGGCGGAGCTACTTTCCGTTCTGTATTAGCCCGTATTTGCCAACTATTCTGTATCTTAGATACAGCACGTTCTAACCATAATTCTAAAAATAAATCTGATTCAATTTCGCAAAAGCACGTACAAATCGTAAAATGATGATGTTTTCCTATTATAAATTTTAGAGAAATACCCGGTATTAATCCTGAGAATGTAAAATGTCAATAAACACTTATATTCCACGCAGAACATGCAGAATTTACACGTAATTTAGATCCAAAAGAAAATTCACAACAACGGAAAACATAATCTACTCGTAATTTTGATCCAAACGAAAAGAAAATTCGCAATAACCATGATAACTGAAAACATCCACTCTCCTCGTGCAAAATCACTCAGGTCCATTTTTTGCGTTTTTATTTTTTTAAAATCCTTCTCGCTTACGACAACCACACGTCGATCTCTTTCACTTCGTTTTTAATGTCGCAATTCAATTAGAAAATAAAAATCTGTGATAGATCTATCAAAGTCCATCGAAGAATTTTCTGTAAATCCTGATTTTTTAAATCTAGTCAAACGGGGATTTTAAGGTTAGACCCCTGAAAAATATTATAATCAATCTCCATTTATAGATCACAACAATTACGGTTAAATCCTCCACTTTATCCATTAAGAGTAACTATCACTCGATTTCGTCTACCCCGTTAAATTGTCAAAACTAATCTGACCGAATTTTACGTTTTCCGTGGAAATATATATACTGCGGATGCGAACCCCCCGTCGGGGCCTCATCTACAGAACTCTGACGGAAGTTTGGATGCTGTAAAGTTATAAAGTGGGTGGAGTTATATTTGATTGATCGTGTCACAAATCATTTAGAGAACTCGACAGGTTCTGTATCGTAGATACAAATTTGGGGGTGGAGACTCGTGCTTGCGCACTCGTCCATCCCCAAATTTGTATCTACGATACAGAACCCGTCTCGTTCTCTAAATAATACTTACACCCAGCACTCCCCTCGTCAGAAACGCACTCATTTACACTTTCAGGTAAAATGCTCTGGCAAACTTTTTATTATCATCGTCTTCTACGATAATATATCTACACAACCATATGCGGCATGCATGTCTTTGTTTTCATTTATCTCTGTAAACACCGGGTGGAAAATGGAACTCAACCACCAAACGGTATGTTCTGATCTCGGGCAAAGAGCAAAACTAAATAAATCAGTGAGTTTAAAAACTCCATTCCAGATTTAAAATATTGCATTGAATGAATAAAATTTGATTACGTCTCATTTTTCACATAGGGGTTTGTCTTCCGGATTGTTGAATGTAAAAAAATAAAAAAAAAAAAGACTCTACAGAGTTTATGTATATAGGTGTGGTAAGTCTTTTTTAAACGTGGTTTTTCTCGGCTGAAAGTGTCAGGATCTTTATTTTAATAACTTTTAAGTGTACATGTATTTAAAGAAGATTCAATTTTTTTTTTAAATTTATTTTACATTCAACAATCCGGAAGACAAGCCCCTATGATTTTTCATAAAAACACTACGACATTTTTGCGATGTAATTTTAGATACAGATTTTAATCCATTCAAAATTGTCGTGCGGGATCCATGAATAAGCATCCATGAAAAAATTGTACGTGTCTCTTGTAGTAGGGTTCTCTCCTTTTCTTCTTTGGGTGTCGTTTTAAAATCAGTCTTTAATTCAATGAGGAACTTGTAAGTTGTCAAACTTTCTTCCAATCCTTTTGTATATCTCAATAAATGCGTGTTCAAATAAAAACAATTAAGATTGGGTGCACAAGACAGAAAGTAAGAGAACGGGTAAACATTCTCAATATTCTACCATTATCGTAAACGGAGGGGGGAGGGGGCTTTGTCTCGGCTATGGACATTCACGCTTAAGAACAAGGCACACGTGTACAATCTTAAATTTTAACTTTTGTTATTTTTTTTTACAAAAATAATTAATCGATTTAATTATAAATACATATTTTTGGGGAAAAAAGGGAAGGCTGTATGAATGGGTAAGTTAAACAAGTACGCAATATTCAAGTCGACCAACATGTATTTTTTTATGTTCGATAAATCCTTTTTCTTGAAACATAGAGCGTTTTGATCATTGATTTTTTTTCATATTCTGTGCAGATTTGTACTGTACTAGTTTTGCTAATTTTGCACAAAACTCCCCCTAGATGTACATGTATGTATATGTAGACATGTACAGTTCGACTTTTGCAGGAAAAAAATATTGAAATTCTTTTAATTTGTTACATGTACGATATATATCAAATTACGTATTATCAGTAGCAAATTTTTACTAATTTGAAATGCATAAAATTATTCATTTTATATTGCAATTTAACAGAAGGAAACATTATTATTATTTTCCAAGGTAGATGTGAAATCATATATAATGTTGGTAGTATTAAAATCTTTGTCGGGAAAATAATTACATGTATTACGGGTAAAATAAATCCTTAATATTGAAGGTTAAAATAAAATAAAATCATTAAAATGAAAATGTTTAACTCTAAAATGTTTAATGTAAACTCCCATTCTGTCCTCAGTTTAAAGGGCTGCGTTACATGTACAACATGATGCAGCTTGATTCGGCGATTTTATAAATGGCCGACATTATGTCATTTTCAGAAATCCAAAATTTTAATGTCACCTCCTCTTCTGTATTTTATCTTCTTTGGTAGAAAAATTATGCATAAAATAATAATAGGTCGGAATGTTTAAAAGTGTTCAAACAATTTGTATTAATTTGTAATAATTTGCATTACTTATAACATTTTAGGGATGTATCATGTTTGCCAGTTTCACATTCGATGCAATGTGTATATACTGTAACATCAGCAAACGGATTATGAATACATAGCAGCGCAGCAAAATAACGGAATGTTTCATCCCCCCCCCCCCCTCGGAAAATGTCGATAAACATATGTCCAATCTGTTTTGTTCTCAATCATAAAATATCTAAGAAAGTTGATCTAAGAAAGTCTGACTATAACTTACAATGTAAGCGAGAATCCGTACAATGTACTGTATATATTTACAAAATTTGCACGAAGTATCCAAAGAGATAGAGCAGACACAGGAGAAGGGGGGGGGGAGAATTTTTCCTACATTTTGCATACAACATGAGAATGTGATAAAGACCTAACAAAATAAATTGAGAAACTTAAAAGCCCTTTCTTCAATATATTCATTTTAAATTAACAGCTAGAAACCAGTTCCGGAAGAAGTGACCAAGTCAAATACTCTGTGTCGTATCTATAGAGAATTACATTTTTTTATCTAAACTTCACCATTTATCGAAATCCTTGGAAAGCTATCAACGATTTTGTACAGTTCACAAATAGCAATGCATTTTTCTAACTTACATCATCTACCGTAACTACGGAGGTGAAAAGATACAAGTATATACACATGTACTTCTGCATATTAATTATGGTTTTAACGCTGTATGTGATTGGATACCGAAATTACATTTTATTGCATTATTGGGCTACCTTTGTCACAATCACTTGTATAAAAAAAAATCGATCCGCCTGATGAAAAAATTCAATTAATTGAACTGTTGAAGTGATTGTTGATGAAAATCTACAGTATGTACTTTGCTCATACATTGAATGAATTACAACTTAAAATTAAATTATAAGGTATGAAAAAGCCTATCCAATTTATATAAACTTGGTTGGAACAGCTTACAATTGTACAACACACCTACCCCAAAAAAATTCTGTCGTTTAATTTTCGTAATTTTTGTATATTTAGTACATGACTATATCTACTGCATGTATGCATATTTTGGACAAAATCGTTCGATTGGTTTTTGGACAGGAACTTCCGAAAGTTACCCCCCTTTAATTGTTTACAAGGAGAGAAAATTTTTAATCAATGAACTACTTAAACCTTGATTTTCAAAAAAACTGGGTTAGATATAAATGTCAAATTTCATTGGCTTATTCCTTTAACCATTTAACACAAAAACATAGTCATCTTTTTGATATACATATCATCAAAACAATTTTTAAAGACCTTAAACTGAAAAACTATGAATTTTCCAAGACTTGAAAATTGCGTATTTTTCAAATTCAAAATTTTTTTGTGAAAAAACCTGTCGTTTAATTTTGGTAAAAACGTTTCTTTAGGTAGCTGGTAGTAAAAATAATCTTCATAATTTTTTGTATAATTTTTGTACGACCAGTTTTGATTTAATAGCGGAAAATTACCCCCTCCCCCTTTCTCAATAAATCACGTTCCCGCGCGTCTTTCAGACGGGGGTCGATCACTTTGTTATATGAATCTACAAATACACATTAAAAAAATTAAATTGGAATATTGTTTTTGCTTGAAAAATATATTAACTTACAAATTTAAAAGTTCTCATATGTAAAGCGTATTTAAATGTAGATTTTTAGGCAATTTTTAGCCGGGCTTATTGCTCAAAGAGCAATTGCCGGCTTATGGGATCCTGTTCAACTTCCTGTTCAAGGCAGGATGTTGACCCAATAGTCGCCAAATTAAACTGACGTTCTGAAATATAGTGTATCTACTTGTAATCGCTGTTGAAACAATTTATACTCATAATCTGATTAATTAAATGTGAATATAAACTGTACTGTAATTATTATTGTGCAGTTATCAAAAATACATTTGTTCTTAGTAGAGAACTTTTAACAAATTCCTACGCATAGCCTGGTTCCCTGTCCCTGTTTTGCTTCGTTTACTCTGCGTCACTGCCTCGGCAATGGTGAGACAGGGTACCAGGCTAAATTTTCCACTCATTCGGCAAACCTAATCAGCCGAGGAGTCCCTAATGATGCAGGTGTTAGGCCTACACAGTGCCCACCCTAGACATCGCCAGATTTCGTTTCTGGAGATAAACAAAGAAGACGCCATATTACACAAGGTATTAGGTATACGCGATTGCGGTATGGCGTTCTCCATGGTCAAATTATACAGCTGGTACAACGAAACTTATGCGGAAATCGGAGACTGCCGTACAATCTGACCACGTTTCAAAGATTGTGTATGACAAAGATGCGCAGTTAATAAGGGGAATTGTGCAAGCCTCCATGCGAGACCGGAGCTACAGGTTACTGTAAGTTCATCCCATTTCTTTGAGATTTTTGGAAGAAAGAAAAGTTTTTTTTTTAAGTCTTTGCCTTGCCAATGACCAAATAAATGGTTGACTACAGTATCTGAAGAAATTTTAAGGAGTTGAATGAATGTCATACAGACCTCTGCCTATGGCTGCTAAATCAAAGCTTTACAGTTTTATGTGAAGAATTAAAAATATATAGGAGTATGTAAAGAAATGTTGTAACTGTAAATGGAAGTAACTTTTGTCTATTTTGTTCAATTATAAAGTATGAATTTAGACTCCAGCCCCTGCATGTTTCCAAATAAAATCTAACTTTAGGCCCCAAGACTAAATCTTATAACTTTGTAAATTTATGGAACATGTTGATACAGGTACAAAAATGTCAGCAAAACTGATGTACGCCAGAGTTGGATTAAGCATCCAGAGTGCGCCACCTCGTCAAACTAAGACGATGGAAGAACTTTTTCCTGCACCTGACAGGTTTATAAATTACAGGTATGCATTTATTATGACTGTTTCATGAATGGTGCAAAATATTAAAAAATGACAGTACCCCAAAAGTGAAAATATAAAAAATAGAGAAATAGCATATTTTTTATGGGCAATATACACTTTTTTCAATGGATGGAACTGTATCTCTCTGGTTGTCCATCCTAATTTTTTCAGACCAGCAAGCTACAGATCTGCAGCTAGCATGGTATATGTAAAACCATTCAGTGTTGTATTATGCTCGATTTTTCAATTTTTGTCAAAAATTACTAGGGCAACAAATAGGCCAGTCAATGATAGGGACAGGAGTTCCTATATCAGAAATTGACAACTGTAGGGAGATTTTCAGGTTAATATATCTGGTGTTTTATTTTAGTGTCACATTGTTTACCAGTTAATTCTATTGTTACTTTTTTGAAAATTTATACTGTGATAGGATAGAATGCATATACACACATGTATATATATATATATATAAATTCACAAAACACCTAACTAACTCATTACACCCGGACTTTGGACTTCAGATATTTAATGGCTTATTTGACATTGGACTGAAATTCTGACAAGATGTGCAGTCTTTCCATTCTTTTTGCTTTTTTTGTCTTTTACATGTTTAGTTTTGTTCTTGTCTCTTTTGTTTTTGTGTTGACTTTGTTTTAAACTTTTAATTATACATTTATACTATCAATTTCAATTCAGTGTGAAGTTTTGCATCAAGTCACAATCTTTTTTGACAGATGCATTCAGCGTAAACAATTCATGTGATTGATAAACTCATATTATCAACCTTGACACAGAAATAGTTTGTTGTACAAGCAAACAATCAGGGATTAGAAGAAAGTTCCAGTCGTAAAGCTTGCGGTTAGGAGGCGTATACTATTTACCTTGAACGCATCTGTCAAACTAGAAGATCGTGACGTAACATAAAACTTCAACTCACCTGCAACCTTTAGTAAAATGTTTAAATATTATTCACCCTATTTCTCATACATACTTAAAGGAAGTTATTTGTACATTCTTTTCACATGTATACATATTGAAATCCAAAATTTATTTGAAGTAGTAAATAAAATAAGTTTGAAAAAATATTTAACATATATACCAGTATTAAGAATTGGTGATTTAACTGCAATACAGGTTTATTGAGTATTTGTTGTCTTTTTCACTGAGGGTTTAATTTTTTGTTTAATTAAATCAACAGCAATGCATTGGATACTATCCTCCGAGCCGCCTGTGCCCACACTTGCAGTGCCTCTAGTTGAAGACCTCATCTCTAGCCAGGAATTTATTTCTGCAGAGAATCCAATCGCTTGGATGAAGCAAAAATTAATGATAAATGAGCAAGAAATCCAACAGGTAAAGACAAATGAGTTGCATAATGAATAGAATGTATTCTGTTTCATTATGAATGTTGTTTAAGTTTTATGATTTTCGTCATGTTTTAGATTGCCTGTCTTACCACTGGTCAAAAGGAAAATTGCATGTGGTCATCTGTTAGGAAGAATAGATCAACAGCTTCAAACTTTGGTTGTGTTTTGGCAGCGATCAAGAGAAATAGGTATACTGGTAGTTTACATGCCTTTATATGTATATGTAATTATAAATGATACTTGTAAAAGCAGTTAATTATAAAATCAAAAATATTGAAAGTTTGCTCCTTATATAACAGATATCCTGTCTCCTTATACAAAAGATTATGCTCAGCTTATGATCTGTCAAAGAAGGATGCCATTATTTGGGGGACGTGCAATGAAAAAGTCGCAATTGAAAAGTATAGAACTTTTGGGGATGCAGTTGTAGAGCCAACAGGTTGGTACATTTCTTTCCTAAGCAAAATTTCAATTTCTTTAAAGCAAATAAAAATTGATGATAAATAAAAATTTTTCTTGAGCTAATTTATTTAAAATTCAGTTATTAAACTTTGAAGATAATGAATATAAATATACTGTTTGTATATTCTATTTATAACAAGTCATCAATGCATAAGAAAATCAGAGTGTTGCATATTAATGCTATTTTGAAACTTTATAATACTGTTCATATTAGGTATCTGGCTACACTGTAATGGGGTTCTTGGGTCAAGCCCCGATGGACTCATTCGTCGTCCTGCTGCATTCGGATTCAGCTATCAGAATCCAGGACTCGCTGACATATTAGAGATGTCAAACGTTAAGCCAGAAATACTGGAGGTGAAATGCCCCTTTTCAGCAAAGAATATGACAATTCCAGAAGCTATTGAAAAAGTACACGATTTCTGCCTAGGTAATAATAGTGTGTATGTATTTGTTTGAATACGTTTCATGTACTGAGATATTACTTTAAATAATTCCAATATATTAGTTTGGATAAATTTAAGTACAATTTAGCAATTGTTAAAAAAGTTTTTTCCTTCTGTTGTAATGTTAGTCCTCAAGGCAGATGATTTGCCTTCTCACTTTATTGTACAGTAAGGAACAAAATACTTATACATGTAAATATTTATTAGTTAAATAGTTTTGTCTTATATTAATGATTGAGGCACCAATGAAAATTCTTTTTCTTTAAAAATCTTCAACATATATATTTTTTTCATATAGAGGTTCAGGATTTTAATGGAGTCAAGTCCTTCAAGCTATGAGAGAACCACCAATACTATGATCAAGTGCAAGGACAGCTTCATATAATTGGGAAATCCTTGTGTGATTTTATGGTCTGGACACCAAAAGACTGTGCGATTGTGAGAATTAACAAAGACATCAATTGGGAGATCAACATATCTGTTTTGACAGACTTTTATTTCTGTAAATTTCTCCCGTATTTACAACAGCTATAAGATATAACATTAAACATGGTGAAAAAATTTTAATTTTAATATCTTAGTTATCTACACTTGCAAAATTCTGAGCAATTTCCTGCATAAGGGGATCCTGAAAATTGACTAAAACACAGCATAATTGAAAGACTTTTGTAGAAATATATCTAAATTGCTGCGGAACATGCCTTGAAATTTCATAATTCTTAATACGCTCATTTGCTCTTTCAACATGTATGCGTGACTTAGCAATTCTTCGACATAGTTGGACCTCACTGGAAAGGGAGGAATATTTAGATGTACTCCTTGGGGGCAACAACTTGTGAATAGTGAACCCTTTGTCTGCTAAGATCATATCACCTGGAGATAACTGTTCTAAGACTTTACAATGTTCTACAATTGCAACATCAGATGTGCTGCCAGGGTGCAATTTAGTAATAAATACCAAAGCACCATTAGGTGCAACACCTGTAACACTTTTAACAGTGTGAGAATTTTTGTATCCGCTGTATGTGCTGGCCTGCAATCTCATATCATTCCCTGGAACATCCTGGGTGATTTCTGTTGCATCAAGTACTATCTACATGAACTAAAATCCCCAAAACTTGTAGGCATAGACCCTTGCACATTCGTCATGAAATTTTGTGGATGTAATGATTAGGTTCTTTAATTGTGCTCATTGGATTTAAAAATTCGAAGCTTTTATTAGTTTCCATGGAAAGGGGGGAAAAGTCAAAATTCTTGAACTTCGATTTTTAAATCAAAGTACTGAAAGTACAGATAGGTTTGATGGTTGTCCAAGTTTGAGTTCTAGAAAAATGTCCATCCAATTGAGCTAAAACCTTTTTAAGGCTAATAGGCATGTTGTGTAGATGTATGGAACAAAGGTCATTTTGTGTGCATACGCATTTACGTGCGGATGCGTGCAACATTAAATGACTTGTATACTGAATATTGCTTTAACTTTTACACTTTTTTGATGAAATGCTCATTTCATAAGGATATTATATAAGGATATATTAATAGTGTAGATAATACGACATTGTCAGATTAGCACGAAATGATGTGCATGCACGTGCACTTTGCTCTGATTGGCTGAAACAAAAATTTTAATATCTCTTTCTTTTTTGATGAAATACATTGAAATTTTAAATAAGTCATGCATTACGACAAGTGATGCATTACTACAATATGATATATAACAATAATTATGAAAACATGTGCATGCATGTGCACTGCAATCTGATTGGCTAAAACTTTAAATGGCTATAACTACTCTAGTTTTGAACCAAACAGGATGGGATTTATAACTTGCATATGCATGCACATGCGCTTAGCTCCGATTTTAAAATCAAAGTACCGAAAGGACTGATACGAGTTGATGGTTGTCCAAGCTTAGCTAATGGGCATAGTATTACTGATGACAAAATGAAAATTCTCCAGTTCGGGAAACATACGCTATTGCTTGCAATAGCAGACTTTCTAGTCTAGAACGAAGTTGGGGACGACATATTGCGATTGTATATGTTTAAATACATCATCAGTCTATCAGTAATATGATCATTTTTCTGCTAACTGTTGTTGAAACGCAGGTAACAAAATTCGATGATAATCAGCATGCACAAAATTTTGCTGGCTAACTGTGACCTCTTAGCTTCAGACGTAGGAAATATTGATCCTTAGTAGTGCCTGACGCCATGGCATAAGGCAAGAAAAAAAATGCTCAATAACAATAAAGAACAAGTATGTAAAGCTCAAAAATAAAAAGATAAAATCACCCTTATACTTCATCAAAGTTAAACCTATTGTTCTTATATAAAATTTAACGATGCTTTTTCATTCGCTGCATCTAATAATTCCTTATATCATTCATACTTTAACTGAAACCTGTTCTTTTCACCTGTGTGCTGTTCTTAAGCCCGGCTTTCAGTACTTTCAGTACTTTGATTGAATACCCCTATCACCCCCACCCCTTCCTATTTTGCGTCGCAGACCATTAGCGTTTGACGAAACGTCGTTTACAGTGCAAATATACTGGTATTTCGTCAAGAATCCCGGAGGTATGCATTAGTTTTGAAATTCATGAATGCAGAATAAATATTGACTACTCTTTTTATATGTATCAGGAAAAAATTACTGAAAGATTTTAGTGTTTAGTCCATATACATATGCGTTATGCATTCCATATCACATGAAACCTGGATACGAATTCAAGTTTTGTTGAACTTGAATATGTTGATTTTTAATTTTATTTCTTTAATTTTATTCATTAAAAAATGGTGTTTGTTCAACTTTCCTGTGATATAAATGGAATAATTGTAGTTTCTTTCATGTCATTATTTTCAAACGAGACAGTATGTGGCCGTGGGGATACATCGACATTTGCATTAGATGTACATACACCCCTCATGATATTGTACGCATTTCTTTCAATGTCGTCGCTTCTAAAATTAAAATGAAAATTCCGTATTCGTCCACATTAACTCCAAAATATCAAACATTAAACTCTTCATCTATTTCAATTTATATCAAATCGCACATTGATATTTTTTAAAATCTTATAGGCTACGTTTTGTTTTGATTCGAGGAAATGCGAACCGATATTGTTGACAGAAAGTCAAAGTTACGATTTGCTGCAATAGGATATTCATAAATGCAGATGATTTCAGTACAAGTGAACAATTCTTTTCAATTCTATACTTACATTGTGTATGTGAGGTCTATAGTATTCAATTCTCGGATTTATCAGGTCTTGCTGTAAATGTATCTGATTCTGTGGAAAACCGTGAATAAAGGGAGGAAAATAAACATCTCCTACATTTTCAGAGTTGTTCCTCTTTGATCAGTAAGGGTCTGAGAACAACATCGATTTTACATTGTAAAAAGTTTTTTTGTTTATTTATTGTTGTTTTATTTGATTAAAGAAGAAAAACAATACATGTATTTATATCGTGTATGCACAAATTGTAATGAAGGTCATTAATCGGAATGTTATATAGCCAATTGTACATAATGAGAATTTTGGCAATGTAAAATAAAATTTTCAGAATAAAAGAAAATTCTGCGCTTTGATAAAAATACAATTTATTGTATATGAAATGAAATGAAATAAACATTAAGGGATGGTATTTTATGTCTTGCTTTTTACGGAGTTTAATCGGGTTAATTAAAAAAATACTTATTGATTGAGTGTGGTACGCACAAAGTCAATCACAGCCAAGCCCCATATCCCAATTTTCTTTCATGATTGATATACATCGGGATCGTTTTACTCGTCGTTTTGACGCTTTATTTTTTACGTTAAATTTGACGTCACGTCAAACGTTCAATTGAAATCGCAAGAGTTATCTCCCCCAGTGTGTTGTACGTCTTTAAATAAACAGCAGCGTTAACTGCCTAACTCAATTTATAACGTACTTATAAATTTGATAGCTACATGTAAGACAGGTAATTCAGGTCAATTTTTACTGCATTGCTATTTAAAAAAAAAACCTTTCCTAGACAGTAATTTAATGCTCCTGCTTAATTATTCTTGCATGTGCATCAGGATGAAAAAGCTGGAAATTAGTAGCCTAAATTAAAAAAAAAAACAATTTTTAAACACATTTGTTTGACCTATGAAGAGAACCGACTAAAATCTTTTCAAAACCTCCAAATTATTGCGTAATTCCGGAATTTTCTCATCCAATTGAGAGCTTTTTTTTTTTTAATTTCAGAAAATGCCTTCAATCTTATTCAACATTAAAAATTTCCGACAAAAAAATTTTGATCTACATGTAGCTTCCGACGAATTTTTTTTGAAACTGAATAGAGATAGGGCAAACAGAATTGATTTTAAAAACGGCCTTACGGAAATTTTTCAGCCACAACTGGACATCATTAAAACACACTTAATAATTGTGAAAAACATAGCTCACACACACGCTTGACGGAGATAAACTTCTTAAAGAATACACTACATCAAACCATACCTAAGAATCTTCCTTCGCATATAAATTAAACAAGATACCATTGTTCTGCTGGGGAGAGTTTTTCTCGATGGGGCGTTTTTACGTCGCTTTTACCTTGTTGACTTTAGACGCGTCTTTTGACGTTACGTCATAATAGAGATAAGGGAGGTTTTTGCTTGGCGCGCCACATTTATAGATACATCAACGATGTATTGTCAATTAACAATGGTAATTTCCATTCATATGTCGATACGATATATCCTGGTGAGCTTGAGGTAAAAGATACCTGACACATCTGTTTCATACTTGGATATTTTACTTGAAAAAGACGTTAATTGTAATCTAACAACCAAGCTCTATGATAAACGTGATGACTTAAACTTTTCTATCGTCAACTTCCCTTACTTAATAATATGCAGCAATATACCTTCATCTCCTGCATAATGCATACGGTGTTTATATATCTCAGTTGATTTGATACGCAAGAGCATGCTGTACGTATGAACAGTTTCTAAAACGAGGTAAATTATTGACAAACAAGTTGATGAAACAAGAATATCAGCAGTGTTGTTTAAAGTCATCATTTCGTCGTAAGTTTTTTGGTCGATACAATGACCTTGTCAGTAAATACAATTTATCATTGAGTCAAATGCTGACTGACGTTTTTCATACTAATTGTTATTCCATTATTTATAAATACACTGAATTGACGACGGATTTTTCCGTTATTTCCCGATCATGACAAGGAGCACGCGGCGGGTGTGACCGGCCAACAGGAGATGCTCACTCCTCCATGGCACCTGATTCCACCTCTGATGTTTTAGAGGTCCGTGTTTGCTCTGCTCTTATTTTGTACTATTTTATGGACTCTGATATTGAATACTGTTCGTTATCTCCATATCTTTCATTCTCTGTATTGCCTTGATTTCAACAAATAAACAACAAAAATAATACGATTGTAAAACCATGCTTTGGGATGAAATCATGATTTCTAAAATGAATTTGGGTTGGTTTTGAAATTCAAATTAACAACGAGTACGTACAGAATTTTCTGTAGCACTCTCACCGATAATTCGAGACTTTTTCAAAGTTTGTTTTATCGTTTTTTTTTTGGCGATATGGATACCAAAAGCTTTGATATTTCCATATTTCTCTTTCTTCTAATGATGCTATATCGAATAATGGTCAGATTTTAGATTTGATTGATGAACCAGGGAACCAAGTCATGACCGTAATTTTCGAAGCCGTTTCCACAAAAATTACACGATTGTCAAACAAATGAATTTCTTAAAAAGATATTAAATACATGAATTTAAATGCATTATAATGTAAGGATTCCTTTTCCATACATAATATTTTTAAGGGGGTGTATTCGCCTAAGAAAACCATGCACATTTTCCAGTGTGAGATAAAGATTTCAGATCTATGAAATCAATTTAACGTGTCTCCCGGCCGAAACCATTTTTTTATACGGATGGACTCAGCAATAGCTGTAATAATGTAGTTTCTTTTTATTAAATATCACATTAAACAAATCGAAGAGGACTACATATAATTGCGCCTAACTTAGCAATTGAAACATTCATACACGCATTTGACGGGATTAAACTGATTATTGAAAAGCGCGTATTGAAAATTTCTTTAGAAAAATAGCTTTTTTAAGTTTTCAACAGATTCATTTGTCTTTTTTTCTGTTCGGTCTTGTTTTCAATATAGTACACGCATTTCGATTCTCTAAAATTAAAATAAAATTAATTATTCCTAAGGGGGATGAACTCAAGTCGATGTGCGTGAATCAACCTTATTTTTGGATAGAAGAGTGTGATGACCGCAACAGAATTATAATATTATAATATTAATCCTATCTTTACCTTGTATACAACATGACAGCCCAACCAACTTCACACAATAATGATTTTGGTGTGTGTGCTGGAAGGGGAGTATCAGTCTCAACTCCCCATGCTTTGTTAAAAGCAAAAAAGATTTTTAAAATAAAGAAAAATTAAGTTAGGCTACACCCTCCACATCTTTACTTTTGTTTTTTTAAATTACATGTATTTTGATATAACTTCCTTCTTTTTACATCGTTTGGCCCGTAGCAACCTTTTTTTTAAAACTGTGTGTGTGGAGGGGAGGGGGGGGGTACTATACTGCCCAAACTCATAAAGTGTATTTCGGTGGTTTTATAGAAACGGATCTTTTCCTTCTCAGTCCCTAAAAATGCTGAAAATGTGTTATTATTCGACCGCACAGCAACAAAAGTGGGTGGGTGGGGGTGGGGGATGTTGGGGAGCAAGCAGCTTCTAAATGAAAACTTCCACTGTACCATGCATGTGCCTGTTTATTCAATAATTTACTCATTTTCCCTATATTCATATTCTTTGTATTTATTAATTGACTTTATTTATTAAGTTTATTGACTGCTATCATACTAGATAACCACTAATTCATAAATTTGTCAGTGTTTTATTTAGGACGAAAATATGTTTAACTTTTTAAAACTTGCCTATCTCAAATGCGACCAAATTTATCATTTTTTTTCCTTTTTAAATTTGTGTTTAAAATTGTTAATTTATCAATCTATTTATTTTTGCAAAGATGGCCTGCATTGATGAAGTATTATAAACCCGAGTTTCCTAAATATTCCAAAAATTAGTCCTGCTATGATCCCTTTGAATGAAATGTAGAAAAGTTTTTTTTTCTTTCCACTGTCACACCCTAAAAATGAAAGGGAGATCTCCATATTCTGATATGGATACACATAGCGCAAACAAATCTTTATGCATGGATTGATTAATATTTTTGATTGAATAAAAAATTACTTAAATTATAAATTCTTGAAGTATAAAAAAAAGTTCTGCAAACTTTACTAGGATGTTAACTATGATAAATGTTGCTGAATCGATCCTGGGAAAATATTTTTTACCGTTTTAGGTCCCTATTGAGGAGGCGAAAACTACATTGTACGAGTTATCTAAAGTAAGAACCTATTCTTGTCGCTGATTGGCTGGATTTGAATAAGCGCGATTATTCGAGTAAAGAAATAAACATGGCGACAGGAACAGCAAGTTAGATCGTCATTTGGTATGTTTATCTTTAATTTTGATGATTTATCTAGCCAGAAAGCTACTAGATATAACAGAGCAATTAATGTTAAACATCATGTGAATTCCTTAGAGAGATGCCCATTTTACAGTGAAGATACGTCAATGCAATGAATGTTGACATTTTATCAAACAGAACACATCGATTTGGTAAAGATCACTGTCTAAAACTGTATGGTAATTGTTCTCTTAAAGTATGTTTTTGTAATCATCTAAAAGAGAAGCATTTTGTTTATGATTTATGCACCCTACCCCCCAAGTTTTCCCTTTTATGTAAGTACTCGAAAAAATGGAATACATTTTTACGTACAATTCTGATATTTTCAGGGAAAAAAATATCACTAGTCCACAAACATGTCTAAAAGACTCTCTGAAGATGTAGGGAATGACAATGATGGAGAAGAAATCCCATTCAAAATAAGGAAAAATCTCTGTGCTGAGTTTGATAAACCAACTCAAGATGAACATATGCAAGTTTACCTCAGGATAAGACCATTTACAGATGCCGAAGAGGAACAAAAAGAGAATCAGGTAAGAAAATTTACATTGTTAAATTGAATTTTTGAAAAATAAGATGTATCACAGTGTAATAATTTATGGTTAGATGATCACAAATCTAATAAATGATTTTGAGATTTCCTATTTAAAAATAATATACTGTATATTCCCATAAAGTTACATTTTTTTATGTAATCATATAAACCATTAAGTCTGTAAGGCTCATAAGATGTGTAGAATAAATTTACTTTCAATGATTAATTTGAAATTCAAACAATTCTGGACAGAAAAAATGAATATCAAGTAACTCAAAGAGATTTTGTGAATCTAAATGAGATGAAATGTTATCTTAAAAATTTATATTACAAAATACTTCTTAATCTAACGTTAATGAGGCCATCATTTTTAGAAAAAAATATTTATTGACGTGCTTATCATTTTTCTTAGGATTGTCTAGAAATAGAGGGAGAACACAATGTGCTCACACATGCTCCCAAGTCATCACACTCTTACAAGAACTGTGTGTATGGACTTCAGAAGACAACCAACAAGTACACCTTCTCCAAAATATATGGCCAGGAAACAACACAAAAGGAGTTCTTCAATGGCACTATGCTAGGAATAGTGAAAAACTTCATTGATGGACAGAACTGTTTAGTGTTTTCTTATGGAGTCACAAGCTCTGGAAAGACCTATACCATTCAAGGTATACAAAATCAAAGAAAAAATTTGACACTAAAAGTTAAAATTTGATAAAATAGGTTAAAAAAAACTGCTTTGTTGCAAAATAGGTATGTAATATTGTGGATAGGATGTAAAATTCTAAAATATATTTGTGGTATTGTGTTGATCTGCAGGCGAGCCTCGGGATGCTGGCATTCTACCTAGGGCTTTGGATGTGTTGTTTAACAGCATCAATAACAAACATCTCTCTGGGTACATCCTGAAGCCTAAAATGTTTATGGATGTGGTAAAGCTAACCAAGGAAGAGGCTGAGGAGGAGAGGCGAAATAAAGAAAAAACCCTCAAACTGAGTAATGACGAGGTAACACATGTCTAATTGTCACTGCTTTTGATAAGAAAAGACAATGATTTCAAGTATTTCAATGCTCTTTATATCTATGAAGTTTTTTTGCATGCATGACTTTGTAAGACTTCTCACAATATAAGTTTGTTGAATTTCTTCTTTAGGATCCGGATGTAATGAGTTTACTTGGTGACGATGCATCAGATGCCTCACAGCTAACCAACACCACTACATGCTCAGAGAGTTCTAATGTCTCCTTCCTGCCAAACAAAGGTAAATACTCTAGTTGCTTCAAACAATGAATTCGACCATCTTTATATCTAATAATTGGCATAAGAGTGTGTAAAGTGCTGAATTTTTCTAATTTGATAATGCATGACTGCCTTAGTGCCATAATATAACCTCTTAGGAAGTTAAATATAGAAATATGTGAAGAATTGTATGTAGAGAAGCATTAAATGTTTAATTATATTAATTCTCCCTTTTTAGCTCACCTCAACGAAGTTGGGGGAGCTTATGTAATACCCTCGGCGTCGGCGTCCCGGGTTAAGGTTAAGTTTTTTGGAGCAGTTTTCTTTTTAAGTACTTCTATGTCCTATATTGATTAGACATGCATGGAAGATGGTTCTAGTGTGTTTCATTGTACCAGTCAAAGTTTCAGATGCTGCAATTTTAGCAAAGGAATGACCAGGTTAATGTTTTTGGAGCAGGTTAACATTTTTGGTGCAGTTTTTGGTGTAGGTTTCATTTCCAAGTAGCTATAAGCCCTATGTTAACCAAACTTGCATGGATGATACATCTAAGGATGCATACTACCGGGCTTGCTTCGGATGCTGAATCTGACCTACTTTTTCCGGTTGAGTGAACAGGTTAAAGTTTTTTGGTGCAGGTTTCATTTCCAAGTATCTGTAAGTCCTATGTTGACCAAACTTGCATGGATGATACATCTAAGGATGGATACAACCAGGCTTGCTTCGCATGCTGAATCTGACCTACATTTTCCGGTTGAGTGAACAGGTTAAAGTTTTTGGTGCAGGTTTCATTTCCAAGTATCTGTAAGTCCTATGTTGACCAAACTTGCATGGATGATACATCTAAGGCTGGATACTACCAGGCTTGCTTCGGATGCTGAATCTGACCTACATTTTCCGGTTGAGTGAACAGGTTAAAGTTTTTGGTGCAGGTTTCATTTCCAAGTAACTATAAGCCCTATGTTGACCAAACTTGCATGGATGATACATCTAAGGATGGATACTACCGGGCTTGCTTCGGATGCTGAATCTGACCTACATTTTCCAGTTGAGTGAACAGGTTAAAGTGTTTGGAGCAGGTTTCATTTGCAAGTAACTTTAAGCCCTATGTTGACCAAACTTGCATGGATGATAAATCTAAGGATGCACACTACCGGGCTTCGGATGCTGAATCTGACCTACATTTTCCGGTTGAGTGAACAAGTAAAAGTTTTTGGTGCAGGTTTCATTTCCAAGTAACTATGAGTTCTTTAATGACCAATCTTGCATGGATGATACATCTTAGGATGCATACTACCAGGCTTGCTTCGGATGCTGAATCTGACCTACATTTTGTGGATGAGTGAAAATGTTAGTTTTTGATGTATGTTTCATTTCCAATTAACTATGAGCCTTATAATGTGCAAACTTGCATGGACGATACATCTTAGGATGCACACTAATGGACTTGCTTCGGATGCTGAATTCGACATATATATTTTTCAGATAATAGACCAGGTTAAAGTTATGGTTGCAGGTCTATTACCAAAAAACTTTAAGGCTTTTATAACATTGTATAAACCAAACTTGCACAAATGTTGCATCAAGAGATGAAAACTCAAATTTGCTTTAGATGCTGAATTACATTTTCATGAAGAACTACTTTAAATTTTTTATGTTGGTCTACTTCAAAGTATCAGATCAAAATTGCTTAGATATTTTCATTTTTGGAATGTACATTTTTTGTTGGTTAATTGTGTGACTTTGCCTTATTTAAAGACAACATTCGTTGAGGTGAGCTCTGTAATCTCTGATTACCTATGTTTAAGAGTCCCTTGACCCCTCTGAGGCCTTGTTAGCCATTGAGAGCCGAGTCCGTGAGGAGACAAGGGTGACGGTCGATGACCAGGGTCAGATCCTGTTCTCTATTTGGGTCAGCTTCGCAGAGATCTACAATGAACAGATCTTTGATCTACTTGTGCCAATCTCCAAGAAGAAAAACGCCAGGAGACCAGTGCTTCGACTGAGTGACGACAGAAATGGGAGTCCTTATATCAAAGGTAAAAAAAATATATCAATCTGAAAGTATATGTAACTTATGGCTTTTTTTGTTGTGTGTAGTCAGAGGTAGAAGCTCCATAATATCATAACTTGCAAATAATTGCGAGTACTGAAAAAATGAACTCACAAGTTCAAAAGACAACTTGCAATTTTTAAAATGAAAGCTTTTCAAAAATAAACAGCCATCTACCCATCTTTTAAAACCTTTGTAATTTTCAACTTGATCATCAAATGGCAAATGCTCACTCATTTAAAAATGGCAGATATAAACACTAACTAAAGAGAGAAAGACTGAAACCATGTTGAAGCGAATGTTTCTTTCATGGGTGAAAATTACAATGGAAAAAAATAAACTCGCAAATTATTACCTTTCTTTCTTTGAACAAAAGAGGAAAACTTAGTTTTAAGAAAAGGAATTGTATTGTCCAATTGTTTCTATGATTGTTTTTTAATTGAATATACTGTATGTTGTCTTGCTTTATTTTAGGTTTAAAGGAGATATGTGTAAATAATGCGGATGAAGCATACAAACTGTTAACCATTGGTAAGAGGAATCTACAGACTGCTTGTACAAAACTGAATCACCAGTCTTCCAGAAGGTTAGTACGTCAACAGACATTTTTTTGAAAGTTCTTTGTGAAAATATGAAGAAACAATCAGTATATGTACCTTAAGCCTATCTTTGATTTTTATGCCCCCCCCCCCCCCCCCCCTTCGAAGAAGGGAGGGCATATTGCTTTGCTGCTGTCTGTCGGTCGGTCTGTCAGTCCACTTAGTTTCCGTTCATTTTCTTCACAACCGTTGCACATACTGAAATGAAATTTGGTATACAGATTTATCATATACATGTACTTAGTAATAAATACACCGATTCTGCACGGTGTGATATGGATGACGTCACAATACCCCATATCACGGACCAGTTCCATATCACGTATCGGATGGCGGGCCGAAAATCCATATCAAACCGGAAGTAACATTTGTATAACATTTAAAAGTCAATTTACTTGATTTTATTCTAATATTCATAATAAATCTTTCTTTAATGATAGGGCTGTCACGGGTACCCGAAATGACCCGGAACCGCGGAACAATTCATTCGGTTCGGGTACGGCTAATCCGGAAGGATGGCCGATTTGTACAGTAGTGTATGTTTTACTATAAAAATGGCGTCAAAAACGAGAGATTTGTTAATACATTGCCATTATAAGGTGATCTAAATAATATGGTACAATTGTTGTCTAGTCAGGAAGCTACTTTAAACTAGTTAAAATGTTGCTATTTCGAAGATTATATGAAAATATTCTTTTTGTTGTTGAAAATAATACAAATCATGAGCTTTTATTCCATTAACTACCCGAACCGAAATACCCGAAACCGAACCAAAAAAAATCAGAACCGACCCGAAAAATTTTGGAACTGTGACAGCCCTATTTAATGACATTTATGGTCTTATTTTTTTTCAGTTACCTAAAATAGGCTTTATTAGATTTTAAAGAGAAATGTCACAAACAAGCACGAAATATTCATCAATGACCATATGTGAACTTGCATATTAAGTGTTTTAAATATATGATAAATAGAATACTACATACTAAAATCCATATCATATGTCACATCAGACCTTGACCCCCATATCAGCCCTCGGGCCTCCGGCCCTCAGGCTGATATGGGGCCACTCGGGCTGATATGACATATGATACGGATTTTAGTATGTAATATTCTCTATATATCACATGAATATCTAGGTCAAGTTCTGTTTTGGGTACGATTGCGCCATTTTTGACAGAGTTATGCCCCTTGGACTTAGAAAAATTCCAATTATTTGCAGTTTCCGTTCATTTTCTTTACAACCGTTGCACATTCTTAGATGAAATTTAGTATACAGATATATCACATGAATATCTAGCTCAAGTTCTGTTTTAGGTATGATTGCACCATTTTTGACAGAGATATGCCCCTTGGACTAAGAAAAATTCCAATTATTTGCAGTTTCCGTTCATTTTCTTCACGACTGTTGCACATATTGAGATGAAATTTAGTATACAGATATATCACATGAATATCTAGGTCAAGTTCTGTTTTGGGTACAATCGCACCATTTTTCACAGAGTTATGCCCCTTAGACTTAGAAAAATTTCAATTATTTGCAGTTTCCGTTCATTTTCTTTGCAACTGTTGCACATACTGAAATGAAATTTTGTATACAGATATATCACATTAATATCTAGTCTGTTTTAGGTATGATTGCACCATTTTTGACAGAGATATGCCCCTTGGACTTAGAAAAATTCCAATTATTTGCAGTTTCCGTTCATTTTCTTCACAACCGTTGCACATGCTGAGATGAAATTTAGTATACAGATTTATCACATGAATATCTATGTCAAATTCTGTTTTGGGTTCAATCGTGCCATTTTTGACAGAGTTTTGCCCCTTGGACTTGGAAAAATTCCAATTTGGGGGGAGGGGGGCATAAGTGTTTTACAAACAGCTCTTGTACTAAAAAGAACTTGCAACAGTTAAACAATTTTAAAAAAATACCTTAAATGGACACATTTTTTACATGTATGCGAAAAGTTTTAATAAAAATAAATTATACTTTTGTGTTTTTTACAGTCACTGTATATTTAACATCAAGATAATTCGAGTGGTGGACAAGGCTAATCCAAGGATGGCCAGAGTCAGCATGTAAGTTATTGCTGAAGGACATTTTAATGATTGGCATGTTTTATAACACTATCACTTTATGGGAATAGTATATACCTGAAATAGTGTAAGATTTTCTTTTCTATTTAGGCTAAGTCTATGTGATTTGGCGGGCTCAGAGAGATCAGCCAAAACACAGAGTGTAGGAGACCGACTGAAGGAGGCGGGAAACATCAACACATCTCTAATGACCCTGGGGCGCTGCATTGAAATGCTCAGATACAATCAGAGCCACAAGTAAGTGAAACTGGAGAGTTGCTGTACATATTGAAAGAGTATCAATGCCTAGTGCACAGTGAGAATGTTGTATTTTATTGCAAATATACTGTAGACAGTCAGGGGCATGATGAAATCAAGTTATTTTCTAAAATAACTTGTTTATGTTACTTCATCTATTAATTACTAAACAAAAAAGTAACTCATCTGAGTTAATGCTTAAAAAGAACACCTATTAGTTTTGCAAAAAACATTAATATTTTGAGTTTGCTGCTGATTTAAGATGATTTAAGGCTAAGAAAATTGTAGATGTACATGTATGTACTTCTTTTAATAGACTCAACAATCTTAATATCTTCTGAGCAGATATGATGATATTAAGAAAATAACATGATAGTTTTCAAGGAAAAATAATTCCATTTCATTAACTTTTCAGAGGTCAATTACACATCTTAACCAATTTTGCCAGCATTGAGATAATTTTCCTATAATCTTTGGATATTACTGTACAATCTCTATGTCTTACATTTTTTGTGCAAGGCTGTAGATTTTTTGCAAGAGTTTTAAAGTGAAGTGGGTTAAGGATGAAATAATTGAAATAAGTTATAATTTGTTGGATTTCAGTGTGTTAAATGTTAAAGATAGATTACATTTACTGTCAGGAACCATCTACCAGTACTTAATAACCCAAGCACAGCATGACTAAGTCCTTTCAGATGCCAGTAGGTTTACAATAATGAGTAGTAAAGTATCAAGAACAGGAATAAGTTACTGAAGAAAAGCATAATCAGGGGAAGATAACCCAAAATGTTGACATTTAATAACTGAAACAAATTATTTAAAAAATAACTTGTTTCCATGATGCCATTGACTGGTGGAAGTACTTTTTTCCGTGTGGTATTTATTTACGCTATGTATGCGGTCACAAATTTTCCACGGAAATTTGTTCAACCGTACTTAATATACATGTAAATGTATGGCATATAGTGACAATCTAGAAAATCTGCGTAATTTTCTTTCCGCAGATTAAACAGAAATTGAAATTCCGCAGAATTTCAACCCCCTGGAAAAAAGTATGTCTACTGTACAGTATTTATATAGATGATTTGTGACTTTTTTGTAGGGATCATCCAAAGATAATCCCCTTCCGAGATAGCAAACTGACCCGCTTATTTCAGAATTTCTTCTGTGGACAAGGTCGTGTCAACATGATCGTCAATGTGAACCAGTGTGCCAGCATGTTTGATGAGACGCAGCATGTCTTCAAGTTCTCAGCTATTGCTAAACAGGTGAAAAAGAAAGGAGGAAATTCAAAGAGATGTTAAATAGGTTAGATAGTACCACTGTATTTATTGAAATATTTCACTTCCTTTACAGGTGGTTATTACACAAAAACCAGATCTGAAAACCAGACTGCTTCAGTCTGCCAAAAAGACAGCTGACCTGAAGAAGAGAGCTGTCTCCATCAGCTGGGCCACTCCAGGTGAGATAGGTCTTCTGATGCTATGTTTGCATTGCTTGAACAATGGACATAATCACATAACGTTGTTGTCCAAAATACATGTACATACATGTACATGTAATTGTTATTGTAAGTAAATGTAAATTTCATGCATTTTGCAATTTTTGTTACATGTATTAATTTATTACAATACTTTACAGGTCAGCTGAGGGAACTGAATAGTGCTGCTGACCACAATTGATTTGACCTGGAGGAAGAAAAAAGGTAGGTCAAAAGTCAAAGGTCAGAGATTAAACATAACCAACTAAAAAGAGCTGAGATATCCCTAAATGAATATTATTGGGTCACACATTGAAGCTGTATAAACTGGATTGTTCAGGTCACATGATGAATTCATCCTTGCTCACAGATCTGTAGTGTTTAACTGCAGGGTGTAGAAATCACTGCCACCCTGGAAGTGGATTGTGTTTCTGCCTCTGGGGCTGATGACCTGTACATGTGTTTTTGAAGAGAGTTCTACATAAAATTGTAAAATTTTTGTACTGAAAGTAATAAAATTGTACAAAGATACCTGTAAAGTATCAAAAACTTTATTATGGTGTTTCATTTGGCAGGAGCTTTTAGAGACGATAAAAGAGCTCCAGTCCAAATTAATAAAAGAGAGGCGAGAGAAGCTGCAGTTAGAGTTGAAGATTCGTGACGAGGTGTGCAGCGAGATGATGAAGCAGTTAGTGGAGATTGAAGATGAGTGCAGGTTTGTGTTAGGACTAAAGTCTCAGACATTAGATTAGGGATCTGAAAGAATATAAACAAACATGTATATTTGATTAACACATGTACATGTTATTCACTGTGCCATATGTTTAGCAAAATTCTAAACTGAGTAAGTATCTGGTTTAGGACTGCTTAGACTCATTATTATTTGTTCCTAACTCCTTTGTACTCAGACAAGAATATGTGATGACTATAATAAAGGTTTACCTATAATTTTACACATCCTTTTGATTTGACAGTGAGCGTATCAGAATTAATGAAGAGGCCACAGAAGAAATGTATGAGAAAAGAATTCAAATTCTGATGGATGCTTATGAAAATCAAGGAAAGAAACAGAGTGACTTCATGACAGACAAGGATGATGAATGGGTCTCCAGCATTCTCTTCTACCAAGAGCAAATGAAGAATAAGGTGAATTTTCAAAGTCATTTTTATTGTACTTATATACATCAAAAGTTGGGATGTCAACGAATAGTCGACTATTCGACTATCAGTTGAATAGACCAACGATCGAATAATGAAATGACATTCGAATATTAAATAAATGCAAGAAAAGGAGCTGATAATGAAATTCTCATCTCAAAATTAAAAAAGTGTCCTTCCTCAAACTATATAGTGAAAATCCTCAGACGAATAAGAGCTCAAAAACAGTCACAGCATATGAATAATTTTCCACATTGTACATACATGTATTTAGAGGAGAGTAATTACATACCATGATAATTATTTCCAAATCACTGGCCTTTTTGTTATTGTTGTAAATTACGAAATGCTATACTGGACTTTGAAAATTATTTAATTGACTTTTACCAAATATATTTATAACCTAGCGCTACGGATTTCAAATGCTAGGAACACACAAAATATGCATAGCTGTGAAGTTTTTAAACATCGGTAATTATTAATACATGTACAATAATCTTACATAAAAGACATTTTGATAGCTGGGGCAATCATTATTTGAACAAACAGTATTTTTAACAATATCACTGGAGGTGTGGATGGTGTATGTTTCCAATTCCCATTTTCCAATTTAATTAATAAGCTTTCAAAAACACTGTGCTATAAAAAATGCTCCGAATAGTCGACTATCGTTCGAATAATGTAATCGAATGTTCGACTAAGAAAATTAAATATTTTGACAACCCTAATCAAAAGGATTTTTTGGCTTTAATAGAGGACTTGTTTCAAAAGTACCATTTTGTTATCCATTTAGAAAGCCTAAAATAAAATACTGTATGTTTGCAGTTGCCTACCAACCAACTTATTTACATTAAGCAACCCTATGAAAATCTCTGATTTGTTCTCCAACAAAAACCTGAAAACTACAATTAAAAAAAAATCTACCTACCTATCCGTTCTTAAAGGTCAAACAATTTTTTAAGCTTGATCCAAGTATTGCACTGTTTACATGGCAAAAATATTTTTAGGAAAAAGATGCAGAGATAGAAAGGCTGAGGAAAGAGTTAAATGAGGCCAAATTAAAAAAGGTAAAGTAAAAAATTCCAATAACAAACGACACTTTTTCCATTATATCTAAAATCAATTCATTAAATTTATACTTTTTGCTGGTATTGTATAATGATATACATGTATTACTTAGGGCTATTTCAATGGAACATATCCATGCTAACCAAAGATTCCTTGATATTTGTTAAGGGGCAGTCTTAATTTGCTTAGTTTCAGTCCCCATCCTGATCTTTAAGAAAGTGTTATAACCTGTGATATTCAGAAAAGGGGGGTGATTAGAACAATAAAAATTTATGTTTCAATATTTATTTAACATAAAATAATATTCTAACACTAAGCATGCTAAATTGATTTCCCTTTGATTAGGTTCTGATCAGTGGACAGTCTTCCACCCAGGGGTCAGCTGACATGGGGGACTCGGTTCTCCTAGAGACCCTGACCAATCAGCTGGAGGAAGTCAAAACCACCCTCAAAGAAAAGGTTTATAAGCTGCAATTATAATCAAGCTGTTTGATGCAAATATATAATGAGACCAATGATAGACAGAAAACAGGTTAAGAACCATTTATATCTTTTTACAGGATGATGAAATAAAGGAGCTGAATGAGATGTTAACAGAGGCAGGGGAGACATTCCAGGCAAAAGAAAAGGAGATTCAGGATCTGAAAGTCTTATTGGAGGAGGACAAGGCTGATAAAGCAGAACAGGTGGGACTGTGATGTAGAGAATATTGTCTTTCTGTGAATTGTTTTCAAATTGCTGTGAGATTTCTATTCTGTAATTTTTTTTTTTCACTTTGAAGGTGGCAGAACTTGAAAAGGCCCTGATCGAAAGCAAGAAAGCCTTGGAGATGGCCGATCAGAAGATAAAAAGCCGTGATGAGACGGTGGAGACAACCAGGAAGACTTTACAAGGTACTAGGAGGTTATCCTCAGTGAATAACAAGCCTATCAGTGCTCCTCCTCCTAGCTCAGGGGTGGTCAAGTTTCCTTTTGACAGTCCCAAGAGGGGGTTTAGTTTACTGAGGCCAGGAAGTACTAGTCAAGTCGCACCAGGTCACAATCAAGTCCTGAAGGTCGTGCTAACTCCTGTTCAGAACAAATTCCCCATAAAGCAGACAAAAACTAGTCTACTAAGACTTCAGAACTCTCCTGCCAAAGACCCAACAAGGGGCAGGGAGTGTCTTAGAAATAAGGAAAATGCTGCTTTGTTGAAAAAGCGACAGGCGGTAGAGGAGGAAACCAATGTTTCTCAGAATAAGAGGCGGAGAGTGTCCGATAAAGACAAGGTCCCAACTTCTAGGTCACAAAAAAGAAAGTCTGCCACTAAGGGCAAAAGGAAGTCGTTAGCAAAGTACAATTTACGGATTAGAAAGTAAACTCCTTCTTCAGAGAATTATCATAACTGTGTGCCATTTTATCATGGAATTTAATGCATGCTATCTGTATTACTTGATAGTTTTAGAATATCCAGTTTTTTTACCATTACTGCATGTCTTTCAAACTAATTGAAAGAGAAAGTGGAGTGTGATGAATGTCTATGGAAAATTTTTATTGTGAATTTCTGTATACCATTATCTTATTTAAAAAAAAGGCAATTTTGCTTTTGCAGTGTTGGGCTGTCATTGATGAGAATTTGTGTCTTAGTATACAGTTAAAACCTTGGTTTTAAAGAACTCCTTTATAAGGAAATTTCTGTTGTAAGGGAACATAAATTCTATAGAAAACTTTTCATTAATACAAATATTGAGGATAAAAGATCAATATATTGAAGCTTTTAGTGTCTGACATTTCAAAGTCGTACAATTCCCCCTCAAAATCTTCTGTCGCAGCTTGCACCTGCTGGAAATTTTATAAGTATTAAAATTAACAATTTGTAGGAATAGAAAATAGTTATTATTTTCAAAAGTTCTACACAATTTTTTATACCCCCCGCAAACGAAGTTTGGGGGGTATATAGGAATCACCTTGTCTGTCTGTGCAAACGTGTCCGGTCCATATCTTTCTTATGGAGGGACATTAGAATCTACTACTCCACACAAAGATTGCCCATGACCTAAGGGTGTGTCATGACCTTGACCCAAGGTCATTTGGGGAAGTTCAAGGTCACTGGAAGAAAAAGTTCATAATTCGTGTCCGGTCCATATCTTTCTTATGGATAAACTTGATAGGTTTTCATTTCACACAAAGATTGCCCATGACCCAAGGGTGTGTCATGACCTTGACCCAAGGTCATTTGGGGAAGTTCAAGGTCACTGGAAGAAAAAGTTCATAATTCGTGTCCGGTCCATATCTTTCTTATGGATAAACTTGGTAGGTTCTCATTTCACACAAAGATTGCCCATGACCCAAGGGTATGTCATGACCTTGACCCAAGGTCATTTGGGGAATTTCAAGGTCACTGGAAGAAAAAGTTCATAATTCGTGTCCGGTCCATATCTTTTTTATGGATAAACTTGGTAGGTTCTCATTTCACACAAAGATTGCCCATGACCCAAGGGTGTGTCATGACCTTGACCCAAGGTCATTTTGGGAAGTTCAAGGTCACTGGAAGAAAAAGTTCATAATTCGTGTCCTGTCAATATCTTTCTTATGGATAATCTTGGTAGGTTCTCATTTCACACAAAGATTGCCCATGACCCAAGGGTGTGTCATGACCTTGACCCAAGGTCATTTGGGGAAGTTCAAGGTCACTGGAAGAAAAAGTTCATAATTCTTTCCGGTCCATATATTTTTTATGGATAAACTTGGTAGGTTCTCATTTCACACAAAGATTGCCCATGACCCAAGGGTATGTCTTGACCTTGACCCAAGGTCATTTTGGGAATTTCAAGGTCACTGGAAGAAAAATTTCATAATTCATGTGTGATACATATCTTTATTATGGAAAAAGTTACTTCTGAAAAAAAACAGCGGGGGGTATTTTGTCCCGTTTGGACAGTTCTAGTTTTTTTTGTACCTGGTCATCAATATTGTACTGCAACTTTCTGAAATTCTGTGCTATTAGATACAGGTATATTACGGTAATTTTATATTCATCATTGACAGCCCAATTTACATGCAGGCACATGTAGCATTTATATTGAAAGTTTGAATACTTATTTGAGTAAATAAATTTATTTATGCATTAGATTCTAATCATCTGCTGAACAGAAGTTCATCACAAAATAAGTTGTAATCACCACATTCGTATCAGTAAAAGATTTTTACACACAAAATCATTTTATTAATTTGTTTTTATCAATCGTGTGTGAGAATGTTTCAATATTTATGTTGTCACTGGTTAGCCTTCTGCAGGGACATTAAGGCAAAGTGATGTTTTCTTTGTGATATGACAATTATCATACATAAATTGTACAAAGTATGTTTTGTAAAAGTAAATAACTTGATTAAAATACTGAACATTGATTCTGTTTATTTTTCTTTTGAAAATGACAAGAATCAAACTCCTACAGCAGGCTAGCATATGGTGACAGATTTTTATTTTAAGTATATTATGTAAATTCCTGTAATTACACCTGTTTAATTCTCTTTACAGGTGAGTTTGTGTCACAGTATGTGAAGCCTGCAGCAGGGTTTGTCTCTTATCATTTTTTTGAGGCTGGAGAAAGGTACAAGTATTGATTATAGAATCATCTAAATACATGTATATGACAGAAAAGGAAAAAAAATTATGAAAGTTATGGGAGGCTTAAGAAATTTCTGTTCATGAAAGTCTCAGTCATTTTATTCTCTGACATACAAGCACTGTCCAGTGATGTGGAGAAGATCTGTTTGGATGGCAGTTGAAAACAAATGTTCCTGGAAATTTTGTTTACTTTAAATCATTGTTTATTTGCAAGAACATTTTTTTTTACATAATTACACCAAACTGCCTGCTTGCAAAAATGTATTCTTGCCTATAATTTTACTTTCAAAGACTACACAATGCAGGGGTCTGTTTTACAAAAAGAACTTCGAAATGAGATAAATAACCAGTTAATAGTAAAATTATTGTAAAATTTTGCAAAATTAAATATTTTTTATTGCTTTCACTATTTTTGCAAAATTCAAGATTCTTTTTTGCTAGCACAAAAAAATCTTTCTACATGCCTTCTATAAAAAAAAAAGATTAAAAAAATTTTCAATTTAATTGGAGGTAGAAAGGTATAAGAATTTACTGATTTTGGCCTAAGATGTAAATTCTTTTGTAAAAAAACAAACCCTGGTAACTAAAATTCTTGAAAAATTTTGTTTTGCTTATAAATACCAAACGACAATCTCGCAATGATGAGTACTTATAAAGAATTTAGTTAGCTACAGTAAATACAGCTTAGAAGGTCACTTTTAAAACATGAGAGGTGAAGTAAAGAAGGACACTGATGCCAAGGTCAAATCAAAGGCCTTGATTGAATTTGTGGCAGATTTTCGTACAAGTATGTATTTTTATGATGAAACCAAAGGTTCAAACCAAGTCTATGTCAGGAAGGATTGTCTATCAATACATGTGATACACCAAATGAACAAGTTGGTAAAAGCAAATACATGTATAAAATGCTAAAGTACTATGTCAACATAGCAATTGTAAAGTGATTTGGGTTGAAATTAACAAAATTGCATTCTAGATACATGTAATTGTATGGTTTAAAGTTTTTGAAGCAATTACTTTCCTCAATTACTGTAAGCCTTAATATCATTGAACTTGAATTGAAGATAAATCTAGGAGACTCACTTTTAGGCTGCATGTGACCTCCATTTCACATGAGTGATGTTGAGTCAGATTTATTTAAAAGTAACTTTAAACCTTCTTAAACCAACTTGAATATAGGGATGTGCACTATCAGACATGCTTTGGATGTAGCAGCTGACTGCCTGGGTGGTCCAACATAATCAAATTCATTACAATAGAAGTTTTGGATCAAGTCCATTCCCAAGGACTTTGACTCACATGCAGTCCAAACTTGCATGAATATTCATCCAGACATACACACTTAAAGAACATTCATTTGATCTGAGACTTTTCCTTAATTTAAAGATTACTTTAATCGAGGTGTTCTTAGTAATGTTTTATCACCTACTAAGGAATCATTTAAATTCATGGGGGCCAATTTTCATGGATTGCTTAAATTCTACAGTTTGTTGGGAGATGATTTTGTGTGTTCTCTGTTAACTACAAAAGGAAATATGATGTACTCCTAGTTCATTCATTCGTGGAATATGTACATTGTTAAATAAGAGGTAAAATTCGTGAAAATTGAGCCACCACCGCATTTAATGATTCCACTGTATGTTTAAGAAAATTGAAAAATGAGAGTGTGATGTTAAATCCTATTTAAAGGTAACTTTCAATGTTTTGTGTGTCGCATGGTGCAGTGGTTAGAGCGTCTGCTCTAGAGTCACAAAGTAAGGAGTCAATCCTAATGTTGCGGGTTCGAATCCCACTGTGGGACATGAAAACAAGTCTTGCGGATGAGACTGTATAAACCGAGGTCCTGTGTCACAGTAGATGTTGGCACGAAAAAGATCCCTCACTGCTAAATGGCCCTGAGTGCCGAGTATAGGACAAAATTTTGTAGCTCTCCACCGGCAAGTGGTGGCATCTCCATACGAGTGAAAAATTCTCAAGAGGGACGTTAAACAACATACAATCAATCCATGTTTTGTGGATTAATTAAAGTTCAAATTACATGTATATACTTAGGGATTAGATTACGGCTAAAATATTTTCAAGATAAAAATTTGACACAAAACATATGCATAGGAATAGTCTCCTCAAGAACAACAAAGCAATGTTACTCAACCATGTGTTATTTCAGACTTCAACACTAGCACTAGTCTTGTAGCCCTTGGCACATAAGTTTTGTTTCTATTGCATTACTTATGTTATCACCAGATGAAGTTGACAACCTGAAAACCTCCCTCGACTCATGGAAGATGAAATATGAGAAGGAAGAAGAGGAGAGTTTAAAGCGAGAGCAGGCGCTAATTAATGGCTACAAAGCAGAGATAGCCAACTTAAAGCATCAGGTAGGTTAACAGGGGACTTACAGCCCTAATTAATGGCTACAAGGCAGAGATAGCCAACTTAAAGCATCAGGTAGGTTAAAGAGGGGCTTACAGCTCTGATTAATGGCTACAAGGCAGAGATAGCCAACTTAAAGAATCAGGTAGGTTGACAGGGACTTACAGCCCTAATTAATGGCTACAAGGCAGAGATAGCCAACTTAAAGAATCAGGTATGTTAACAATGGACTTATAGCCCTGATTAATGGCTACAAGGCAGAGATAGCCAACTTAAAGAATAAGGTAGGTTAACAGGGGACTTATAGCCCTAATTAATGGCTACAAGGCAGAGATAGCCAACTTAAAGAATCAGGTAGGTTAAAGGGGGAAGTCCAGCCCTAATTAATGGCTACAAGGCAGAGATAGCTAGCTTAAAGAATCAGGTAGGTTAACAGGGACTTACAGCCCTAACTAAAGGCTACAAAGCAGAGATAGCCAACTTAAAGAATCAGGTAGGTTAATGTGGGAATTACAGCTCTAATTAATGGCTACAAGGCAGAGATAGCCAATTTAAAGAATCAGGTAGGTTAACAGGGACTTACAGCCCTAATTAATGGCTACAAGGCAGAGATAGCTAACTTAAAGAAACAGGTAGGTTAATGCGGGAATTACAGCCCTAATTAATGGCTACAAGGCAGAGATAGCTAACTTAAAGAATCAGGTAGGTTAATGCGGGAATTGCAGTCCTGATTAAGGGCTACAAGGCAGAAATAGCTAACTTAAAGAATAAGGTAGGTTAACAGGGGACTTATGGTCCTGATTAATGACTACAAGGCAGAGATAGCCAACTGAAAGAATCAGATAGGTTAACGGGGACTTACAGCCCTAAATAATGGCTACAAGGCAGAGATAGCCAACTTAAAGAATCAGGTAAGTTAACAGGGACTTACAGCCCTGATTAATGGCTACAAGGCAGAGATAGCCAACTTCAAGATTCAGGTAGGTTAATGGGGGAATTACAGCCTTGAATAATGGCTCAACACAGAGATGGCCAACTTCAAAAATCAGGTAGGTTAACATGGGACTTGCAGCCCTGATTAATGGCTACAAGGCAAAGATACTGTATACAGGTATATTTTCACCCTGTATTATTTTCGCCCTTTTCCACTTGCGAACAATTTTGCCCCGTTTTAAATTCGCCCAGTCATCTGTTTAAGAAAATATGCTGTGTTCTTTGAATTCGCCCACATTTTTACAGTAGCCAACTTCAAGAATCAGGTAATGTGCCCTGAATACTAGAAATATTATTAATCTGAAGAGCCATGCAGGGTTTATATACAAATTTTTCATGTGGAATAAATATTTTATTTGTAATTGATTGCTTTATGTACATAATTAGATAAGCAGTTGAAGTAATTTGGACAGTAACTTCTTGAAAGTGTTAATTATGGTAACATTTTTCTTTCTCTATTGTAGTTGTCGTTGGTGAAGGCAGAGCAGCGACACAACAGCCCCTGTAAGTCTCCAGCCAAACACAAGAAGCACCAGGATCATTTCATGGAGGACTTGTCAAAACAACTGAAAGATCTGCAGGAAGAGTTCGACAAAAACTCTGCAGCAACGCTGGAATTAGAGGAGGCTCTCCACAGGACAAAACAGACAAACGAAGAGCTGGAAGTGAGACTCTCCAAGCAGTCTGAGGAGAACGAAACGGCTCAAGTCAAGATTGAGGAACTAGGTAGAAAATGTGAAGAACTAGAATCTAGAGTTCAAAATCTACAAAGTGAAAAGGAAGAGGCTGTTAAACAAGTGGAAGAGATGAAAGAGAATAAAGAAAAGCCCACAGCTTTAGAGGAAGATATTGAAAACTTGAAATCAAAATTAGCTGAAAAAGATGTGGAGATTGCAGAATTGAAGGAGCAGGCAAATAAGCTGAATGTTTCAATGGGAAATAACTTGCAATTTCAGCTTGATGAGGCAAACATAGAGATTTCACAACTTCAGAGTAATCAGGCGAAACTAGAACGCAAAGCAGTGAATCTAGAAAAACTTTATAAAGAGAAAACCAAGCAAAATATGGAACTGAATGATGAATTAAACAAAGTGAAAGTAGCAAAGGAAATGCTAGAGGAAGACTTACAGGATCAGGAGGAAACAGAGGAAAAAATGGCGGAAATGTCAAAGGAAAATGAGGAACTGAAGCGAAAAGTGGAGGAAATGGAAACAGAGTTAAAACAGCAGGAGGGTAACTCTGAGGAAAGGTTTGTCATCATTCAAAAGGAGAATACTGACTTAAAGGAGAAAGTAGAAAAACTGAAGGAAGATGTTACGAAAGAGGAACATGTCAGCACTGCAATGAAATCTGAACTTGAAACTGCAACAACTAGACTCAAAAGCCTAGAGAAAACCTGTGAGACACTGGAAAAGAAGGAGAAGATGATAAAAGATTTGGAGGATAAAGAAGAAAAAAGTGAGAAGATTATAAAGGATTTGGAAGATAAAGTTGCCAATTGTCCACAGTGTCAGGAATGGCAGAAAAAGTATGAAGAGCTTGAACAAACTTTAGAGAATGTTAAAGGGGAGGTAAACAAGTTAAGGGAAGAACTATCTACACTGAGAAGTGACCTGAAAGCTAAAAACATGGAAGTTACTGACTTAGAAGAAAAGTTTGAAAATGTCAAGTGTGAGTTGGCCAAGAGAGAACAGACATTTGTAGAAACCTTAGAAAAACTTGAACAGACAAAAGATCAGTATGATGCATTTAAACAGGAAATGGAGATTCTGAAGGAAAACTTAGAGGAAAAGGAAGGAGAACTGGAGAGATTACAGACAGCTCAGGCAGACATGATGGAACAGCTGAACACTACAAACGGCCAGGTGCACGAACTGAGTGACACTAAATTAAAATTCGCAGAAATGAAGTCCTCTCTTCACATGCAGAAAACATTGTATGAAAAGACCAAAGCTGAACTAGTGGGTCTAAAGGAGGAAAAACATGAGTGGATTTCAAACGAGGAAAAGCTGAAGGAACAGATAAAGAGTTTGGAAGAGAGGACACATTGTATGGAAAGAGATGGGAAAGAGCTTTCAGATTTAAAGGCTGAATTGGCGGAGACAAAAAAGAACTGTAGTGAATCAGAAGAAAAGTGGAAAATCCTTCAGGCAGAGAAAACAGATATTGAAAATAAATATAAAGAAATGGAAAACAAACTCTCCAAAGTGTCCTTTGAAAAAGAGAACAAGGATGCAGGATATGTGGAGAAAGTATCAAAACTGGAAACGAAGCTAGAGACCGCTGAAAAGAGGTGTGAAGAACTTAAAAACATTCAGAGTTCAATACAGGATGAGAAAAGTGATCTGTCAAAAAAATTGGAAAATCTCTCACAGGAACTGACAAAAAAGAATGATGTAATAGAAAGTAAAGAGAAAATTTTAACGGATTTGCAAGGAAGGCTGAAAGAGGCAGAAAACAGTGTAGAGAGGCAGAATTCTATTACATCAGAACTAAGTGAAATGAAGGCAAAATGCCAAGAATTAGAACAAATCAAAATTGACCTTGAAAATAAAGTTAGCGAGGCTAGTCAAGCTTCAGATCAGAAAAATGATGTCCACAACAGGAAGCTTATACAGGAGCTATCAGACTGCCACAGAAAAATTGATGAGCTGCAGGGAGTAAAAGAAAGATTGGAGGAAAAAGTGGAAAACTTAAAATCAGAGATATCGTCAACCAAGGACACTAAGGAGGATTCCTGTAATATTTGTCCAACAATCCACAAAGAGTTGGACTCGGTAATTGTAATTTTTGCTTCATAGATGTGGCATTGAAGAATGGAAAGTGAAATAGAGATGTTAAAATACCATTTTTGGATAGATCTAGAATTTTCAGAAAATTTGAGATAATGAGAATTTATTTTTGCTTACAGAGTCATGAAAGGGAACAGACATTGAAGAAGCAGCTTCAGACTGCCGGGGAAAACATCGGGGAGCTGAACAACAAAATCTGTGACCTAGAGGATCAGGTGTCAAAACTAAACCAGAAAATCCAGGAAGCAGAGAGCAAAACTGTACACCAGGTAGGACTACTCTTCATTTTCCGTATCTTTTATGGGGAAGAGATTTATTTTAATACATGTAATTCAGCATCATCATAAAAAAAAAATAAAATACATGTATATATGAGCCTCCAACTAGCAACTTTATCATATATATTGACAGATTGAAAAGACATGGTTAAAACTAGTCAGTTTCTCAACTTTCTATATCTGAATAACTGAATGCATTGATTTCCAGGTCCCAGGATCATGAAACAGACTTAGACTTAAGTCAAATTTTTAATCACCTGTAAAATGTTTATTAATTATTGAATGAATCTCTAATTTTGCAGATAACAACACTTTTATGAAGCTATATTAAAAAATATCTAATTTTTGATTGCATTTAAAACAGTCAACTTTTAATCCTTTGGTCTATAGCAATTAAATTTTTATCCTTTTGTCTATAACTAGAAATTTATCATTTTTAACCAATCAAATACTTCTTTAGGAGCCCAGATTGAGCATGCCTGGCAGTTCGGTTGACCTTGACAGTCTTCGAGACGAGCTGACCCAGAAGTTGGACGTGATACGAGAATTACAGGGAGAGTTAGTGAGGAAGGACAGCAAACTACAGACAGAGAAGATGAAGTACAAACAGTTAGTGGAGGAGCGGACTGACGAACACAGGCGATATGAGGCAGCCATGAAAGGTAATATTAGTTACATAGTCTTTTAGTGACAGGGTATGGGATGATACCTGGTTAGTAAATTTCATACCTGGCGATACCTAACAAGGTATCATTCCATACCCTGTCACTCAAAGACTATGTAACGAATTTACCCCACCGATGAAACATTTACGTTTTATCTGTAGTTTATAAATGGTTTTCTCTGCTAAATGCTTCATCGCGCTTATACTGTGCCTATTATGACGTCACGTTTGTGTTTGTGACGTAATACATCGAACGGGTATAGATTTTACTGACCGGGTATGGATTTACAACTGACCGGGTATAAGTAATCCACCGCCTTCACGTGACAAACTTCAACCAATCGTAAGCCAGGATTTCACGGAAAAATCGACAGAGGTGGGGTAACTGTCAGTGCTAATGCTCTGTGTACTGGTACTTACAGGAGCTTAATGAACATATTTTCTTTACAATAATCAATTCTATGTAGATGCGACAGCTAATGAGGAATGTATCGCTGTGTTGAAGACAGCCCTGGCAGAACAAGAGGAAACCATGGAACACCAGGACACACTGATACAGCAACATGAGAAAAACATCGAAAAATCACAAAAAGGTACAAAAACTATATTTTACCTTTCAAACTATTTTATGCGTACTGGTACATGAACTTGAAAATTTAAAAATGTTAACAATGGTAATATTTTTTTAAAAGCGCTAAATTAAATAAAAAATTTTTGCTTGGTCTAAAATGTATATAAGAATATTATGTTAGAATGACATGCTGAAAAGCTACTGTTTGTCAGATTTTATAATCTTTTCCTTATTAATATATTTTATAATGAAAGAATCCTTTAATGTCTGGAAAAAATCCCTTGAGTGATGAGATTTCTAAGTATAGCTAATGTAATCTTTTTTTAGAGAAAAGGAAAATAAATGAATACATTTGCATGCATACATACATGTATGTCAATTCTTTTTACAGAATGTGAGAAATACATGAACATGTACCAGTCTCTTTTGTCTACCACCAGTACAAGCAGTGTGGAGATCCGGGACCTCAGTAAGAAAGTTTGTGACCTCTCCGTGGAAATCGAACGTGTGAGAAGTGAGAAAAAAGACCTTGAGAATAAAATCTCATCACTGAAGAAACAAGAGGCCGAACACCAGCAGCTGGCCCAGGAAAACTTATCACTGAGAGAAACCAAGAGTGCTGTGAAGGATTTGAGGGACAAGTTGTCTCAAGTTAGGGGAGAGAAGGAAAGTCTTCAGACCACACTGAAGGGTGTGACGACTCAGGTGGAGAGTCTACAGCAGGAGAAGAGAGTGCTGGAGGAAAAGCTTGGGAGAACAGAAGAAAGAGATTCCTGGAGTGACAAGAAGGTGGAGGATTTGACGGCTAAGTTATCTGATGTTGAGGTTAGGTACAACAAGAGAGAGAGCGAGTTCAAGGCACTGAGGGAACAGAAAGGAAAACTGGAGGCCATCTTGAAAGAGAACAATGCAGAGATAAAGGATTTAGAAAAATCACTATCTGGTAAACAAGTACTTTATTCACGAAACCAGCATCTACATGTATTATAATTCTTTGCATTTATATTTCACCAGTTCTAAAAACAATGTGCTTACACCTTTGTACATGTAGTCTTCCTTTATCAGCAGATTTTTTTCATAGTGAAGTATTGCCTGTATTTTATGCTCAGTAACAATGTCTAGGTATTTTTTATCTTTGATAGAAACAAGAGCTGAATGTGAAGCTCTGAAATCAGATGCTAAGAAGGAGGCCAGAGAACAGCTAAGTGATATACAGAAGGAACACGAGGCAGCCATGGCTGACATGAAAGTCAAAATCAGGGTAAGTGAGAAGATGAACAGGTTATTCTGTATGAACATGTTACATGCTGCATAAAGGTCTATAGGAGGAGAATCTGTTTTTGCAGTCTTTGGGCAACCTAATTTGTTGGTGAAAGATTTGAATTTTAAAGGCCTTGAGTAGTTTCATGATGTTGAAATGATGTAATTTCACATTTTGTTAAATACATGTGCATTCATTTTATTATTTTAGGAAAAAGACCACAGTTTACGGACTGGAAATAAGCAAATTCGTCAACTTGAAGATGAAGTCAAAGAGCTTGTAGAGAAAAATAAGGATAAAGATGTTCAAATGAAGGTACAGTACATTTGAAAGACTGTGACCTTTAATTTAAGACAACAATTGTTTTGTTATATTAAACTTTAAAGGCTTTTAAATTTTGAATTTCATAATCCTAAAAAATGCAAAATTTTAGACCGTTGGGAAGCGCTATCCTTATTACACAAAAGTATACACAGGAAGTCAATGAAAATTATTACCTTTTGCTGGCCTACTGTTCATCATACATGTAAAATTAGTAGAGCAATCTAATAAAAAATATCATTAGTAATAATAAATGATCATTGTAAAATTCCATAATTTCTGACATAATAGATATTAAAACAAGCACTGGTCTCAGAGTTTTGTAAAAAAAAAAAAAAAAAAAAAAAAAAAAATCTACTGTATGTACCTCATATTGTTTGAGAGAAATGACTTGAGTTTAGTTGTGAAAAGAAATATAATAAAATACAGGTATAAATTCAACAGTAAAACACTCTCCTTGCCTGTCCCTTTCAAAATCTTAAAAACTATTCATAATTAAAAATAGCTCTTGTAGCAATTAGATTTAAAATGATTTTGAAATAGAAACAGTTACTTCCCGTTTGTATAAAAATAAACTGGTCCTATTTTATATAATGTACATTCTGTATTTAAAAAATTCGCCATTTCAACGACTGTTTCGTTAAGTTAAAATTACATACAAATGTGTGTATTTTATCGATAACCTAAATTCAGATTAAAATTTAAAAACTTAAACAAAATCTTGATTTATTTTATATGTGTTTCTTTTAAAAATTTTTAACACCTGTGACTTGACCGATAGTGCAAGAAATGCTCGGTTATACAAAGAAATAAAGTGCCGCGCCACAGCATGATATGCCCGTCAAAAAATTTCACAGTTTAGGTGCAAGAAAGCTATGTCTAGCATGATTCTTATTTTGATGATTAATTATAATAAATTTTACATCATTGATAGATTTCTGTGCTGGTTGTGTTAGACCTTGTCAAATGCCCATCATATTAAACAATATCAATTTATTCTTAACAATTAATTTGGTACCAAATTAATTTTGAAAAGAAAAGGCTGGCCATCAAATGACATATGCTATAAACTGACCAGCAGTTCTGACTAATCCCCAAAGGTCTAATACAACCAGCCTTCCTACATTGAACTCATTAATTAATCTTTAACTGGATGCCTACACTTTCAAGAGATGAATGGTTCTTCATAAACCAAATTTTTTTTTTAAAACATATAAAATAAAAATTTTTTTTTTTTTTGGAAATTTTAATGTCAAGGTTTTCATATGTAATTCATATGGACATGCTGATTCCAACTAAAATTAAGTTTTAATTGTAATATTTTTATAAAATATCATTAGCTGTGCAATATCAAATTAGTTTTAATTACTTTTCATCAAATTCATTTTAAAACTTAGGCTAGCCAACAATTAAGAGCTATTCTTAATTCAACAGGCTTATCCATTTGCCCAATACTCAAGGGACATAGATAACACCGATGCTCTATAAAGTTAACTCCTCACACTCAAAACTCATTAATTTCTCTCTAATTTGACATGCAATTTTCTGTTATCAAAATTCTTCTTAGCCAGTGCTTGATAATTACACTCATGGGAGAGGTAGGATTTCTCTAACATACATTATATTTGTTATAGATTGCTGTCATCAAGATTTGCTTAAAAAATAAAGGCCTTGATTTAACACTTTTTTAATAAGGACAAATCAATACTTTCATTATTTTGTGTAAATAATAGTAAAAAGACACATTTATTTTTAAAATTTCACTTAAATTAAAGGTCACAGTGACCTTGAAATACGCGACACACCTTCTACCTAAGACACATAACCTGGCCAAGTTTGATAATTGTAAGTCTTATAGTTTTCTAATAAGGATAAAGGATTTTTCCATATTTGGCTATAACTTCAATTTAAAAGACTACCTACTTTTTGTGCGCGACACACCTTCTACCCAAGATGCATCATTATGACAAAGTTTGATAATCCTAGGCCTAATAGTATTAAAGTTATGAGCCGGAAACGGCTAACAGACAGGGGACGGACACGAAGCCTATAACATAATACGTCCCGTCTTAAGACGGGCGTATAAAAAGGAAAAGAAAAAAACTCTAAATACTGTAATACTTGTCCAGGCGAAGTTGTTACTAATCAGACATTTTGTTTTCAACCTTACTATCCATTTCATGCAAAAAATGTTACCAGGTTATTTTTTCCTTTATTTTCATCGTAATTTTTTCGCTGCGTCTCAAACCAAGAATCTTTTTACGAGTAAAAACAAAATTACAGCCACCTATGCACTTTTCATAAAAAAAAAAATTACACGATCTTGATTTATTTTATTGAAACACTTTGAGAACATTTTCATTTTTCAATGTTTGTAATACAGATAATTAGAATCAATTATAATCAAGCTAAAATTGTTTGCATCGAAATGACCCCTCATTGGGATGGCAATTTACAGCAGCAAACATCAAAAGACCAAAAGTTAATTTGATGGTGGCTACGCGTGTCTAACAAGGTGAAAAAGATATACACAGGGACTAGCAGCTAAATGTCAATAATTTTCAAGTACCCAATGATGGACCTTAATTTATTTGATTGACGGGGGAATCTTAAATCTGAAGGCGGTGCATAATTATCGCAAACGAAGTTTAGCAATTAGATCACCATGTCCGTCGGTCAAATAGAAACAGTTACTTCTGTTTGTAGAAAAATTGTGTGGTCCTACCATTACTCAGAAACTATTGTAAGGATTTGTCTGAAAATTTGTACACATATTATTCACCATATGAAGTTGTGCACCTGATATTTTCATCTTGATTGGATGATAATTTTGAATTTTACAGGTGTTTTTTCATTTTTATGTTGTGTATTTTGTCTGGACCATTTCTCAGAAACTATTGCAAGGATTAATCTGAAAATTTGTAAAAACCATATAAGGTGTGCACCTGGAATTTTCAATCTTTTTGTTAATTTTTTTGCATTTTACAGGTTTTATTTTTTATTTAAATTGACTTGTTCATTTTGGGCTCATGTATAAGGTTTGAGATATAGAATCTAGAATATCTGTTCAAAAATACTACAGGTTAAAACTACTCATAAAAACTTATAAAAAGAAACATCATCAAGTGTTAAAAACAGTTTTTACATTGCACAGAAGATAATGTAATTTCATTTTGTCTTTCAATAATGACTGGACATGCATCCAGTTAAAAAAATTAATGAGTTTTTGTTGGAAGTTGTTAAGGCATATCTCTTATCAAGCGTGTGTGCTATCTAATCTTTTTAGGGAATAAGGCACAAAATTAAAGATCTCTCTTCTCTTTTCTCTTAATTGTAATTTAAAAGCACTTCATTACTGGATGACCCGCTCTTTATTTTCAAAATGCATTTCAAATTGATATATCATTAATTTGATTTTGTATAATGGTTTTTTTTACAATCAGTTTGCAGAGTGACATAACACATAATTGCAATATATTTTTTTAATGCAGAAATAAAAAAAAAATAAAATGGCAAAATAAAAAATAAATGTTACCGGAATTACAGTGTATTATTTGATGTTTCATTTGGTTGCACCTTTGTTTCATTCATTAAGAAAAGATGATAATATTTCACTGCAAATTTTTGTCAAGTAATTTTCAACACCCAAGATCCATAAAGTATTTTTGAATTGGCACCTTCTCTGAAAAACCCAGCGGGGTAAATCTGAATTGGACAGTTCTAGTTATCTCGGGCTTTAATTTGCTTTCCACAATTTTTATACATTTTAACACAACTCACTACAACTAAGCATAGAAATGCCAACTGTCTTTTAGGAAACACTCTTTTACTTATTTGTTACAGACTTGGAAAGAAGAGAAGGATAAATTAGTTTCCTCCCTGTCAGAAATAATTGAAAAACAAAAGGAGGATAAAGAAAAAGTGAAAGAGCTTGAAAAGGAAAAGTCTCATCTGGAAGCTGTGGTCCGGGACCAGATAGAAACTATAAAACAGCTGACTTCATCTGGATCATCCGTATCATCTACTAGGAAATCCAGATTGGTGAGTAACATGTTCATGATTCATGTTGATGCTAATTTATATATTTTTTGGATGGGGGCTCCTAGTTTGAAATAAATTTGAAAAACTATAAAGTACCAAAATCTGTGACTTCAATTGAAATAATTTTTTATCTACTTCAGAGAAATACCTCTATATCATCAGATGTATCTAATTTAGATACAAGCGAAACTCCACTGCGCAGGACTTCCACTCGGAGGGGAAGAAAGAGGCGGTCGTACTCTATGCCAGATATTGAGGTTTGTTAATGAAGGTGTACTTCAAAATAATCTTAGAAATGGGCTTTTGTCATTCAGTACTGTCACTGAAGCAGTTTAAGAAAGAGAAAAAATATTTACTGGTACGTGGCTTTTGTTTTTTTAGACCCCTGCCTCTAAGAAGAAGGACAGTGATGTCTCGCTGTTGTCTGAGGATGTGGGAGATGAGAGGGAGAGGATCCAGATTGATGCCACACCCCCTGTTGCCGCCAAAACGCTGCGCAGGACGAGAAAGAAACCACGATCTTCTACTGACCTCCTCAGGGTAAAAACAAATATAGACATGTATAATGACTTGTATTGTAACATTATTAGTTATGTAGACACTTAGAGGGGTTTTACGGAAATATGTGGGGTCCTTGAAAAAATGCATTTTGGGCCAGGTGTATTACCCCTCAAAGTGTCTACTTAACGAATTTATCCTGTCAAAGATTTCTTAATAAAGTTATTTTTTCTGAGTTGGCAAATCCCTCCAAAACAATTGTTTACATTGTGATGTCGTTTAATGTTTATATGACATCAGTTATTAGGCTCTTTGCATGTTCAAATGAAAACAACGCATGACTATGATCTGTGCAGTATGGCACATGGAGGGGCAAATTTATTTGATGTGTGGTGGGTAGGTCATGTGGAGGGGGCATATTGATTTGATGTGTGGTGGGTAGGTCACGTGGAGGGGGCACATTAGCAATATGATGTGGGTAGACAACATACATGTAGTATTGTTTGATACAGTATTCTTGACCAATGAAATTTCATGATTTTTATCAGAGGCAGGATAATGTTTGTTGTTTGTATATGATGAAGAAAAACAGTACAAAGATATCCAAGATCAAACCTTAATGTACGATGTCCCTATATTCAGAGATTGTATTACAGGAGGAGGCAAAAGAGTCATCAAAGTGCAAAGCTGCTGATAAAGAAAATAAATCCATGAAGAGAATTGGATCCCTTCTGTCAGCCTTGAAAAAGTCACCTGTTTCAAAATCAGGTATATATACATGTACATGTACATTATTTATCCCTTTACTGTAAAGTTGGAACTCAGAGACTAAAAATAGGAGCATTTTATATACAATTGATTGAAATAAATCTGTCATACAAGTATATGCATACAATACTGCAGCTTATGTTTTATGTTGAAGCTAAGAAACACCTGGCGGAAATCAAAGAAATGCCCTCGCCAAACCACAATCTGGTGGAAGTAGAGGATTGTGGGACACAAATGTCGGCAGAAAAAGTCAAAGAACCCCCCTCTCGTAAAAAATCTCGCCATGCATTATACAAAGAACCACTACAGATATCAGAGCCCCTAGACTGTGGGCAGTTCATTGTAAGTCAAGTTAAATGTACAATGTTAGTTATTATAGTCAAAGAGATAAATAAAAGTTCATTTTACATGTTCTAAATTTTATTATTCTGTTACAAGTAAAAACAGTAAATATTTAAAGGTTTATGATGTATTTTCCCACAGCACACTACTCCAGAGGAGAACATACATGAAACAGTAAAGAAGAGGCTAAGGGGCCGACCCAGGAAGTGAACAATGGATACTATTTATAAGCTACTGGGATGACCCAGGAAGTGAACTATGGATGCTATCTATAAATGTGCCAAACAATTTTACTTTTCATTTCAATTCCTCTAAACTGTTACTTTTACAACTTTTATGCATGAAAGATAGTTTGTGTTTTATTCAAGAATACAAGAGGTAACTTGTTAGTGGATAAACATATTGAACAAATGTTATCCTTCCCTTTTAATATCCAGTAATACAGGGTTTGTCACATCAGATGTTTCCTTCATGTTTTTCTTCAGCTTCTGTATTTTCCAAAGAAATGAATGACTGTCAAGACATTGATTCAAAATTTGAAAAAAATACACATTCTATGAATGTATGGATCTGGTCATTAGTTTTCACAATACTTTAAGCTGGTATGTGCTGAAATGTAGAACTGCACATGTATTAAGATTATACTAAAATATATTCTTCTACTTTCTATTTTATGTCACTATTATGCCAGATTTGTTATATGTTATTTTTGAGATGTGTGCTTGAAAGAAGACTTGTTTTTCCTGGGCATTACTTAAAAAAAATCAAGCATTTTGTCAAAATTTGAATGAATTTTTGATTTGATATTTACAATCCATTAAATTCAACTCATATAAGACACAGATATCAGGAAATGTTGTGTCAGCCAAGAAGACTTCATTATTTATTTTTTTCATTTCATTTGTGAGAAGTTTGTCTTATAATAGTGCAAATGTTTACTGAATGTCCATAAACTTTCTACCTAATGTATTATCTAATGCCTATCTTGTATACAGACCGTTGATGATAAAAACTGCACTGCTTTACCTTGGATATCCAGTTTTTGTACTTGAGTGTATTTGTATCTAATCACATTAGGTTGTGACTGTCAGGAGCTGCTTTTCAGAACTATATGTATGTCAATCCCATTAAAACCCATAATCATGTCTATTTCCCTGTCTCTCTATCCTCATTCTTTTTTCAAAGAAATACAAAAATAAAAAGAAGTTATGGTGTTATTTACTTTTTCTAAAACCGTAAGAAGGAAGGCAATTTTTATTTGATACATACAGAGGCCAAATTTGAATATAAAGGAAAGTGGACTGGTGTAGGGTAGTGTAAAATAAAAATAAAAATATGTTTGTGAAACACTGATTCCCCTCTCAAGGCTAATAGCAGCAAAAAGTAAAAATTGTTAGTATCCATTGGAAGAACATATCATGGGAAATATACCTGTGAAATATGAAAGCCCCAGTACTAATTGTTATAAAGCTTTGGTCAAGGTTAAATTTTTTTTTTAAGTGGGTCAAACTAAAGTCAAGCTCAAAAATATTTATATCCAAGGAAAGATCTTGTCACAATTAATACCCATTGAAGATGAAACCCCTAGCATCAACTTCAAAAGTGCAGATCAATGTTTAAAGTTTGGTAATTTTTTGAAAAAAATAGGTCAAACTATACAAAGTCAAATATGTTGGGTCTTTTCAAAAAGGAATACACATGTGAAAGATTAGCCATAGCTCCAACCTATGAAAAGTTATGGGCAAGGCTGAAGGACTGTAAAGAGTGTCAAACTCCAAGGTCAAGTACTGGTATGTTGGTATTGTCACAAGAATACACATGAAATATGAAAGTTATACGTGTAGATCCAATCTATTAAAAGTTATGGCAAGGCTACAGTTTTTAAAGAACAAGAGGCCCACGCGCCTTATAGGTCACCTGAGTATCATGTAACAACTTTCCAACAATTGAATTTGGTTCTGTATTAAACCAGAGGCCATGAAATTCACAATTTTGAAAGAGGCACCATTGCTTATCATAATTATAAACTTAGCATGCTTACTCTATTCACTTACGGTAATACCGAGAGGTAGATCAGAGTAAAAAAGAGAAAATGCACTTCCACTTTAAATTATAACTATTTGTGCACCCCACCCCAAAGGAACCACTGACCCTGGGGCCACATGTTGATTAATACCAAAGAGCAGATTTCAAAGCATTAATTTATTCAGAGCTGCCAACATTCTGAAATGACAAATAGTAAGGCGGGGTCTAGGGACCACCAAGGCCCCCTGCCGCTGAAGATGTTTTGTAAATGGACATGCAATCTGAGGCATGTTTCCATTTTGTTTTCTTTAAACATTGACATGAATGTGATCGGCCTTCTAAAACCAAAACGATGATACAAGCGAGCGTTGTAAGAATTATGAATATAATATAATAATAGAAACTATATAGGCTGCCAGCTATGAAAATACCGGTATTATAAACTTTGAACAAGAAAAACTGAAATCGGAAGAATATAGAGAGAAATCGTAAGGCGTATTTTAGACGCTGATTTCGTACGCCTTACGCCACAATCGTAAGGGTTGGCAGCTCTGTTTATTTTCAGACTATGTACCCTCCCCCCCCCTCCCCCACGACCCAGGGGGCGGGGGGCATAAAAAATAACCATTTTGCTAGATGCACCTTTTTTCATCATAAATATATAAACTTGGATCATTGGCATAAAACCCAGGGGCAAAGGAAAAGATTTTCAAAGAATTAATGTATTTTCACTATATAATCAATAGAGCCCTGCCCTAACACCAGAACCCATGACCCTTGGCCATAAAATTCACAATTTTGTAAGAGGCATTCTTGCTCATCATAACTATGTGCTTAGTTAGTTTATTTAATACCCAGAAGCAGAGAAGATTTTCAAAGAATAAATTCATTTTCATTATATAATCAATAGAGCCCCACCCTAACACCAGAACCCCTTACCCTGGGACCATAAATTTCACAATTTTGGAAGAGGCACTCTTGCTCATCATAAGTATGTACTTATTTAGTTTACTTATTACCCAGGAGCAGACAAGAAGATTTTCAAAGAAATAATGCATTTTCACTATATAATCTATATAGCCCCACCCTAGCACTAGAACCCCTGACCCTTGGGCCATGAATTTCACAATTTTGGTAGAGGACTCAATGCTCATTACATTCATGCCAACAGTTTGCCTGCTTGATGTCCAGGAGTAAAGAAGAAGATTTTTAAAGATTACAATAATTTTAGTGGTTTTGGCCCCACCCCTCAGGCCCTAGGGGGGCAGGGACCATAAAATTCATGTTTTGTTCCCCTTCACCCATAGATGCTGTATACCAAATTTGGTTGAAATTGGTTCAGTGGTTTCAAAGAAGAAGTTGAAAATGTTCAAATGTTAACACACGATGCACACCCGCACGACGACGGACGAAAACGGATAGCAATAGGTCACCTGAAGTACTCAGGTGACCTAAAAATCAGAAACGGTGCAAAAACTATACATTTATATCCCTGAATCATCAATTATAGGGGGCATAAATACATGTATAGTAATTATGAAGTTTTTGATTAAACAATAACAAAATGAAATTGATCAATGATCATGCAAGCTTTCTTAACCATCAGGGGCTAAACACTATTATTTTGTCTTCTTTCTATTTTTAATTATTACTGGTATATAGTGTTTAAGTGGTCAGATAGAAAGAATACAAATTAACTTTGATGACCCCCTGTGTTTCACACTTTGATTTAGAATGAACTACAAACGATAACAAATTGCTTCTAAAAATTTAATGCAAAAAAATTATTTACATATGCATGTTCAGTGTGTATCATATAAATAAATGTGTCATCACTGCACAAAAGTAGAGAATTTCGAATCAGATACTCATACACAGCTCTACTGTACAGTGGGATGTTAATTCCTTACTGAGAGAGACAACAAAGACATAGATGTGGGCAGCTAACTTTACACTGAATTGTTCATAGATATTAAAACATCTTGAAACAAATGACTCTCTATGTTTTAGTAATATTCTTTTTACTTTTAAGATCCTGATTAGCACTTAAAGGATAACTGAATAGTTTTTTCACCTAAAATCAGTTACAATTTCCAAATATCCAAGTAACAATAATTTCACCCATCTCATGATTTCCATATAACAATTACCTATAATGTATTACATGTGTGTATACCAATAGCACCATACGATGAGGTAGAAATCTTAAGGAATAATCAGTCAAGCACAACAAAATTATCAAGAGTTGGTAAAGACGGAACCTTCAGCATTTTACCATTCTTACTCACTCGACTGATGGACCTTTTTGGCACAGTGAACTTAGGTCTCCCCGAGGGTTCCGTGAATGTTTCTACACAACCCAGTCCATTGAAGCCTTTCCTGATGGAAGAACTATAGTCCCCTACTCCTGATTTTTTCTTGAATATATTGAAATGACTCAGTCCCTGAACTTCTGCCAGATCATCACATTTCTGTCTCTTCACCGGCTTCTGACTGGCTGATCCTATTTTTAGGTACTTGACCTCTGTTCCTGAGTCATTTGGGCGTTTGTTCTGAGAATTTAGGGTGCTCGATGATTTCAATATTTCTGGAGACACTGACTTCTTGGTATACTCCTCCAGGTCCACTTCTTTCACTTTTTCTGTGGAATCATCAAATAAAACAGGAGAGTCCACATTGTCCTTCAAATTCCCAAATGGACTTTCACTCATCATTTTATCCACAAAACTAACACTGGCTACATTCTCTCCATTTGGACTTTGAACTGCTTTGCGATAATTCAAGATTTTCCTTTTTAGGGAATGCTTCTCTTTTTCCACCTTTTTGAGATCTTCCTCAGAGTGAGCTAGTTGCTCCTTAAGGTGCGTTATCTCCCTTTCCTTCTCTTGAAGAATGTGATCTTTGGACATGTTTTCTCTCTTGAATTTTTCAAATTCTGACTTGACATTTTTCTTCTCGAATTTGATTTTGTCGTATTCCCTTTTCAGCATGCTACAATAAGTAGCAAGGTTCTGTACACTTTCTTTACTTGAATCACCATATTGTTGGATGGTTTCTTTGATATCAACTTCACATGCTGCAAATGGATTATACACACTTTTAAAAATATCCATGTAAAATGATGTCAATATACAGATATACAACAAAACTGTTAATTCTTACCATCACAAGATTTTCACAGACAAAATTCATGAAAAATGTGATAAAGATGAGGAATTCATTCATTTTAATGCAAAAAAAATTATGACCAAAACAATTAATTATAAACTCAAAAGAAGTTTGCAAAATGTTACCTGTCAATAGTCTCTCAATGTTTTGGTACTGTGAAAATTTCTGTTTAATCTTTGAACATGTCTCTCTCTCCTTCTCAATACATTTTTGCTGGACTTGATAAAACTGCAGTTGTTTTTTCAAACTTGATATATTTGATTGCTCTTCTAAGTACTTTGTTTCCGCTAAATCTTTCTCTTTTTTCACAGTCTTCAGTTTTTTCTGCAATGATTCATTGTCACTGTTGAGTTCTTTCACCTTGAGCTCTGTTGTGCGTTTGTCTGCCTGTAAACTTTGTATTGTGTTCTTTAACTGCCCTACATCAGTATCATCATTTCCACTGTCATCGTCTCCATCAAAAAAGAGACGATTTATGACTCGCGAGGGATCGACCCGACTTCGACAGCTGGGACAGGTGTTAGAGTTCTTCAGCCATGTGGATAGACAGCCTTCATGGAAAGTGTGCCCACACTGGACAGCTGCTATGGCCACTGACGGGTCATTGATAAAATGTTCAGCACAGATGCAACACTGGGCTTTCATGTCTTACAAAGGTATCATTGCCTGCAAGATAAATCAATCAAATCTATGTAAGAGTTATTTCATACAATGAAGTTAAGGATTAAGATTTATAATGTTGACTTGCTCCTGTTGGTATGAAAAAAATCAATACTAAGTAACAACTAAACAAGAGGCCCCGGCCCACGGGCCACATTGCTCACTTGAGCACTGTAGCTTGGAAAAAAGCAGAAGTACCCAAAGCAGAAATCAGTTTATTAATAAAGTTTAAACCCAAAAGTGGTCCCAACCAATCCTTAAAGGGGATATAGTATGATTCGAACAAACTTGAATCTACACTAACTAAGGATGCTTGCATATTTCTTTGACTACCTGTGGCTTTATTGCCCTTTAAATTTGAACTTACATTGTGGCCCCGCCCGGGTATGTCTTTTAACCACAATGAACCACAATGAACCACAATGAAACCACAATGAACCACAATGAAACCACAAGGAACCACAAGGACATCTTAATTTAATTTTAATGAATCTATATATGGTTTATATGCATTTTTTAGTCATCTGAGTCACACAGGTGACCTATTTCTATCTGTTATTGTCTGACGTTGTGCTTCCTGTCCGTCTGTTTCCTAATCTTTTGAACCATTTAAGCTCCTTTTCTTGAACAGCTTATCCAATTTCAACTAATTTTGGCAGGATACAAAGCGTCTATAGGTAAAGGGGAGCAAAACTTTTGGATTTCAAAATCTCTTACCCACGGGCCTGAGGTGTGGGACCAAAACCATCAAAATTAATGCAATTTAAAAAATCATTTTCCTTACTCCTGGGCATCAAGCTGTAAAAATTTTGGCATGCTTATAAAAGCATTAAGTCTACTACAAAATATATATGTAAAATTTAAGTCAAAAGGATAAAGGACTCTGGAAATGAGGTATTAGATTATTAATTTTTAAAAACTGTAACAGTAGTTGCACTAAATATATAAAGGAAATTAATATCTCGATTTTTTGTCATTCAGAGTATTAAGGGCTTACTTACATGGACAAGGAATGCTGTGCATTCTATTTTTGTTTTATCACTAAATAAAACATGTTCAAATCAACTTTATGATGATTAATAGATGAGCATACATGTGTACGAGGGTTGATCCAAAAGTTCGTGGAATTTTTTCATAATTTATTTATTTTTAAGGGGAATTGGTTGAAAATTACAAATGAAAATGTAGACACTTGATGAATATTTTATATTAAAAAACAGTTTAAATATCTTTGATAGTAACTCTATGGCAGTTGCCATAGAAACTGTTGTTCGGAAATGCGGGGGAGACATTAACGCGTTTATTTTCATTTTAATTCTTAATTCGTGAAATGAGAATTAAACCGCCCTATGTGGTATATAAAACGAAAATTAGGTCATTATTACGATTGCTTGATCTTTTATAAACCTTTTTGTGAGAGTTTTACTGATTTTACTGGATATTTAGTTGATGATTTATTGTTCATCTATAAGTTGTTAGACAAACGTCAAATTTTGATCAAGTCATACGTATTGTGAAAATTCTGGGATCACTCTATTTTAAATGCGTATATTTTTGACAAAGGCTTGGGAAAAATGCATTTAGTTATTGGTTTTCCAGTGGCATAAGAAATTTAAGAAACTAGAACTTCCATAGACGTTCATTATAGGTGTGGTCGCGTTTTGGATGCTCTGTTTTTAATGCATATCCCCCAAAACAAATTAAAGGACGTTGTCGGCTGCCGTACTTTTCTTGATATTGCTACTGAAATTGGAACATTATATGTAAAGATGGGAGTATTTTGAAATATGAGTGAAAAATGAAGATAAGTTGGTGCGAGAGGATACCCAGGCTTTTCTTGAGAAAAAAAATAAAGGACAGTATTTTGTAGAATTACGTACTCAAACTGAACATTAGGGTGAGTTGCTTCTATAACGTGACGTGACATATCTAACTTGACGTCGCGTCGAAGTCTCCCCCGGGTTTCACAACTATCCATTTTCAGAAAGCTCATGTGACCTCATTGGTAATTGGAAAGTGGTAAATTATTCCAGTATTGTTGTCATATTATTCTATATTATGAGTATGCTTGTTGTTTGTTTTCATCAAATCACATTAAAATTTTAGAAAGAAATTCCACGAACTTTTGGATCAACCCTCGTATATGATAAAATGAAATAATTTTATGGAGTGGTTACAGATTATAGCCATGCAGACTAACTACAGTTAAACTCGTTTAGTACGAACACGGATGTAGCGAATTCATGGATATAGCGAACTTTTTCTGGGTCCCCAGCAAAATTCTTTACAAATCCTTGTAAAATTTTATGGTTATAACGAATTTACGGATATAGCGAACTGATTTTGGGTCCTGTTGAAGTTAAATATAATGAAATTTACATCTTTTATAACGAACTTTCAAAGATCTCAAAATTTGATTAATTGAACTGACTTATTTTTGTTAATGGAATTGTATATATATTTCAATTCACAATAAAACCTTAGTTATCGAAGGTATGTTTTGTAATATTTGCTTCCCTAACATATTTGGTAGTAATTCTTGAAGGAAAACATGAATATTGCGAATTCCCTTTATATGGTTTTGCGAATTCGTTATACGGTTATAACGAATTACGGATATAGCGAATTAAATTCACAGGTCCCTGTATTAGTTAATCAATGATCATTTCATTCCTTAAAGGTAGGTTTTGGGGATTAAATTATCTCTTTATCTTGTTTTTATTACATAAATATCAAGTTGGTCATTCTATACATCTTTTACAGGGTAACAATTAATGGATTATGCTTCAAAAATTTTTACAATTGTATAGGCGAAAGCATTATAAGAAACAAGAGGCCTCGCTCTTGTGTTGTACATGTATACCATAATTTTTTTCTAATGCACTGCTGCTTTAATTTTGAAAAAAAAGAACAATGAGAATATCCCAAAGTTGCAAAAATTTTGATAAATTGCATTTTATTAAAAATAGTACTGTAATGAATATTTTAAGAGTAAAAAATTATAATAATTGTAAATTGGTTCCTTATGGTTTCATTGTGGTTCTTTGTGGTTTCATTGTGGTTCATTGTGGTTAAAAGACATATCCGCCCCGCCCTACCCCTGGGGGTCATGATTTGAACAAACTTGAATCTACACTATCTGATGATGCTTCCATATACATTTCATCTTTCCTGGCACAGTGATTCTTGAGAAGATTCTTAAAGAATTTCCCTATACGAGGGTTGTCCAAAAACTTCGTGGACAATGATGTTTTTGTGAAAATAAATGGTTCTATATAAATCTGTTGTATATCAAAATATTTCTTATGAAAAAACAAATCAAACTTGAATCTACACTACCTGAGGATGCTTCCATATAAATATGACTATTCATGCCTTTGCTATTCTTGAGAAGAAGATTTTTAAAGAATTTCCTCATTTATTTCCATGTAAAAATTTGATCGGCCATTATGGCCCTGCCCTACCCCCGGGGATCATGATTTGAACAAAATTGAATCTACACTACCTGAGGATGCTTCCCTAAAAGTTTCAAATTTCCTGGCACAGTGGTGCTTGAGAAGAAGATTTTTAAAACATACCACCAAATTTTCACTATTTCTGAATTATCTCCCCTTGAATAAGGGTGTGGCCCTTCATTTGAACAAACTTGAATCCCCTTCACCTAAGAATACTTTGTGGCAACTTTGGTTGAAATTGGCCCAGTGGTTCTTGAGAAGATGAAAATGTAAAAAGTTTACAACAACGACGACATACGACGGACAAATTTTAATCAGAAAAGCTCACTTGAGCCTTCAGCTCAGGTGAGCTAAAAACACAAAGGAGGTTACCATCTTAACCCCCTTTTCTTCACTTTTGTGTCATATCTCAATAGTTCTGTCACCTCACCATCTAAGATGTCTAGATATTTCGAAACCAAAGACATCATCAGGCTTAAGCCAACAAATTAAAAACAAAGCAATGAAGAAAAAATCCTCCTCAAGGTAATACTGTAGAGACAATTCATGCATCAATTTCAGACTTGAAAGGACTATAAAGAAAAATTTTGAGAATGTATTGTTTTGTTGTCAAAGTGGTAAAAAAGGGGATTTTCCACTGCCCCATGTAGGGCCAAATATGGGCCCCATTCCCAATTGCAAAATCACTCTGTTTTTCCCCAAAATGAACAGCATGTGTTCAATGTTTGAAAAATTAATGTAAAACAAAAATGGTCAGGTTTGAACTCTGAATGAAATGAACAAAATTTTGGGAAACTTTGCTAAAACTTTATAATAATTGATCTATTCTCTGAAATAGTACTGAATAATGAAGTAAACAAGAGGCCCAGGGGTCACATCGCTCACCTGAGCAAATCGGCTAGGAAAAAGCACAAATCAGATCATAACTGAAAAGTTTACTGAAGGGGGAGGGGGGGGGGGCTTGAATTTTAATACTACTTGAGAATGCCTTCATATTAATACAGCATATAGCTTTGCTTTTCTTGATAAAAAGATTTTTTAAAAACATTTTCTTCCTATATCTAGCTTCATAATAATTTGAATTTGATTCACCATTGTTTCCGTCCCTACCCCAAAGGGCCATATGATTTGAATAATTTAAGGCCAAAATAAAATTATAGTTTGTTTGGAATTGCCTCCCGCCTCATTGAAATGCCCCCTCCATAAAAAATTTTATTGATCAAAAGTAGGAAGATTTTTTTTTTATTTAATCTTTTTTTTTTTGCCCATTACCTGTATCACATGCACCATACAAAACACTGAAATATAGTGTCAGATCTATGTAAAATTAGTTTTCAATTAAAAAAAAATTAATTTCCCTCCCTCCCTCCTGTGTCTGAAACCCTTCAGGCGGCAATTCCAAACAAACAATTTTTTAAGTATGGCCTAAATCTTCAATACATGAGGTGGCTTACATATCAATATGACTAAACAAAGCTTATCTGTTCTTGGGATTTTTCCCTTTAATTGGCTTTATTTTTCTACACTACCCAAAAATGCTTCCATATAAATACTACTATCACTAATCATGGCTTTGCTATTCTTGAGAAGGAGATTTTTTAAAAATATATTTTTAATGTAAAACTTGATCCCCAATTGTGACCACACCCAATCCCTGGGGGTTATGATTTGAACAAACTTAAATCTACACTACATGAGGATGATTCCATATAAATATCACTAATCATGACTTTGAAGTATTTGAGAAGAAGATTTTAAAAGATTTCCCTATATTCTCCTATGTAAAACTTTGATCAGCCATTTTGGCCCCACACTACCCCCGGGGGTCATGATTTGAAGAAATTTGAATCTACACTACCTGAGGATGATTCCACATGAGTTTCATCTTTCCTGGCCCAGTGGTTCTTGAGAAGAAGATTTTTAAAGATTTTTCCTATATATTCTTATGTAAAACTTTGATCGGCCATTTTGGCCCCACCACATCATATGAAGATGATTCCACGTGAGTTTCATCTTTCCTGGCCCAGTGGTTCTTGAGAAGATTTTTAAAGATTTTTCCTACATATTCCTATGTAGAACTCTGATCGGCCATTGTAGCCCCACCTACCCCCAGGGGTCATGATTTGAACAAACTTGAATCTACATTACAGAAAGATGATTCCACATGAGTTTCATCTTTCCTGGCCCAGTGGTTCTTGAGAAGAAGATTTTTAAAGATTTTCCCTATATACTCCTATGTAAAACTTTGATCGGCCATTTTGGCCCCACCCTAGTCCCGGGGGGTCAAGATTTGAATAAAATTGAATCTACACTACCTGAGGATGATTCCACATGAGTTGCATCTTTCCTGGCCAGTGGTTCTTGAGGAGAAGATTTTTTTTAAAAAGGCCATTACTTTTTCACTAATTCATAATTATCTCCCCTTGGAAGAGGGTGTGGCCCTTCATTTGAACAAACTTGAATCCCCTTCACCTAAGGATTATTTGTGGCAAGTTTGGTTAAAATTGGCCTTGTGGTTCTTGAGAAGAAGATGAAAATGTGAAAAGTTTATGACGACGACAACCCCAACGACGACAACAGACAACGGACAAATTTTGATCAGAAAAGCTCACTTGAGCCTTCGGCTCAGGTGAGCTAAAAATCAATTTTATTCATCATAACTAGTGGTGTCAACGAGTACTCAGTTGACCGGTTAACTGTCGAACGATGCGAGTATCTGTTAGTAAAACTGCTTTCGGTTACTGAGATAAAATACATTTTACATAGTAAATACACAGAAAATGAATGTCATGTTGTGTTTAAAATTAAAATGTATACTAACACATTTCCTTAATGTTAGGTACCATTAGACTTGATATAGCGGTTCTAGTTGATCGAATTGTTCTGATTAATTTTCACAGTTTTTATAACTGAAAGCTTTGATTGCCGGGGTATACAACTTTTGAAGACCTGAGTTATAATTATTACCTCATTTAATAATTTAAGGAGATGCCGCCACAGAAATATTAAGCTTTGGGTGTTGTAAACGAACAGCTGATTCAAATCTGTTAAATCACCTAAGCTTAAAATATCATTCAGAAATCAGCAATTTACTGTACACTCCACAAATAAACTAGTAATTACGGAGTGTGTAAATAATTAATCTTCTTGATTGTGATATATTTTGGGGGCTGAAAAAGAAAACAACGAAAGCCATTGTAAAATTGTGATTGACGAATATATATTTATTTGTCTTCTTCATGTGTTGAATTCCTTATTTTCTTTAATCATTTAATCTGAAATCAAAATTCTTTGACGATATTGTATACCCTATCATATGCATGGATTGTAAATAATGTTCATATACAGTATATTTGTGTATTACAACTATCGATGAGTAAAGAATAAGATATATTTGACAGATATGGAAACTTTTTCGAAAAATCATCCAAGTAACCAGCTTCTCAATTGGAAGATTAAGCAAGTAACCGGTAACTAAAAATCATCCAATTTGCCAACACTTATCATCTTTTTAATTATTTCTTGAATGAAATCTTGCTATAAAATTTCCGAAAAAGTTGTAAATTGTTGTTAAATTCCCAATGGTAAGGGCCTGGGACCCATTCCCAAAATGGGGTGGAAAATTCCCAAATAAAAACTCGAGGTACTAATGAGCACTGAGTTCACTATATGACCCCCCCCCCCCCCCCCCATGAATTACAATGGTAAAGTTCACGTTTTGCTCTGGGAGACCCGAAATAAGTGTCAGATCAAAAAGTAAAATAGGACGTGCAAATTTACAATATTTAATAAAGAATCGGTGAAAGTATCACTTAAGTTTATTCAATGAAAATCAGTGGTAAAGGAGGAATAGCAGATGAGAGATTCGGTGCCAGACAACCCACCGAAAGACAGGTCACCGACAAAAGTGAAATTCACCAATGCGTGCAAATTCGCCGAATGGACAATTCACCGACAATAGTGTCTGTGTGTGTAGAAATTCATGTAATAATTGATAGATGTTGTGTTAAGTATTCAGATATAATAAACATAATCAAAGATGTATTTAAAAAACATGTTTTCTTTGGTTTTTTTTTTGTATATTCATCATTGTTGGTCTAGCGCATACAGATTGCTTCTCGTGAATCCGAGCAAGGTCATAGGTCGGCAATATTGAGTGAAGTTTTTGATTACATGAAAAAATGAATAAAACGTTTATTCACATATGATTTTCTCTAAATATTTGTTAAATTTCCATGTTTTATATATTCGGTCGATGATGTGTCTGTCGGTAACCCTTCTTTTGGTGACTTGTCGTATCGGCGAGTTTTATAGTGTCGGTGAAAAAAGTGTCGGCGAGTTGTCGTTCGGTGAGTTGTCTTTCGGTCACCTGTCATAGACCCGAGAGATTGGTACCCTTCGATTTTATAGAAAGAATGGCCATGTCCATGTTTTGCTATGGCAAACCCAAATTATGTGTTGGATCAAAAAGTAAAAGTGGTGCATAATGGCAAAGAAGGGGAGTTGCAGATAACGGTACCCCAAACAGACAGACCAACATCCCAATCACAATATACCCTCACACTTTTCAAGAAGGGGGTATTTAGGAAAACACACGTAGCAGAACGCCACGTTAGTATATATGGACTTTTTGTGATGATCTGTCCCAGAGTCAGGACACTGTACACAGGTTACATAACCCCCTTCCCCTCTGACTCCAGTCCCTCACCAACTGGAAAATCTGGATCAATCATCAATACCCTAACTTGCGCACTATAATGTTAAATTCATACAATGAGAATGACTTCATATATTTACCTCTCATATACCATATGCCAACAAAACACAAGATTGCAGTACATGATCAAGAAACCATGATCGTCATGTTTTGTCTTTTGAACACCGCGCCGCCAATATTTCTATTGTTAACTCGTACCCCAGATGAGAACGACAAAAAATATGTCATCCTATTTAAACAAAGCATATCTAAAACAACAATAAAAATGGTTCCATTTAAGTTTTTGCCAGCTGTTTAATTCCTCTGGTGATCATAATTTTTAAATCTGCCACCTCTCAATATATTCCGAATCATTTTTAATACAACTTAGACAAAAATGCTTGACTGGTCCGTAGAGAACCGGGAACCAGTTAAAATAAAAACACATGGAAGATGAGAAGTTTCAAGTTTACACTAATTTCTTTCAGAATAAAAGAGTTAAGTGATGTCACAATTTCTGAGAGTATGGACTTCTCGTATCTATCGTCAAAATTTCAAGAAATTGTTGAATCAGGATGTTTACAATTGTAGAAGTTGCAGCATTCATAGATATTCATCAGAGAGTGAAAATGGTAATGCACTTATTCCATTGATTGCAGACTGTTTAGAAGAAATGTTGTATAAATAAATTACTAATCTTCATTTAATTTATTAATTGATACGATAACTCAATTTAAATTTGAGATTAGACATGGATGACGACATTGTTTTTTCTTTTTCATCATGTTTACAAATGCAGATAAACTAATCAGAGTGGTAGATATTCCTGTAAAAGAAATTAAAGAACCACCAGTCATATTTAGCAGAGGCAAAAGGAAGCCTGTTCATGATGAAAACAATCCAGTTGCCACACAGCTTCAATTACTTAGTGCTGGTGAGTGTATTTTTAAAAAGTTGGAAATTGCATGATCACAGTGCTCCAAGTCACACTTGCTCTTATGTCACAAAATGGCGATCTAAAATTGTTTTTGGTCGCCATTTCAGAATTTCTGGTTGCCATAATTGAATATTTCACTCGCCATAAAAAATTCAAAAAAACCTTTTTAAATACGGATATGTATTATGTCTTTTATATCAAAGATAACTTATTATAAACTATAAAAATCTAGGTTGAATGAAATATTTTTATGTTTTTCTCTCGTTGTACAAATTACACAAGTAATCTGATTACTCTCTAAAATTTTATCAAAGTAAATGCAAGCTTGACAGCTTTTGATCGACAGGACTTTGCCTGCTGTTTGTCATGTTTACTTACTACTACGTACCTAACCCATTACACAATCATTATAAATGCCACCAAAACACTCTTTATTAGCATGATTCATTGTGATATGAAAGCAATTGACGAAATGCTTCAATAACAAGGTCGGATCCTAGAAAGTTTACAAAGTTTGGATGCCATTCTATCAGGAACATTATTCATACACGTATCTGATTCTATCAAACTTTGTACAGCATGCTGCCATAACATTACGTGATCTAAATCCATGCGACGCTTTGTAAAGTGTATTAAAGTATATGTCTTCAAACATTTTCTTTAGCAGAATCTTTAAAAGGAAGCCTGTTCATGATGAAAACAATCCAGTTGCCACACAGCTTCAATTACTTAGTGCTGGTAAGTGTATTTAAAAAGTTGGGAGATTGATCAGAAACAGGGAAATCATATATTAATTTGTTCTTGGATATGCTGAAGTTCTGATATCTGGAATATTCAAGTTCATTTAATTTCTCTATTTTATGCAGGTCTGGAAAAAAGAAAACTTCAACTGAATGTAGAAAAATGGTTCAAGGATCATGGATTTACAAGTGGCCATTCTTCTAATGTAGAATTCAAATCTGGCAATGAATCCTTTGGTGTAAAACAAAGAAGAAAGACTACTGCAGTCCAAAAGGATGCCAAAAAGCAAACAAGGAAAAAATCAACTAAAAAGCACCCAGCAGAAAATGATTCTGTTGAGGCTTTTCAAAACAGTACAACAGAAGTAGACGAAGAACAGATAAAAAGCAAGATTGATCTTAAAGAGACATACAAAAAATACCTTAAAAGAGTTGAAGCGGAAAAAGGAAAGGTTGGCAGTGTATCTAAAAAGAGTAAAAAGCAAAGTGCTAATGAATCAGAAGACATAGAAGGGTTCACAGATCGAAAACAAACTCATGGAAAAGTGTCATCAAAATCAAAGAAAGAGACAGGGAAGAGCCTCACTCTCCCCAAGCACTATAATGAAGATTTACTGAGTTATATGAGAGCATCATTAATGGGAGGAATGGTATATCTTAACTAATCATGTATTATAAAAGAATTTATTCATTTTAGCGTTAAAAGGATAGCATTAGAATTTTAAGATTTATAAAACATTTGAATTCATTGAACATTATTTTCAGTGTTTTATCCAGTATTGGATCCGTCATTTTTTTGCTTTTGCTCATACCTGTGACTGGTGGGTTTTTTTTTCAGATGCACCATGCACATTCAGTCTTGATGCAACATTCTGTGAAGCCTTTACACAAAATCACAGATCCACACATCTTTAACTGTGTTCTCCTTGGCTGGGCCAGAAAGGTAAATGTCTAGTGATGGAATAACCTTTCTTTGTATTATGAATTGATGTCCTGGCTGGTTTTTGGTTCGGAAGTTAACTTGAAAAATTGAAGATGACAAAAATCTGAAAATTTTATATATTTATTAATTTTAATATTTATTAATTTTATAGATTTATTTTAGTCAGGACAACTGCCAGGTATATTGCATGAAAATGACAAGGATCTGAAAATTTTTATACAGATTTATTTTAGTCTGGTCAAAACCAGGATATATTCATCTTTTTTTGTTAATTTTAATGCCATTCCAGGGAAAGGATGTAATGCTGAATGAAGCACTGGCTCAGATGAAGAAGTTCAAGATCCCAGAAACTTATGACACTTTTGCTGCAGAGTTACTTTGCATTGGAAATAAACGGAACTATAAAGAGAGAGAACATGAAATTAGAGACATTTTACAGATGATGGAAGAAAAGGTTTTGATTAAGATGCATAAATAAGCTTTAATATCAAATTGTAAGAATACTCTAATGTAGTGTTTCACATAGTCTTCTGTTTGTTTTCTAGAATCTTGATATCAAGTGTATGTCCCAGAAGATTGAATACTTGACTCCAAAGGATGCATTGAATGTTATAAAGGTAAAGTGTAATTTCTGTAAAATCACCTTATTTTCATGGGGTAATTTTTTTGTGAATTCTTAATATCTATTAGTGTACTCGGTTTTTTACACAGTATGGCCCTTATGTGCCTGATAAGAGACTGCCAGTTAGGTCATTCAGAACTTACAGCATGCAAGAAATGCTCCAAACTTGCTTTAGACTTTTATTTATGATGCTTTATTTAGTAGTTTCAATGTAGGCCATACTTTAGATATGCTGCAGCCCCATCATGGCAGCAGATATTAGATATAATTAAGAAGTTTATAGTCATTTTCCACTTAATTTCAATTTTTGCATTATTCTAAAAATGTCTTCTTTTTCTCAATTAAGGTTATCCAGGTTGTAGAGCCAGGTTACAGTCATTTAGGAAATGAAAGTTTAACAGCACAACATTACTCTGTTCCATTACTAGAAGACTTCAATAATCCACCTAATGTAAGTTATAAGTGATAATGTCTTTATTTTTTAAATCTTTAAACAAAATATACATGTGAGTAATGGAATTTTCATCTGGATGAGAAAAAAAACCCAGAAATTTTTTAAATGCATTCTCCATGATTAATTTTCATTGTAGAAAGATGTTCCAAATCCACTTTACAGAATTATATCAAACTCAAAATTTGAAGAGAATTTGCAAAAACAGCTTCAGTTTGAAGAAAAGGGCTCAGTTTACATGGATAGTGTATATTATACAAAACCTGTCGGTGTAAAGAAAGAGCAGGTACAGTAATACAATTGTAATTTACATAACACAATTTATTTAAAAGATGTACTTGTATATGCAATTTATAAGAATGATGCAATGTGATGTGGATTAGAATATAACTGACCACCTTCCATCATTGTCAGACAAAGAATCATTTACTGGAGCAGTTCCATAGAGCACTGTATGGAGCATTTAGATTTCATCTAAAAAAGCATTCCAAAGGAAAACTTGATCCAACCATTGAAAAAGGTATAAACAGAATTACATACACAATGATGGTACATGTATTTTTATGGTGTCGAGCTTTAGCTCGGCGCACATATAGCCATGATGAAATCTCTGACTGTTCACCGCTTTTTTCATGTGCCAAATAATATAGTACTCGAACCAAGACCTTCATGTATCTGGCGTAGGAATATACATGCCACTTTTTGCGTTTATTCCATAAATTGCTTGAAAATCATACAATTTCAACAGTCTAATACTTAGTTGACAACTCACCCACTTTCATCGGGTTACTTTTTTAAATTATTCTTTATGACAAAATATATATATGTGTAATGGAATTTTCATCTGGATGTATTTTTAATTTCCAAAACCCAGAAATTTTTAAACAATGCCGATGGCTATGTGGTTCTAGGCCAGTAAATTAATTTGTAAACAATTAACTGGAATTGTTTTGACAAATCAAAATTTAAAATGGTTTCCGATAGAACAAGATTGTTATCAAGACCAGCAGGATATCAAATTCAAAATTTGAAGAGAAACAATATTTATGTACATACATGTCAACAAAACAACTTTCATTACCTGATTACATAAAGGGCAGTTTACATTTAGACACATTACACTGGTTAATTAAATTAATTAGGCCTAATTATGAGAGAGGAAAGTTAATTTCAAATCCTCTAAAACTGCACCAGGGACCTATATATAAACAATACATTAGCATATACATTTACCCTTTTAGCACACAATTTATTTTTAAAAGATGTACCATAATTCAGTATATGCAATTTATAACATGTCAATTTGATCAATAATTTTTTATCATTGTTCATAAATAATTCAGCAAAGCCTTTTTTTAAATAGAAGAATTATCAATACATGTACACAAATGACCAGATTTTTACATCTTGGGTGTTGGCAAGTATGGTCCTGATAGTCTTTTAACGGGGTACTGACTAGTGACTACACATACAAACCTGTTCTCAAGCTGTTCAGTTGGACCATATGAGTTGAATGCTTTTATTTCATAAATGCTGAAATCTGGGTATTTTATCTAGATATACATGTACATGTACAACTAAGCTATATAATTATTTCACGGTATCACTGCCATAGCTAAAGCGCGGCGCCATTGTGGCCCTTCAGGCCTTTGATTTAAAAACTACAGAAGCAGGAAATAGTGTTGTTGGAAAAAAAACTGTAAACTTTGTGTGGAATTATTGTATTTCGTTTGAATTCAGTTTTCATGTTCACATTTAAAAAATTCAATACCAAAATGTTAATATCTGTTCATTCTTAAAAAAAAAATGGTTACATGTATTGGGGTTTATTTATTGAAAGGGGAGGGGGCATTTGACTAAATTTCTAATTTCTCCCTTTGATTTCAGATGTTGAGCAAATATGGCCTTTTCTGAAAGCCTTAAAGACAAATGAGTACATAGATTTGATGATGAAGGTAAAGGGCATTTTGGTTACATATATAAGGTGGCATATATTCTACCATATAAATAAAATAATTTGTGATTAAAAGAAAGAAAAATGGAAAACAAAAGAGATAGGAAACAAGCTAACAAGTATTAGTTTGTAAAGCTGCAATATGTTGATTTTTTTGCATCCAAATAGAGTCATGTAGCCAAACTAGTCATCATCTTCTTTTATTCAAAGGTATATTATTCAGTATTCAACGCTATACTATTTATCTATATTTTTGAAGTGCCCGGACTAATTGATATAAAAACAATAACATGCAGTATCGGTACTCTTACAATATAAAAAAAAATTAATTGATAAAAAATTTTTATTGCATGTGTTTGTAATTCTGATAATGGAAAGCCCTTAATTTATTTGAACTTCAACTGTACTTTTTCTTGTGTGACAGGAAATTGAAGTGGTGGCTGAGAAAGGGTACTCAGCTGGGTATAGAAAACACCAGCTGGGATTATCTGTCATCAACTTAATCCAAAGGAAGTATTTTAAAGAATTTGGATATTTGGAGCTGGTAAGCATAATTTTATGTAATAGTTTAAAGAGGGACTCTTGTAGCCTGTTTTTATTTTTCTTTAGGAAACTTGATATTCTATTAAATATGTAGGTAAATAAGTGCAAAATAAATATGCACAGAACAATTAATTATTATACATGTAGCATTTTGAGATACATGTACATGTACCTCTGCATGTCTGGAATGCTTTATGACAGCAAATTTGTTTCTACATGCACACATCTCTTAGATATACAGTGTACATGTAATTTTGAAGGGGATGTATATTTTTTTCAGCAAAAAATGGTCTACAAAGAATATATTGGAATTGTGTTGGATGAAAAAAATCCCAGCAGATGCCACAGAGAAATTTGGCAGTCATTATGCAGGAAATATACTGGCAAAACTGCAATTGTAAGATATTTTCCTTGTTCAAGAATATTAAAGTTTACAGGTCAAGTGTTAGAGTGTTAACTCAAATGCTTACAGTCTATTATTGTTTCTTTTCATTAATTAGAATGATTCACTGTTTTTCAGCTTCCAGATTATAACTTCCCAGACCATATATCATACAAAGTAAGTAAATGTTTACAACTTAGTACCAGGAAGAAAGATAAAAATAAATATATCCACTATATTTTATATCTGTCTGGCATAGACTCTTTTGAAAAAGAGAGTGTCATCAACTCTTTTGAAGCAGTGGTGCATGCTGGTAGATTTTGCAGACTTTACATGTATTTGAATAAAGAATTGATAATTCATCTAAATATAAATTTATATTCTCACTCACTTTGTTCGTCCGAATATGAATTAATTATACTCTAAAAATAACAAACAACCATAAATGTAGGAATGCTGCTCGCTAGAACATTTTATTACACATGTACATGTATATACACTTATGTTCATTTATTATATTTCATTCATAGGTTTTTCGCTGCCTGAAGTCTTTATATTTCTTTAATTTACAAATCCTTTAAGTTCTCTTTACATATTTTAATTTACTAGCCCTTGAATTACCTTGCTTTCTAGTGAGCTGTAGAATGACTTGTCCTTCACGCTTGGACTATTTATATTACATGACCACGTGAGAACCCTCAAATCGAAAGCTCTCCAAGAATAATAAGTATTCATCTTTTCAGATTGGAAATTTCCTTTATTCTTTGATGAATACACATTTGAAGATGATTTCCAAAAAACATGATGGGTATGTGTTTTTACAAAATATATTGTTTTTCATAAACTTAATTAGAGATGAAATGTTGAAGTTGGTTTTAACTGTAAATACATGTAGGATATAATCTCAGAATTGCAGTAATATCTATCGCATAAAAGCCTCTGATTCTTTTTTCTTGTAGCTCTACATCCAATGTCCCTGTTCTTAATTTTGTAAAACAAGATGAGAATAGAGATGGGAAACTCTTAACATTTGTTCAGGTAAGTACACATACAAACTTGATTTTCACTATAGTTCATTAATTAAGGTCTAGAACCAGAATTGTTAGAACTTTTTCTTTGTTCTGAATATCTGAGAATAATTGCTTGCATACAAAACATTCTGCCAGAGTCAGGGAATCGATTACACTTGAAAAGAGTTACATGTAAGTATAGGTTCCATAACAAGTGCTCATTTATAACTTACAGGTTTTTTTGTTTTCTCAAACTCGAGTTTCTTAAGATTTTTCAATTTACAAGAAACACAAGGCTTGCTAATGAACTTGAGTTTGAGAAAACCAGTTATTGAGATTTGGTTATGGGACATAAACTTGGACTTGTATGCTGCTATAGGACTGAGGAAGTTTCCTGTTGTAGATAGAACATCTCTACATGAAAGAAAAATGACTTGGGAACATTTCAGAAATTCTGTGTATTAATTTCAGCTACATCCCCATATAAAGAAGATTTGTTTGACTGACACAGTAATGAAAAGTGAACAAGCCTTTTACCCCATGTTGGTGCCCCCTGTCCCTTGGCATGGCATGCAGTTAGGAGGATTTATTACATTTAATAGTAAGTGATACATGTCTAAAATAAGTGATAAAATTACTGCGTTCAAAGATTTTCGTACATGTAAATTGCAAAAAAACATCTAATTATGATTTTATTTTAATGATGGCATAAAACCTGCATCTTCTCTAGGTGATCTCATTAGATGTCTAGATGAAAATCAAATGGAACTAAAATATCTGAAGAAATTCCCCAAAGATTGTCTAAATCCTGTCATGGATTCCTTAAACATTCTAGGTACCTGTGGCTGGAGGATCAATACAAAGGTAAGGGGTCTATTGTAACACAGGTATACATGTATGTACAGTTGAACTTCATCTTTGGTATCTTGAACACAGATAAATGTATCTCCAATACCATGGTTATGTTGAAGTCATTTTGAAGTCCCAACTTCTGATTCCTCTAGGATTTTACCCTGGATATCTAGAATCCTTGGTTATCTTGAAGGTTTTTTCTTGGCCCCTTTGAGTTGGAGATAATGATGTTTGGCTGTAAATGATCAATATGGATATTTTTTTTATTCTCAGCATTTTCTTTTAGAATTTGTTATATATATAATTATGTGTTGTAATTTCATTGAATTACATTTGGTTGATAGAATAAGAAATAGGGTAGGTAAAATACCCCTACATGTTCATTCCACTGTAATGGTCACATGCTATCCTTATTCATTGTTGATATATGTAATTATTTACATGTATGTCTTCCAGATGCTGGATGTTGTTATGGAGCTGTTTAAGAAGAATGCTGGTGTCTCTTTGGATATTCCACCTGCTAAACACACCATGCCAAAACCTGTCTTCCCTTCTTTAAAAGTTAAAGAGTAAGCAAGGAGCATCTTTATTAATACCAATTTATTCAGCTCATCAATCAAAATGAAAATAATATCCAGTACATACATAGTTACATGTATATAAAAATAAATCTCAGATCTGATCAACATACACTATATTTTTTTGTTCTGAAGGCTTTGTTGTATATAAGATGATGACTTTTTTGGCTTGTAACTTGTATTTTCAAAAACAGGATAAATGAAAGTGAAAATAAAATGGATGAAGACGAAAAGAAGAAAGTGAAAGCTGAATTATGGAAGAAATACTATAAAGTGAAGAAAGATAGAGCTGAAACACACAGTCTGTGGAGTCACATGCATCGAACACTGTCACTGGCAAACTCAGTAAGGGATTCATTACAGACTCAGTAGATTATCACAAAGGAGCTGAGATTATCATCAGTCATGGACTCAGTAACAGAACTTGATCAGTGACAAACTCAGTTAAAACATTTTCTTTTTAAACTTGTGTCATAGTTATTTGCTAACTTTTTGTCTTAAAATTACACAAACAAATTTAAATTGATTTGTTTCCTATCTAGATTAGAGATGAAGTGATATGGTTTCCACACAGTTTAGATTTCAGAGGGAGGTCCTATCCATTTATGCCCCACCTGAATTATCACGGTATTTATTGTTTATAATAAGCAAAAAAATTGTTTTCATGGAGCTTAAAGTACCTGTACTTTAATTTTGTAATCTACATTGTAATTGTGTTTCAGAAGTTTGTAGTGAATAATTTTAAATTGGTTCCATGGGGAAAATTTTTTCCAGAGCTGCAATTCTTTATTCTTTGTATTAATTTTCTTTTTTCAAACCAGGGGATGATGTGAGACGGTCCCTTTTCCAATTCGCTAATGGAAAACCTCTTGGAGAAAAGGGACTTGATTGGCTGAAGATACATCTGATTAATTTAACTGGCTTCGCAAAAAGGTATAAGATTATTTTTTTTAGTTTGGGAATAATAATCTCAATTATTTACAAGTACATGTATATGATGTTTAAACGTCAATGATTTACTCTTCATCCCTTATTATAAGTGAATTCTTATAATAACAGCACAGTACGTGAATTCTCTAGGCAATTTGCTGTAACTATGTCTTTGTACTTCTTCCTAGGTCTTCAAATGCAGAGAGGCTTCAACTAGCCAATGAACTATTACCTGATATTATGGATTCTGCTGATTATCCTCTTGAGGTAAGCTCAATTTCATCACTTTTAACAGAATTATCTTAAAATAAGCTCAGATCTTCACCTTTTACAGGAAAAAACTACACATCTATTCTGTATGAAATGATTTTCATTTTGCTAATGTTTTTGGGTGGAGCTCTAATCACCAAAATGTTTAACCTTTATTAATTGTATTCAACAGGGAAGGAGATGGTGGCAGACATCAGATGAACCCTTTCAGACTCTAGCTGTCTGTATGGAGATAACGGATGCTGTGAGGTGTGAAGACCCCAGTAAGTTTGTGTCCTACTTCCCCACTCACCAGGACGGGTCATGTAATGGTCTCCAGCACTATGCAGCTCTGGGCAGGGATCAAGCAGGGGCGGAGTCGGTCAATCTGAGTCCCTTCTCTCACCCTCAGGATGTGTACAGTGATGTTGTAGAACTGGTAAGAGGTTTTAAAAATCATCAGATTATAAGGACACAGTTTATTCTGGTGCAGCATGTGAAGATACATGTACATTGTATGTACAATATTTGATAACTGGCATATTGTACATGTACATATACATGTAAGTTTGATTAAAAGTATGAATTTGTTACGTCTCATTACTTCATGCTATTTTCAAAGGTGGAGAAAATAAGAAGAAAGGATGCAGAAGCTGGCCTTGAGATAGCACAGAAACTGGAAGGGCTTGTCAAAAGAAAGGTTCATAAATAATATATCGGAAATAAATTTGAAAATATTAGAAATACAAGAAAATAGAGCAAGTGTTCTATTGCAGAGCTTTCTTATCAGTTTGTTGAGAACCCCTCTTGCATGTAACATGAATATGTATACCATTGCAGACAATCAAGCAGACCATTATGACTTCTGTTTATGGGGTCACTATGTACGGTGCTAAGTTACAGATCCTGAAGCAGATCAGCCCTTTACCTGACGAGGCCCTGCCTAGTGAGTTACACTCACTGGCCAGTGCCTACCTAGCCAAGTGTGCCTTCAAGGCCTTAGAGGAGATGTTCTCCAGTGCCAGAACAATTCAGGTTTGTCAAGAGAACAATTTTTAGCAGGGTTTTGACGGAAACTATACCTTTCTTGTTTATTTATCTATTTTTCATTAGCTTTTTATGAATGCATCTTGTCTTATTTTAAAATGACTCTTTGATAAAATTTGTATATAAGTACCGGTACATGTTTAGTCAATCCTGGTAAACTGGAAGTTGATGATTAAACTTTACAGATTAAAGTTTGAATTATCTAAGGATTTTAGATAACAAGGTTAAAATTCATAAAGAAAAAGTGATTGATACATATACTGGGTACTGCCAAATCACTTTGACATATTTTTTGTCCTCAAGATGTCAGTGTTCAAGATACAGTTCAACTGTACATGTAAATGTAATTTCTACTTTTGAGAAAAATTCTATACATGAGCTAGTACATGTATTTGTCATCTTGACTGTGAGTATTTATGTTATAGGACTGGTTTACCCAGATAGCCCGAGGGATGGCGAAGACTTGTAAGATGCCCACTCAGTGGATTACACCTATGGGAATGCCCATAATTCAGCCCTACATCAAGCAGGATATTCAAACAAAGTTCAAGAAGGACTACAGCATTGAAGAACTGATGAAGCTGAAGTGAGTATAGTATTCAATTAAATAAAATAATAAAGGAATAAAACCCAAGTTACCTAGCATGAATTGAATGACATTATTAAAATCATTTTACAATAAGTGTAATATATGTACATGTAGATATTGGTATGTGTAAAGTGGTATTTCGTAGAAAAAACTCGTTTTCATATTTTTCTTTAAATTTAAATTGTATGGGTATATTGTGAGTTTGTGATTTGTGACACTGTTCTGTGTGTTCAAATGAGATGTTTTCTTGATCAGAGTGGAAAGCAGGAGGCAGAGAAATGGTTTCCCTCCAAACTACATCCACTCCATTGATGCCAGTCACATGATGCTCACTTCACTAGAAATGTACAGGTATTGAAAGTCTGTTTGATCATTCAGACTCCCTAATGAAATTCATTTCTAGGATACTGTTCATGCTTTGTCCACTTTACACCCATTTAAGTCAGATGACTCAAATGCAACTCATTTATTAATACTTGATCATATTGTTTGTCTTGGATTGTTATGACTGTATGTTTTATACATGTACTTCAAAGAGGAAAGTAGTTTTCTTTTTAAGTTATTAAGATACATTATTATACAGTGTATTATTACTTTTTTCAGGGCCGGGTTAACTTTTGCCTCAGTACATGACTGCTACTGGACACATGCTATTGATGTCGACTCAATGAATAAGGTGAGTGTGTGTGTGTGTGAAGAGAGGGAAGGATATGATTAAAAGCACCATGCATGAAATATTTACATTTGTATACACTGTAATCTTTCAGTGTTTTCCCTTTATTTCGAAGTAAAGGGTTAGAGATCAGTTGTAACAGGCTAGGGGCAGAGGTTTATGAACAGAATCTCTCTGACCTTACAACAAATTTTTATTTCAAAGCGGCATTTTTGTCAATTGAAGTGGTCAATTTTGCTGGTAGCCGGTTCTTAGGGAAAACGCTGATCTTTAATCTGTTCTGTTACACAACCAAAAGTTTTCTTTAATGGTAAAGAGCATTTATCCAAACTATCTGACAGGACTTCAAAATAAGTACAGGTATGTACATGTGTATATGTACGATTTATTTTAATGATCGTCTTTCCTCCTTTTCAGTTTTGTCGGAAACAGTTTGTTGCCTTGCATAATCAACCTTTACTAGAAACCCTCTCTGCTGACTTTTTAAATGATATACAGAAGTACAAAAAGTAGGTATTTTCCTTGTGGATAATTTTCAAATATTGTTTTTATATTTACCATGTAAAAAATATCTATAACAGGAATATAGGTGCACAAAAATTTACTGAAAATGTTTAAAGCTTTATTCATTTTGTTAACATTTAAATTGAAAGCATAAACTGTTTTGTATGGTAGTGTGTATGTATAATGTTTAAGATAATATGGTTTATTTGTATTTAGGGAGCATCCAAAGTTAAAGAAATTACACCAGCAGGCAGTAGATGACTTAAGTGAACTTGTATGTAATGTACCTAAAAAGGGTAAGTTAATGGTAGAGGTACTGTTTACTGGAAATTTTTTACCTGTGTTTTATTCTCACCCCTTCTGCCCTAGCCAATAGTGCAAGAAAATAAGACAGAGTGAATTCAAAGAAAAAAGTATGTAATTTCATAACACTGAGTGGGCGAAATGAGAAAGGGGCAAAATTGTTCGCAAGTATCAAAGGGCGAAAAAATTGGAGGAAAATAATCCTGCATACAGTATTAATAATTCTGTACAACTTTCCATTTCCAGTAATAAGACAGGTTTGGTAAATGTTACTGTTAAATCTAGATGAGGAAAGGGATGCTTGGCATTTGATGAATAAACAGCAACAAAATATCCATTTACAATAGCGTTTTAGTCCGTTTTGTGATTCCTTATGTATTCTAGTGATAATTTTAGCTTACCAGTACACATTCTATTTCATTTCAGGCACATTTGACTTGAACATAGTGTTGGAATCAGAGTATTTCTTCAGCTGATTCAATAAGTGATATACCATGTGAATTTTTTGTGACACACCACAAAGCTGATCTGTGATGTTAAGTAGATGCATTGGTATCTGTGATTTTTTTTAATATATTGACAGCTCTAAAAGAAAGGGATGCAACCAATTTCATTTTCTTTATATCATAACTTCATGTTTTACATGTATGTGTTTTTACACACACATAGCAGCTCTATCTCAAATCAGGAAGTTCTATTTCCATCAGTATTCATGTGTTGTTTTGTTATATTTTGATTTGTTTATGAGCAATGAAATAAAAAAATGAAGAAAAAAAAGATTATTAAACAGGTGTTAAATGAAATTATATCCAGGACAGCTATTCTGGTGAGTGGTGAAGGTCAGTCATTTTAACCTCAAAACTGAATTACATCATCACAGTCATTGATGTTAATCTACCCGTTAGATAACTTTACCAATGATTTGGCTCTTACTGACTTTTAAAAATATCTTAAATGTGTATAAAATTCTATTCTGTTTGGAATGAAAACTGTTCTACACTAAAACTTTATTTGCATTTTCTCAGTCCAGCCAGCAGCAAGCACTGGTCTTAAGCAAAGTAACATGAACAAATTAGTAACAAAATGTATTTATTTTAACACTTTGTACAGATAAAACCCCAAAGGGACTGAGTAGAAATAGATATCCTACAATTTGGGATACTGAGGGTAAAAAACATACAGAAAATGTTATAGGGACTTGCATATCACTTTGATTTATCCACGGTATTTGGGATATAACTGTTTGAGATACCATTAAAGTTTAATTGTATATGAAATCAGAGATTATTTCTCTAATTGATATATGCAGATCTTTCAATACTGAGGTATTTATGAATTCTATTATGCAAAAAATAAGGTAACCATATGTACAACTCACTACAAGTATATCAGTATTTGTTTATACAGTAATAGTGTAGATCATCTAAGATGGCATTTCAAAATTCTTATCACAAAGAAGGCATTTTAAGCGAAAAACATGGTGTGTAGAAAGTTAACTAGAAGGGAGATCCCAGCAAACACTAACATGAATGGAGCCATTACATAGCTAAGCAGGGTGTTTTTGTTCACTCCAAATGATCGTGGTTGGCCATGAATCACCAGGAGATACTGGTCAAACTGTTTGGCAGCAAGTTTGTCGTGAGGAAAAGGATAAGGGGCTCCCAACCGATGGGCAGCCGCCAGACCAGATATGGTTGCGATTTCATGAGTATTGATCAGGGTGTAAGCTCCACAGTACCAGGAGTTCTGCTTCCCTTGTATGTATCTAACGAGGGGAACCACGAAGGCGTAATGATGCCAACTATGGGCAAACTGTCGCCACCATCTCCTCAGCAGGATTTTGTCAGGATTGAGGTCTTTCTCTGTCCAAAACGATCGAAGTTTGTCATTCAGATAAATGGTTTGATAGATTATGCTATGTTTTCCTCTCAGATGGGGTTGATAGTTTGTCAAGTTAAAAGACATCTCTATTTTTTCTGGGTCTTTATCGTCTGTATGAATAAAATACTGGTCAACGTCCTTGTGAAGTTCATAATATTTGTTCATGTAATCTTCGTCCTCATGAGTTATGATCAGATCATTGAAATATCGCACATTTCCTAAGGCCCTTCGCTCCATAAAGGTTGGGTTGTCCAAAACTTTCAAGGCTGTTTCAGCATCACAAGCAAATATGATTTCATCAAAGTCTTCCTTTTTACCAGTGTGATCTGTAACGAAGACTTTTCCAGGGCACCTGCTTACTTTCTCCACACTTCTGTTGCCATGGAACTTCACACCACAATTGTCCATTATGGTTTTGTACATGTCTTCAAGTTTAGGAAAGGCAAACATTTCTGGTGTTTGACTTAGAAGTCTCTTGGAATCATAGTCAAACAGCCTAAGATCATCATCAAGGAAGACTCGGGCCATTATAGCTGAGGAGACAAAGGGAGTCTGATTCCCAGTTCCAAAAAACAGAGCTGTCAGGGGGAAAACCATGTAATTGCAAAAGTCCTCAGAAAAGCCGTACCATTTCAGAACTTTGGCAATAGGGAGGAAAATAAAAATGGCCTCGAACTTGTTGATAATTTTGAGAACTTTCTCAAATCTTGCAATATCATCCTTCAGTTTTTCAGTTAATTCGGATGGAGCATAGTTGGTCCAGGCAGTTTTTCCCTTGCCAAAAGAAACTGTCAGTTTCACAGGGCTTACTTCAAGATTGAACTCCTTCATTATATTCAAGAGATTTCTGTATGTGGGACAGCCTCCTTGAACTCCTTTGAAAAATTAAAGAAAAAGAATTTAAACTGAGGATCCTATTAAGAACTTTAAATCAATTTATATACTCTTCATAAATTTTGCCCATATGAACAAGAGTGTCACAATTCAAGGGTCATAACTTTGTGACTCACCATCATTGATAATTACTCCCCCCTTGATTTCGGAGGAGGTGGCTACTCCTCCTGGCACGCTGGATTTCTCCCAGACCTGGACCTCAAACTTCTCAGGACAACGTGACAGACTGTAGGCAGCGGCTGTTCCTGCAGCCCCTGATCCAATGATTAATACTTTCTTCGGCATCTTTTTTTTCTGTAACAGTTTTAAGTATCTATCAATAACAGTCTACTTGCAAATATATGCTCTGGCAATTTTACATCAAAGAGTCATTTAACAATATATTAAATAGTCAAATAAATATAAAACAATTAATTGGACTAACACAATAATGTTATAATTACTATAATACTTCAATGTATCATTTAGAATTTGGGTCTTAAAATTTCATTCATTTACATGAAATACTTTTTAAACATTAAGATAAAATTACTATACATATCATTGGTCTGTGCACAGGAGTTCGCATATCTATCAATTATACCGAAATTTTCATTAAATAAAAAAAACGTAATACGTATAATAATTACACAAGGAGTGCAACGCATTTTAGGTCACCTGGGTGTTATTATTATAGGTATTACGTATTTTTTTTATTTATCGAAAATTTCGGCAAAATTGATAGGTATGCGAACTCCTGTGGTCTGTGTATTGTCGCACATGAAAATTGTATCGGCATTGCTGACATTACATGTATTACTTTTCAACTTTCATTTTTTAACAGTTCATTCTCAAATGCTTTTATAATCTAGCTAGCTCTCATACACATGTTTCTTTTCAATAATTTGCTGTCATTTTGGTTACTGTGTAAAATATCTTGCTTTTAGTTGAAGTCAGATTCAACATGTACATGATCACTACATGTTCATGATGTATATGTATTCCATTAATTATATATCATGCCTAGCTTGGCTAATAGGTCCATAATAATAACTTACATCAGAGACATAAATATTATTTTAACGTTGTTTATAAGTGTCCTGCTAACTGCACAATACATGCAATATGTAAATCTAAATGTACTCACCTCAGCTCTTACTGGTCAAACAGCTGTAACCACACCTTTGTCAAAGATCATGTTAATATTTCAACATATAACTACTATATTGAACTCGCATTAACTTATGAAACCAATCTTTTATTATTATTTACCGGCTGTTGCGTAACATAAAGGGTCACATGTTACTCCATGTGATCCGCTGCTTGTATACAACATCCTGGCATTTTCAATATGGACGCGCCCTGTACATTTATTGCCAAAATATCATCTTTGTGTTTTAAGGGATAATTATATCACTTGTAATTTAGTTTTTATCATAACATATTTACTATATTGCCTGATAATAATGACTGATATGAAATGAACTTATGAATTCCTTTGTAAACAGGTACCTAGTATTTGACTTCATTTGCTAAGGTCTGTGACCATCTTACATATAAAACAAGGCAGTGTCTATATGCACGACCGTCGTGCACCCACTTTTTCAACGGCTATTCGCACGACCGTCGTGTACATAATTTTTCAGTGACTATTTGCACGACCGTCGTGTATATAACTTTTCAGTGACTATTTGCACGACCGTTATTTATTCATATCATCACTTATTATGGTATTCGTTTTTTCGTCCCCAGTTAAGTTCGGCACGCAGTAATTAAAGCCTAAAAAGATAAGAGAAAGTTTTTTTCCAATGAATTAAGGCTGGTGATTACGATATGATTTAGTTTCAATAATAATAACTTACATCAGAGACATAAATATTATTTTAACGTTGTTTATGTGTCCTGTTAACTGCACAATACATGCAATATGTAAATCTAAATGTACTCACCTCAGCTCTTACTGGTCAAACAGCTGTAACCACACCTTTGTCAAAGAATCATGTTAATATTTCAACAAGAAAACTGACTGAGCGGCGATTGAACTCGCATTAACTTATGAAACCAATCTTTTATTATTATTTACCGGCTGTTGCGTAACATAAAGGGTCACATGTTACTCCATGTGATCCGCTGCTTGTATACAACATCCTGGCATTTTCAATATGGACGCGCCCTGTACATTTATTGCCAACATCTTTGTGTTTTAAGGGATAATTATATCACTTGTAATTTAGTTTTTATCATAACATATTTACTATATTGCCTGATAATAATGACTGATATGAAATGAACTTATGAATTCCTTTGTAAACAGGTACCTAGTATTTGACTTCATTTGCTAAGGTCTGTGACCATCTTACATAAAACAATCAAATAAAGACTCATTGGTCAGTGGACTTATGAGGGGACTCGATATGGGAATAAGTGGTGTAGAATAATTTATTAAAATGTTGATAAAACCAGAGACATAAATAACATGTCTCGAATAAAACATAGACCCTTGTATGGGTCAGTTGGGGGGGGGGGGATAAAGTTACGAGAGGACAAAGCTGTAGTTTTATTTCCTTTAGATTCCAAATGGCAGTAGAATGTATGGAAGCCCCTCCCATCCTTGGTTTCTATGATCAGTGTGAGACTGCAAGGCTATTCTTAAGTTAATAATGTACTAGTTAATTAAAAAGATGAATTAAAAAAAAAGTATATAGCCCCAAATTCCTCCTGTAAGATAGCTATGTCTCTTTGATCCTCCCTCCTATCATCGTACATACCATTCACCATTCACCACTCCCTTAAACATATAGGATATAAAAACTTAATTATTCTTAAACCATTTCAAGGGAAACACCCACAGACAGTATTTGTTTTGGAAATAGATATAATAATACTATGGGTTAAAAAATTTATTTTTGAAACAAGTGCCTTTGGAAACACTAACATATTATTTGGATTAAATTGGGGGAAATGTTAAGGGTAACTGTGTTTCATTTATAATTGATGGAGTTTTGCCAATAAGCTTGGAGTGGGTATTATTAGCTTTCTAGGTCCAATCAAGGGTACAATGTATATGGGTTTTACCCTGGTTTTTATTCCACACGCATGAGGCCCACAGATCGCAAATCAATCAAATCTACATAGGAAATATGATATTTTTGCACAACCTTGTATATGACACAATATGTTTAATTTTATGCGATGAAATATCCTCCCAGTCATTTTCTTAATGTTTCAGAAAGTCAGTCAGCTACCTGTAGATGCTGAAACACAATGCTTTCCCCAGGATCTCTCCTTAGTCAGGAGTGGTACAGTTCTACTGCAGGGAAAGGAGTCCTAGCATCTCTCACTAAACAGAATCTACTGAAAAGAAAACCATTTGGTAGGACCTCAATATTAAATATAATATTGAAAAAAGTATGTTTTTCTTGTATCACTTGTATATGTTTGAATTAGTACATGTACATCTATTTAAACAAGGAATTTTAACAATCTACATGTTGACATTAAAATTACAAACAGATCTGGATTCTTTTGATCTTAAACTAGTTCTTATGTAAGAGAAACCTATATCCCTCATCTAACAATTGCTATGTCTACCAGGATAAATCATAAATGTGTATCCTCCTACATACTAGGGCTAGGACGATATATCGAGATATCAATATATCGTGATATATGTGAGGACGATACACATATCGATACATGTGAAAAAATATCGAAATATCGCCCAAAAAAATCTGACTTCTGTTTTTCTTTGTTTATTTAACATTTGGGGTTTAATATATAAAATAAATATGTTAAATATAAATATAGATATGAAATAAATAATAATTAACACCATTTGAGTAAAACATTTCTGTTTTACAACATTTAAACAACCATTTTGAATAAATTATTCTCATTTTCATAGAAATAATTTGTTTATTTCAATGTAAAAAAAAGATTTTATAAGCAATTAAACATATCGTGATACATATCGTATCGTGGCTCAAATATCATGATACATATCGATATAGAAAAAGTTGTATCATGCCAGCCCTACTACATACATAAGCTACATTTGATGTACTGGTATATCCTGCACAAATCTTTAAAGTACATGTTCTACTCAATATGTATTTTAGTTGAACATTTACAATTTTGACTAATCCAAGTCTTACATGTATCAAATCAAAGAATGAAGAGTTAACAGTTTTATTGAACATTAACAAACATGTCAGTATGGTTTATTCTTTCTAAACTTCTGTCTTATCAGGTATTTTAGACAAACCTGTCTTACCAGCCAGTGCAGTAACAGATGAGGTGAAGTACAAGATTCTTCTGGTGGGGAAAAGTGGAGTAGGAAAGACTAGCACTATAGCAAAGTTATCAGGGAACCACATTCCTACATCACACAGTGAAACCCCGGGTAAGTTTTGGGTCATTTCATAAATGCAAAGTGGCAAGAAATGCAGTTTTAATTTGAATATTAAAAAAACTTACATCTGATTCGTTAATGTATGAGCACTTTACTTTTGTAATGTGTTAAAATCACAACTTATCTGTAATTTATTGTGAGTACATAAATACTAAGTCATATGTACATGTGCTTTGCAGTACAATGTTTGTGTACACATTGACAGGTCCCAATACCTTGACAGATCCATCAGTTTCTGTATTTATTAATTTAATTACCCCTAAGAGTCACAATTGTCATGGTAAATACATATTTGAACTCAATAGTTTGTTTTTGCATTTGACAGGAATCCAGACCACTACTACTCCATGGCCTGGGATGGTAAAACAACTGAACCGTGTCGTGATGTTTCAGCTGCAGTTCTGGGATGTTGGTGATGGTGCTATGAAGAAGTATGAACACATCAAAACGGTCAGTATGGTTATTTATTGTTACAACTACTACCATATATACGTGATCTTTATCGTAGTAATGTAGAGTGTTGAAGCTCATTCATTTAGAAGCTAAATCTAACAAATGTTTGCTGTTTCTTTCAGACCTGGGAAAATCAGGCAGATTGTGCAATATTTCTCTTCAGCTTTGTGGACAGAGGGAGCTTTGAGGAGATCTCTCAGCATATAACCAGAATGACAAAGCCAAAAAATAACTTTGCCAAACTTGTTATTGGAACAAAGTATCCTTTATGCTTTTATAATTTATCTCAAACCATTTTTCAAACACCACTTTAGTGAATACATGGATAATCTTGATTCCATGGATATGTCAAAAAATTTTCAGTCCCAATGAGTTTGATATGTACATGTATATAAAAGTTCGACTATAGAATGATTCCAAATTATATTTTTTGGGTACATTTACTCATGTATGTGTTTATCTGAGAATTAAGTTTTATAAATGGACTTGCAATTAATATTTCAAATTTTCAGTAACATTTTATTCCTGTTTTTTCCCCTTGACTTGTTCAGATTTGATCAGCATGCACACAGTGAGGTCACTCAAAGGGATATCAGGGACTTTGAACACAACTGGAAAATCCCTGTTCTAAAAATAAGAAATGTTCCTGACACAGAGACTAAGAATGACATGAATGAAGTGTCTCAGATATTGACCACAATAAGTGAACACCTGTGGCATCGTGATATACTGCTGGCAGGGAGAACTGCTTCTTCCAGTGATGGGAAAATTTCATCATGTTAAGAATATGTCAAGAATTTTTTTTTCTTACAGCCATAAATCAAAACCTGTGTGATATATAATTGCGAATATGATGCCATGTTTTATGTCATTGTTGAATACTTGTATATTTTTCTAAAAGATGGAGTTGTTATCTTTTGTTAATGAATATTTATGACATATCCCCCCAACCTTTAAAAAAAGCAGGACATCTTTTTGGATTTAATTTTGAAAGACTTTCCAAAGGTGCAAGTTAATTTTAGTAGAACCCAGGAAACTTTAAGCCATATCTTGACAAACATGATTCCAGACACATTTTGGATACCAGATTTTACTTAATTTTTCCAGGTGATTGAATAGTTTTAAGTTTTGGAAACAAGTCAATGTTCTCAAGTTACTATCAACTCTGTAGTCACCAAATTTGCATATCAGGCCTAAAATAAAAAATGGTGTGTTTGCAGTTGCCCTAACCCACTAAAAATGCACCCGACTCAAACTTTTTTTCAGCCATTATTTGAGAAGAATTTTTTTTTTTGAAGTTTCAAATTTTTAGGATAAACATGTATTATTTTTATGGCGTCGGGCTTGCCCGATTGTCATCTAGCGATCAGTCGGGTTTACGCGACCGCACGTGTTAGTGGATGCATCCGCAATAGAAAATAGCAACAGCTGTAAACCAATTTCTTTTAAAACGTTCACAATGAATAATAGCTTGAATATAAAATTAAATCAATTGTTCTTCAATTAATACTACTTATTTGTTTAATTTTTATGCAAGAAAAACGTTATGGTTGTTGCGGATGAAGTTTCAAATTTTTATGGAAAATAAACACGAATATAACAAGACTATAAAGATTGAATTTCTGAATCTTAGCTGTATTATTTCAATTTATTTTTTTGTTACTGTATTCTGACAATTTGTTTAATCATGCTTATCGTAAGTCGATCGTACTTGTAACATTAGAGTTATGGTTGTAGTTAAGATGCAATCACTATACAACAGAACAACACTCTGACAATGGCAATTAATTAAAATAATTTATGAAACCCTTCATATATCTTCGATTGACTGAAAAGAAATTAGATTGATATAGAGGATGGACATTTCTGACGATGTCTGGTCAATTCGCACCCTGACTATTCGTTAGGACACAAGGCTATCAGGCCCTATACATTTGTGTTAAAACTTTTTTTTTTTTAAATTTTATTATTATATGTTACTGGAATATATTTTGCAGATCTTTTGAAATTGTTTTTCTTGTTCGACGCCATTGAAGCCTTTCAGGCTTTTGATTTATTTTTTTGTTTCTGACAATAAATGACAGAAAATAAGTAGAGCTTTATGTACATTATGTAACCCTATAAAAATCTCTTTGATATGTTATCCAACAAAAATTTAATAAATAAAATATATTTCAAAAAGATTCCGACCTACTTACCGACCCACTCTAAAAAATATAGGTCGGCAACTGCAAACAAAGAATTTTTTAAGCTTGGCCTCAGGATGTACACTATACAGACTGTACTGGATGCTTCATATGACCAATTTTTAGCTCAACTGACAAAGTCGAGATGTGCTTATGCTCCATGCAAGTTTGGTCCAGGTAGAGTTTAACGTTACTTGGAAATGGACCTGCTCCAATAATTTTAACCTGCTCACTATGAAAAATATAGGTCAGATCCAGCATCCAAAGCGAGTCTGGTAGTCAAGTGTCCATCCCTAGATGCATTATCCATGCATGTACATGTGATCGGTCTTTTTAACCATACACAGTGACGTCAGCCCAGTCAAAGGCATTGGTCATACAATAAACCTTTAATACACGATGTCGATCTCTTTTGATTCATTACTACCTAATGTAAATCAACAGTTAAGTCTACATCATTTTCGCACCAAACTTACTCTGTCCATTTGAAACTTTTAAATAGTCTTGAAAAGGTCAAGGAAGGCCCATTTTTTTTATTCCTCGACACATGCAGAATATAGGCTCGGATTTGTGATTATGGATATTAAAAATCATAGGCTTTTTCACCCCCACCCTAACTTCAATATGCCAATAAAGGAATTTATGTGGTTAATATAAGTAATATTCTAAATCACAAAAGGATCCCATCTTGTATTCCACCATATTTCAAATTAAAGATTGATTATCAAAATGAGTGCTTTTATGCACATGTGTTTATAATTAATTTCTTATCATGCATTATCATACATTCATTCATAAAATACCCTACACTGGAAATTTATTAATAATTTAATAGTGTCCAAAACTGATTTTAAATTCTTAATGTTCAAAATAAATTTTCGTTTAAGAAGTAGGGTTTTTAGAAAAATGTCCATATTCATTTACAAAAGGTGGTTTGTAATGTTTGAAAAATCGAGCATTTTATGCACGAGAATAAAAAAAACGCATTGATTTCTCCCATAGTATCAGATGCACATTTATAATGAAATTTGAATGATATAGATATATATATTTTTAAATCTGATACATGTATGAGCATAATTTATCTGTAGTAAGTTTATTTGAAAATGAACAATATGTGCATAAATATTTAACTTATCAATTCAATTCAACTCCATTAAATTTATCATCCAGTCATCTTATTCAATTGTTTATTCCGATAATGTGATATCTTGTTTTAATTATATGAATTAGAATTATTATGATTTCCTTTTAAACACATGATTTACAGTACGGATTCCGGATTTCAAAAGCATTACCAGTACCTTACCTTTACATGACTGTAATATTATTCTTTTTTTCAATCTGTGATACACGGTGTAATAGAACTGACACTTGAACATTTCAAATAAGTAATTATATCATATCAGAGAGATTAAAAATGAATAAATATATTAAAAAAAAAAAGAAATTTAAAAAGATGTCAAATCATTTGCAATAAATTTACAAATTAAATTAATGAAAATGAAAAAAAAAAAATTAAATATTTATAATAATAAATTTGAATTATTAAAAATATGAATTAATTTATTTATGAATATTTATCATTCATCATTTTATAAGAATTAACTTATATGATATATTTTAAACCCTTTTCAAGGGTTCATCTAAAACAGACTATAAGTCACCTGTAATTAATTTCTTTTGTTCTCTCCCTCCCCTTACCTGTACACCATTCCCACCTAGCCAAAACCATTCACCTCTACTTTTTTTTTTTCAGAATTTTGGCTAAGTGAGAAGACACCATTGCTTCCAGACTTTTTAATTACAAAAAACCCTAACTTTTCTATGTTCATTTCCCTTACTTAATAAGCAGCAATATACCTTCATCACCTGCATACGGAGTTCATGTATACATAATATCTCAGTTGATTCGATACGCAAGAGCTTGCTCTACGTTTGAACAATTTCTAAAACGAGGTAAATTATTGACATACAAATTGATGAAACAAGAATATGAACAGTCTCGTTTAAAGTCATCATTTGGTAAATTCTATGGTCGATACAATGACCTTGCCACAGATACAATTTATCTAAAACGTTGTAAATTATATATACAAATTGAATGACGACAAGAATTTTCAACATTTCTCGTTTAAAGATCATTTAGTAACACACGGCGGATACAATGACCTTACCACAGATACAATTTATCATTCCGTTGTAAGTCCATATATACACTGAATTGACGACGGATTTTTCCGTGTTTCCTCTGACTCACACGGCGGGTGTATTGTTTTATGTTTTGATCTTGAATACTGTTCGTTATCTCCATATGTTTCATGCAAAGTTTGTCTGTGTAGGGCTTATAGTTACTTGGTAATGGACCTGCCCCAGTAACTTTAACCTAGTCACTAATCTGGAAAATGTAGGTCAGATCCAGCATCCGAAGCAAGTCTGTAAGTGTCCATCTCTAGATGCATCATCAATGCAAGTTTAGTCCAGGAAGAGCATACAGATACTTGGTAATGGACTTGCTCCAAAAAATTTAACCGGGGCACAGATGCCGGGGGTATTTCATAAGGTCATCTCGACTTCGTGGAGGTGAGCTAAAAATGATGTGATATTTGCCTTACTAAAAGACAACGTTCGTCGAGATGAGCTTCATCATATTTGATAATCTATGTTTTTAGAAAATTCTCAATCATCCATTGCCTGTCTACATTTGACCTACAATTTGCAGATGATTTAAAAAAGAAAAGAAAAGGAATTTGGTGTAGGTCTACTCCCAGATAATTGTAAGTCCAAACCAGACCAAATTCATAATAATATTCCTACAATGTCATTTGTTGTGATATTCTGCAAATATTACTTCTAGTTCTTGATAATACTCATTAAGATGAGAATATTCTTTAGTTACCTATGTGCTTTCTTTTTTATTTTATTTGTATTATTTTTTTTTTGGGGGGGGGGGAGAGTCATCGTGTTGCTGGCATTTTAAAGTACCTGAGTGTCTTTTCAGCTCCAATACTGGTGGTGTATAGTTAGTGCATATATGTCAGAAGTTAGGCCAAAAAACTTTGAAAGTTATGCTATTGGTATACCTTGATACTTTGATTATATTTACTATATGCTTGAAGAAACAAAAAGGTCCCTGAAATTTAAAGGGTTTTTACTTTGAGTTTTCTTCCTCAACGTAGTATGTAAAAATTAACAAATATTGGATAAAAATACATGGATTTAATCTCTCTCTCTCTCTCCCTCTCTCTCTCTTTTCAGCCTTCAAATTGTTAATGGGACCAAAGTCCCACTGTCATATTCACACTGATTTGGAGTGTCTTGTTTTAACAGACACACCGTTGTTTGAGAACCTCACTCCTGTGAGTTGATTTCTCTTATAATGAAGTGTCAGTTTGATTTCTTACCCATTCCGCCTCGTCACCAGCAGTTAATCTCTTATATAAATATTGATATGTGCAAATAAATTTTTTCCTCCCACTTTTGAAATTTGTCTGCAAAAAATTCTTTTCTCCCACTTTTGAAATTTGTCCATTTCAAACAAAAAGATGTACCACTTAAAATGTTTATATATTATCGTATCAATTTCATCCCTCCGTGATGACTTAGGAACTGTCGAGGCGAAAACCAAGTTTTTAATAAGTATTGCAAAGTGCTCAATTAAATATT